TTGACAAAAGGCCACCAGTTCCTATCCTTGCGCCTCATGCGCACGATTTTCCCACGCCTTCGCGCGATTCACGCTCGCCTGAACCATCAACTGCGCCAGCACACAAAGCTATACCAGACTGCATCGCTTTAGATCACGAACTCGAGCGCGTGCCTGCAAAGCGCAACCAGAAGCGCACTGCAGGCACCTCTTTGCCCCCATCATCATCTCTTTCTTCACCTGTTTTGCACGCTGACAATTCTTATTTGCTGCCCACGTCAGCATCAATCGCATCGCCTTTAGTCAGGGATGACTCTAAACATCTATTGCACACCAATGCACCACTCAAATCACGCTCGCCTATCGCTATCGCATCGCCTACGGTCAGGGATGACTCTAAATATCTATTGCACAATAACGCGCCCATTGTGGAAGTTATTACGCCATTGCTTGAAACACGCTCGCCTATCGCTATTGCATCGCTTAAGGAAGAAATCTTGCCAATCGCCCCATCACCGTCACCACTATCGCTATTCGCATCATCAGAGGTCAGGGATGACCCTAAACATCTATTGCACCTTAGCGCGCCTATAGAGGAGCCTTCTACCGCATCAGAGGCTCAAGTTGCACCTCGCGTCAACCAGACTTTGCCTCTGGTAATTCCATCTGTCACTAACGATCACGCGCACATCGCGCTTTTTGCTTCTAGTGACTATCCCTTGCCAGTAAAGCATCCGTGCATCACACTGCCCAACCACCAAGCAGAGCATGACTCAGGCGACCCTGGGATGACTCAGGCGCACCATATTGCGCCTGAGAACGCGCAATGCGTGCGCCTAGAGGCATCGTATAGTTTCCCTCATCTCATTTCGCGTTTTTTGTCCCTTTCATGTTTAAAGCTCTTAAGGAGCTATATGAGAATTCCAAACACTTTAATTTCATCTTCGCACCAACCCTTGTTCACGCGCCATGATCGCGCGCATCACGCGGTAATTCCCGCGCCTCGCGCATTCATAATTTTAGCAGAGTTTTCACACTATCGCATTTCTATTGTTTCTCCCCTTTTAAATCACATCTCTGTTATTCAACACAAAATATATTCCAATCAGCCATCCAGGCGCGACTTAGGCGTGCGCCGGACGCATACATATGCGCCTAACTCCCCCATCATCATCTTCAACTTCGCACTTTCCACATTTATTCGCATTCTTCATGTTTTTGCTTACCATGTCAATTTTGTTCCTGCACACCCTGACGTGCACTATTCTCTTCCACCTATGCGCCTATTGCGCCTTGATAAACCACCCTTACAGCCCATTCGCGCAACATTTGCGCCTAATTCCAAACTATATATGTCTCTCGCTAACACATTTGCAGAGAAATGGCCGTTCCTTGCGTGTTCGGCCAATATAATCAAATTCGCGCGAAATCGCCCCAAGGCGCGCACATCGCGCGCATCCTATCAGCTTGTAGAGCACCTCTACACCCCTTGCAGCGCCTCCCATTGGCGCGCCTTCAACCTGCAGCGTGTTGTGCAGGAATTCATTCTGCCAGTTACTAGCCCACCTCGGAGTCGCAATCAAAAAGGCTTGATGAAGAGGAACCAAGCACCCCAAGCGTGCCAGCCTTGCACCTTCTGACCCTCGCCTATGCCACACACACCACGCGCTTCAAGCGCTTCAGCTGCACATCAAAGAAAAGACACATAACAACGCTGTTTCATAGGATACCGTTCGTTTTACCCTGGGTTTCGTCCAGTGCTCTTTCATTTTCATTTTTCTCTCATTATACCGCTGTCCAAAGGACTAATAACACACTGATATATATGCATATAGGGATTACCTAGAAGAATATAGAAGAAAAACAACAAAACAACCTTAGATTGTGCCCGCCTAGCTCAATAGGATATTATTTTCTCTTCGCACGCATGACGCGGCACCATGCTCTTTTTACCTTAGAACACGCAGATATGCGCGCAATCTTCCCGCACCCATGCGCCTCACGTGCGCGTGCGCTTCCCACGCCTTGCTCATAGGAAGGTGTAGATGTCGACAGCCGCACGAAGAAGACAAGTCGGATAGGACATCTGCAAAGGTTACTGTTTTCTCTTCATATTTTCGCATAAAGTTTTACTCATGCTGTTCAAACCTTTAGCACCTAATATTTAGCGCACCTAGCAGGACTTGGTTTGGACATGGATTGGATCGCTCTTGGACCGCGCCACTTCGCATCATGCTCACGCACGCATATTGGACTCAGAGATCATTGTGCAACAGCCCCTTGCGCCCCCACAGAATGCAGTGCATGTTCTCGTGCCTTGTGCGCGCGCACTTTCCCACGCTTCACACCATATGCGCGCACCTCGCCCACGCTTCACACACCACAGCCATATCACTCTCGCATCATCGCCTCACACCCATGGTGCATTATTCACACCAGAGTTACCCTTGCAATTCGCCATGCTATGCTGCATTCCCACGCCTCGAGCGCATATGCGCGCGCACTTTCCCGCACCTTCGCGCCTCACGCGCACCTGCGCATTCCCGCGCTTCGTGCATACCATGTGATACATTCCTACGCGTGCGCATTCATCGCCCAACAACCCAAGCATCGTACATGCATCGTACTCGCATACTATCACTCGAGATCCTCACCACACACGCGCTGAGTGGGGACACTCAGAATTTAAGTCCCTGGGAGATGTAGAGACTCATGCCTCTCATTGTGCAATATGGCAGTTTTCACTGGGGAGTACATGGCACGAACTTGTAGCATCACTCTGTGTGCTACCTGCAGCTATCTCTATATGAGGCGCAGCTTTCCCGCGCAACGCGCGCCATGCGCGCGTACCTTTCCCGCGCTTCACGATGTATATGCGCGCGCGCTTTCCCGCGCTGTAGCGCCCTATAGCGCCAGCCATCCGGAAGCATCCATCCACTGTCCACCAAGTTCCCTAGTGCGTATATTTCCATTTCTCACATTTGCATATCGTTCCATCTTTATTTTTATCATGGACCCTTACTTACATATATCTTTACACACCTTACTCGGTAGCGCTTCGGCTCCGCATGACAGTGCTTAGGCGCCATACTTAAGCGCCAGCAGTACATACTATGACTTACAAACTTACTCTCCCACCAGAACGAGAGAGGACTTACTGGTTACTACCCACTATTCACCTAGCAGAACATAGTAGAAATCTATTTGTTTACACCTCGCATCTCTCTTCTCTTGTCTTACATCATATCATCACTTAAGCAAACTCACTCTTACTCTCTCTTGTTTCTGTATACACGCGCACGCCTTCCCACGCTTCGCGCAATACGCGCGCGCGCATTCCCGCGCTTCGCGCATTCTCGCGCCTCGCGCGCACCTGCGCTTTCCCGCGCTTCGCATTGGCCAACCAGTAGCGCTTTCAGCGCATACCTCTAGATCCTTGCTGCACTCGCTTCCCCTTTAGGGTCGAACGCACTTGTCGTCTCAAGTATAGCAGACTAGGCAACGCGCGACCTTACAACATTTATAGATACAACCAGGAGCATTGTTCGTGCCTCGCTGTATCGTTGAACCTTCAGCGATGTTATGATCTGAGGCAGAGTGGATTCTGACCGAAGATTTGTTGGCCCGAAATGAGAGCTCAACTTTGTCGTCGATGATGTGGGTCTGCTTAGGTTCAAGGTCTGTTGAATGGGCGGCTTCAAGGACCTTTCCCAAGTCGACAACTTTCCATTGGACGATATTGAGCCACTGTTCCGGAGGGAATGGTGGACATCCAGGTGTGGATAAGATGTCCCGAACGACTGCTTTGGGGTCAACTGCGAATCGTTCAAGTTGGTCGAAGGTCTGCTTGATATCCGGCGCCAAAGAGGCAATGGCAGTGACGCGCTTTTCGTGCCATGGAAATTTAGAGGTGTCAAGGTGTCCTCGAGATCGTTTGATTCGAGGTTCATCCTCGTCAGAAGACTCGGAGTCTGCTCGCTCCTTTCTGACCCTATTTTCATCTTCTTGAATCTCTTCTCTTGGTGGTAGGTCTCACTCTTCCGCTTCTTGAGGAGACGTTCCCCTAATTTGATTTCCTCGTTCGGCAGCCTTCCCATTCGCTCTTTAACGGAGTCGAGCATGTCGACGTATACTGCAAGGGCTTCAGGGAGGCTTCCTCCGATTCTGATACTGGATGATTCAAGGAGGACTTGATGTAGGGCAAGGATGGTGTCTGCCTTTGCATTCTCTCGTCGACGATATTGCTCGACAAGTTCATTACACTTTTCGACGCATTCTGAGTCCGAACGTGCGGGAATTTCATCCGCTCCGGATGAAGCGGTTTGAGAGGTACCGGAGATAGCTTGTGATGACCCAGCTCCATTATTAGACATGAGAAATTTATTTCGATGGAAACGAAGTGACAATAAATAATGCAAAAAACGCTCTGGCGAGACGACGAGAGGAGGTCAGAAAGAGATTAATCGTGTAATATAAAACTACAGGCAACCTACCTGGCGAGACGACGAGAGGAGGTCAGAAAGAGATGAGAGCCCCTTACAATCGTTACCCACCAGGCGAACCTCAAACTCCGCTATAGGAGAGGAGGAGTTTGAAAGACGATCGGGAGTGTTGCCCGACGAAAAACAGGCCTAAAAAGAATACATGTGGCTGCGCGACCATAGTAGGGCTTAAGCCAGCGCACACGCAGGCCCATGAAGTAGAGGACGAGTCTTATTCAAGACTCGAAGTTCCGCGACAGACACGCAACCGCTTGTCGGCCAATTAGCTTCGTATAACTTATATTAAACCCAATTAAACGGTGCGAATTCTGCGGAGCGTGAAAAGGCATCGCGGCAGACGTGTGACATAGTGTGACGAAGTGCGCGAACTCTAGGGAAAATGCACTTTTCTGCGCGGTAACTCTCCGCTGGACTCAACACGTCAATTTTCGAAAAAGAAACTAGCAGACGTTGTACTTTCGATGTCACGCTATCGAACTGTCAAAGAATTAATTTTGTTTGTTTGTGCGATGTGGAGTAATGACCGTTTTGCCAAAAATGCGCGAACTCCCGTGGACATCTAGTACCTTTCGAATGGAATTTCACTGGCGGCAAAGGGTCAGTTTCCCCGCTGTATCAACATGTTGAGCGCGCTAGAAGAACTTACATTGTCATAGTAATTAAGCATGGTGCCCGGTTCGGTTCCCACACTCACTAAACATCATACCAACAAATTTTCTTCATATTCACAAGGTGCCGTGTATGTCTGTCGTGCGTTCTCAATTATCTAATAATAATCCAGATGTCTGAAGACGACACACTCCCACAATATTTCTACCGAGTGTTTGATGAGCAGTCTTGTTCCCAGTTAACTCGTTCTGGCACCTTTGTGGCCAGCATACTTATGCTGTCTACAACCGCAACCATCGGAATGCCCGAGGTCAATTAGAACGGCATATGGATTGGAGTAATCGACGTCGAACTCCCTTTATATCTGTGACGTGCTCACGAGCAAAGGCTCTTGAATTTGCTTTGACTCTGTTGAACATGGGAAGTCAGGCTGTTTCGATTGCGAAGATCGACAGCTCGCAGCTCGAAAGAGAAGGCACGTATGTGTACTGGATGTGCGATCTTGTTGAATATACCGGCGCGTATATCAAACCTGAAGCAATGAACAAACATGAATTTCTATGTGTTGGCCTCATTCCAGCCAACGCGGTCATTCAATGCTTTACACTTGGCGATGACGATGATTCAGACGATGATTATGATTCAGAGTCAGACGATGGCAATTAAGGAATCCATCAGTCGGTGTAGGTGAGTCGGATGCTATAGTTCTATCTTTGATTGTATTCAGAATCATGTTTCAGATCTTAGCAACTTCTGCAACATGTACCTAACGGTGGCATGATTCCATTGCTCGGAGGTGCACTGGGTTTGTTCCTGTATTTCTGTGCATAGTTTCTCAGTACTCATTATACCTACTTACCATCTTGACGATAATTCGAGTCGCAGCCCATTGGTATACCAAGATGCTTACCTCTGTGATTTCGATAGTAAGGGCCAGTTATGGATCGATCAACAATGTCGATGAAGCTTAAGCTCAAGTCCGGCTTATCACAATGATAGGCACCATATTCAAAGCGCTTCCGCACAGCCATGCAACAGTCACCTTTGTTATCGACACCCTCCTCATCCCAGAACTCCATCCAAACTCCTACTCAACTATCCCTATAAATTTACTCTATGAATGATGATACTCTGTATGAAAAAAAGCGCTCGCAATGGCTGAAGACAAGTCTCATACCCGCATGAGAGCGCCAGAACAGTCATTAAAGTAAGGTATGAAATGTTGATCTAGCGGCACTCTCTCCCACCTTTGCAGAATGGATGACGACGAGGTTGTTTGCGAGTTATTGCGCAAGGTGATCGTCCCTTGAAACGCGCGACAAACCCACTGAGAAACCCTGGGAAGAAACGTCTGCCAATCGTTGCATGCATTCTTTGCATGTATCAACTGGCACACTTTTCTGTCAGCCCAATATCAACGTATGTCAAGGATCTATATAAAGTCCACGCGGATCTAGAGCAAGCAAATTCTCTACGTAGCGTGAGTGATGTTATAAGTACGAGTCAATGAAAGATATCTCACCTCAGTCAAGCGCCTGAAACGCAAATGTCTGAGGTGTGCAGGCCAATAATTTGCGGTTATAAGTAAAGTTGGCTTTATTGTCCTAGACCAAAAGGACGACAACAAAAGAAAATTGGCGTCGGCTATAAAAACACTGGCAGGAGGTACAATCACTGAAACGTCATAAGGATAGACAATTGTAAGTGACGGAAAACAATTAGAAACAATAGGCAAACGCGTCGCTGGGTGCCGGGCGCTCTAAAGAAGCATGCAACTTTTAGCTTTAGTCCTTCATGTCCTTTCAATGTTCACTGTTGTAGCATCGTTCGACAGTTTCATCATTATATCAGGCATTGTCATGCACAGGTACAGAAACATACAGGCACGAGTATCGAGTCTATGGTGGAGTCCAGTTGCTCTTTGGAAGTGGAGTATCTATCTGCATGCAGCGTCTTCATAGATGGGAGGATAGCTTGAAATTCGCCTCGAGTCACTGCTAGTCTACTTGCAGGCCCACCCCCTGCGTCTACACTTCGACTACCCATAAATCTATTTGCAATCAGGGAATCCAAGACTACCGAAACCTGTCCAAGATGGGTGACAAGCACGGAAATGATGTGTTTTATCAATATCATGAAGCTCGCCAATCTCTTCAGGGGTCAAATCTATGATCTTCGCGTTGTCTGAGGATAATAATGAATAACAGTCAGAATCAATGATGGAATAACACCTCACTCAAGATACGCTCGTTGGTCACGGATTTGGGAAGCACTGTGTCATACCATTGAGAACCGATCTCTCCATTAAGAATGTTCATGAAGACTACGCACCAGTGTGCATGGGCTTGTTTGCATGAAGGGATATCAACACATTGGCGGGTTGCACATCATACTTCGCTGCGATTTTTGTAACAGTTTCGTTTTTCAACAAGGGGGAATTGTCGGATCCCAACGGAGAATAAGCTGTCATCACGATTCCCTTGTTCTGGCAGTACTCGACGACGTCATCTTGAGGACACGAACTACGGGCAATGATTCACAATCAAAGTACTCAAAAACAAATTTATTTGACTTACGGGTGGAGCTCAATCTGGTTCACGGCCGGTACGACGCGTGCAACTTTCAATAAACGTTCAAGGTATTCCACGGAGAAATTGGAAACACCTGATGCATTTTTAGTACAAAGAAAGCACATGAGGTTGGCCACTGACCAATAGCCTTCAGTTTCTCTGGGTGAGCAAGGTATAGGTCTTCCATAGTTTTCCAGGTGTCCAACCAGTCGTGTTCCTTGTCCGCCTGGCCATCTTTTGTCATGGGAGCTGGCCAGTGCATGAGCCCTGCTCTAGGAATTAGTCCTCGTCAAGATCAGCGAACGGGTTGCCACTCACAGAGGTCTAGATAAGTAGTATCGAGTTTCTTGAGTGATGCTTCAAGAGCATTTGCTGGATGCCTCTGGTCGGAATTATCAAGCTTCGTAGTCAGGAACATCTGGTCTCTTGGCAGACCAGACGCCTTGATCCCCTGTCCGACTTCTGTTTCGTTCTGGTATCCAGCGGCAGTGTCAATATGCTTGTATCCATTTTTCAGGGCGAATTCAACAGCATGTTCGACTTGGCCGGGCTTGGACTTCCATGTGCCTATATTCGCAAGCATTTAACGTTCAGTACATGAGATGGTTCGCCTTTCGGCTGTGCTCACCAAGACCGACCGTGGGCATAACTGCTCCAGTGTTGAGTATGACCGATGTTGTTGCAGGCATGCTGATACCACTATACAAGAATCAATTGACAGGCTGATAGCCTGGTACGCCCTAACTTTATAGCCCTTTTCAGAGCTATATTTACCAAGCAGTGACAATCGCGAGAGTCGCGACCTTCACCTTATGCCTTCAACGGACCACATGTGCCGAAAAGCGCATGCTTTGCGAACAACAATACGGATGTGATGAGTTTTTCCAAGGGGCTTATCACCTCTTATCACCTTGACGGTTCTACTTGCAGCCGGGGAAACCGAAAAAGCCCCGGCCAGACAACACAGGGTAGCATCCCCAGAAGTGACTGTCTTAGCAAGATAACGAGGCTTCCATGAATATGATCATCCGTGGCTGGTTTGACACAAGTGTGAAAAGGCGAGATCAGAAATGAGAACATTAATGGTTGAATCCGAGAACGGCAGACTAACGCATGGGGGTACGCCCTACACCAGTGCATTTCGGGATTTGAAGAAAGCCACGGATCAGTACTGTCCTACAGAGAGTTCTCACTCTCAATGGAGGATAAAAAAAGAGGTTGAGTCAGCACAACTCTTTCGATGACGTCGCGCGCGGAGATACATCGGAATAATATTTGAGAATGGCAAGCTGCTGTGAATTACTTTTCAGATCAACCTGTTCAGCTAGTCAGAGTCCTGGATCAAATTGCACAACTCAAACACATCAAATAGTGACGAGCAGTCCGTCCTATGAAATGTACGATTTTCTCCAGTGTCTCCTAGTTGGGATGTGAGAATTGGTGAGAATTGGCTACTACCTTGGGAACAAGAAATGGAGTGCCAAGTTGCCTTCGGCCCTCCTACCCTGCTCGGAGGCCGCGCCGGCATGAACGTCCCGATCAGCCCGGCGTACGGATGACGCCACTGGCAGAAAACCCGGCCGTGACAACAAGGACCATGAGTATTCCTAGGACCCAAATCGGGGCTATTCTACAGTCGAACCAAGCCCACATCGTGAACACAGCGATTAATCCTCCTCTGTTGTAGTCCGCGGGTGGTGGTTCTGCTCTAGGATTCTTGATCTGGGAGATAGCAATGTCCCTCATTCTAGTGGTATACCACGCAGTCCCGACGCCGCTGCCAATGAGCTTTACACTTGGTATCCATTTAGAAGCTCTGAACACTGCTTCTGGTTCGCGTGTAAAGGGTTTATCAGCCCAAGTGCTAGAAGATTTGTTATTTTGTAGCTGTAATCGTAGGATCTTGGGCAGGTCGGGACAGAGGACAGCGCATCTTCCAATGCCTAGCAAGTCGGCGTGCTTCGACATCAAGGCAGCTTGTAGGTGAGAGTGGGAACGGAGACCGCCAGTCAGTAGAATGAGTGGGACAGAAGAGAAAGGGACAGGCGATCGGTGAAGGTCCTTCATGACTGTCCGTGAAAATTGCGCAAAGAAGGCTTGGCGGTCTAGTTTTTGAGATCCACTGCATGCCATAAAGTCTGAGCAAGAGATCGGGTTAGACTGGGGAACATTCTCCTTATACGCTCCCATACCAGGTTTTTCGTAATCGCCTCCACTAATCTCGATAAAGTCGATGACACCCCAACTTGCAATGGTGCGGATGTGATCCAAAACACGCCGTTCGCCTTCCTGAGATACTTCCTCGGTGTTTCCAGAAGTTACGTAGTCAGCCGAGTTGATTTTGATTCCGATTATGAAAGTAGTTGGCACCACCTTGCGGATAGCTTCAACTATCTCGGACAGCATGCGAGTGGCATTTTCCGGTGCCACTGAATATTTGTCGTCCCGAATATTACTCTGACGCGTAATTGTAGTTAACTTTTGGAAGTACACAGTGGCCACACCTTAGGGCTCATGAACTGTGCCAGTAAATCTGCAAATAATTCAAATTCGACCCAGATACATTAACACAAATATCATGTCAACTCACATCCATGGGCAGCATGAAGCTGGATTCCATCGAAGCCTGCTTTGTAGGCCAAGAGAGCGCCTTGCACGAAGCTGGATTGAACATTTGAAATGTCCAGTGCGGTCATCTCCATAGGAACTTGGAACAACGCATGAAATATCAGGTTAGATACTGCGCTCCTTTCACGATTTTTATCATGACCTCCCCCAACACAAACAGAACTGGGGGCCAGGGGTGGAACAAAAGGCGGTCGACCACCAATAAAATTCGCTGATTGGCGTCCAGCGTGCGATAGCTGCATGATAGCCAGGGAGCGCGTGCCATCAACAGCTCCGTGGATGACTTCCGCCAACTTCTTGAAGGGTTTGACGTCCTCGGCATCGAGTGTGGGTGGCACAACGATGTCACGGCCCAAGGTCAGATGCTGAGGTGAGACCTGGACATTTCCAGTGAGAATCATTCCCCAGCCATGCTTTGCCCATTCTGAGTATAAGCCATAGTGGAATTCGTTTGGTGGACCACCAGAGAAATTTGCCATGTGCTCGTACATAGCTGTCTATGACAATAACTCTGCTTTAAACAACCGTCTTCGAATTATGTAGACGGAAACACTACCTTCACCAGCCTGTTCTCGATAGTACGACCGCAAGGTAAATCGACTGGATTGAAAACGTCACAGTCCATGGTTGACTCGCTATCGAACTCGTGAGCTTCAGATGTGCTCTAGTACATAAGGGCGCGTTTTCCTCAAGGTTGTCGCGGAGAGATCACGGGTCGCTGTAAACGTTCTGGTGAATGCTTTGAGAACATGGACATGAATATGCTCCCGGGCTCAGGTACGAATCACGTGTTGAACTTGAAGCTTAAGTTAGTATGTAGACCAAAGTAACAAGTTGCATCGGGAACAGGCCCTACTGAAGTCCTCTTTACATGGTCTGAGGGAGTTCGACTAATGCAAGGAAGGTGTGACCAACTCGAACGTTGGCAGTAGGACATCATACACGAGAATGCTTTTATTATCTTGAATCAGTACAACAATTATAGTGTTTCCCTTCATCGACCACTTAAATCCAGGGTAGCTTAAATAAATTAGGTCTACGACCGCGACTGCAAAACTTCGTAGTAAGCGGTATACTCGTCGGGCGTCATAAGTTCGGTATCTTCATCAGTGACTTCCGAAAATGGTTTCAAGACACCGTTAACTGCGAAGGCGGCACAATGATGAGGATACTAAAATCCTTGATGTAGAGAACGAAAACCCACCTAATACAGGGGTATCATCCGCCCCGTTTACCTCCATCATAGAATCAGTGATATCTGGCTCTAGTTCTGGGACATCGATTTTGGGCAACCTTGTCGCCGCAGCACCCTCGTCCTCTTTTGATCGGGACCGCTTCCTGTAATCATTTAGGGAATCTAGGTACTGCACAGAGGGTTTTTGATCATCCTCTTCCAACTCTTCGCTTCCGAGGCCAGATCTGGGCGTGTTCTGAGAGGAAACTGCATTAGAGGCCGCCAACGAGGCATAGTACTGATCGCAATCTGTATACCGTTAGATCATCATAATGACATAGAATTCACATCGCAAACGACGTACAATCCATCTCCTGGTTGATTTCTGGTTTCACATCTTCCGTCACTGCCGTTAGTTGAAGTAGACGCGGTTGAGTGCCGATAGTTCCAAGCCCTTTCAGAGCGTCGTCACTGGATACTGGCAGACCCTCGCCTTCTCTCGCCACAGCACGCGCACTCTCCTGCATACCAAGAGCTGTGAGATCTCCGGTGATAGTACTCTTCAAATGCCATGCTGGCAGAGCGTTTTGCTGTCGTTTTGCCGCTGCCTCGGCATCTCGTTCCTGCCGTCTCGTTGCTTCGTCTTTGTCCATTGACATGACTATGCCAACACCATCTTCTTGCCTCCCACCAGGTCCAGATCCTGCTATTTTCAAACCTGACACCTGGCCAGTCTTTTGCTTTTCGACATCACCAACATTATTCTTGACCCAAGTGGGAACATCGAGCCTACAACATAATGCGTCAGGAAGGATATGCGATTGATGTACTGAGACACGCACGCTGGAAGAACCATAGACTCTGTTTTTCTCAATCCTTCGACAACAAACCGCATCTGGTGGTTGAACCTCTGCATTCGGTCCTGACTCCCCCTGACGTTTTCCGCGTTCTCATTCTCCACAACTTCTGCGCGGCAGTCCTCGCACACAAATATTCCTCTCGAAAAATCCATTAGCTTGTCAACTTCTAATGTTGTGTACGACTTGCTACACTGCGGACAGATATAACCTTTGTTGTCAAGTTCCTTTAAACAGAACCATTAGTTTTAGTGGATGACGGAAAACAATGGGTCTAGACCGACATTACGGAGACCCGAGTCTATGATTCTCCGCATTTCTGCAATGCGCCATTTAACGACATCGCAAAAGTGCTTGTAGTCAATGTAATAGTACTGTCTTCCGACAGACCTCTGAGCCCCTTCCTTGAGCTCATTTTGGCGGTACCTTCAAAGTAAAATCAGATATGATTGCGGAGAAATAATCATGACTACACCTACACTTGCACCAGGCGGTCGTTCCCTAAAACAGCCATAAGTTTATTCAATTCTTTCGCCTGAAGGCCCATCCGCCCGGCCAGGTCGTCATCCTTGAGACTGGTGCCAAATTAGTGGTCATGGGTACACATCGTAGGTGAAAGGTTAACGGGCTCTGTTTCATCCACATTCTAGATACTTACACCGGATGACGGGCTAGCTGGTCCATGATGATAGTAAACTTTGGTTCATAGAATCCTCGGGAGACGTGTTGGACAAGAAGACGTAGCGACTCTTGGTCTTCTTTGGTCGCCATAGTGCTGTTTGAGCCCTCTGGAGTCTGCGACCGCGAGCGAGCTGAAGATTCCTAGAAGGCTGACTCAAGAGTCAAGAGCTCAAACAACTGCTTAATAAGCGTGTGGGCAAGTTATACAGCAACTTGACAGTGGCTCTTGTTGCTAATATTGTCACTACCATCTTGACAGTAAGTAATTCGACACACTGGCACACGTTCACGTCTTGGTCCAATTTGCGATGAGATAGGCGAAGCTGGCTGATAATTATACAGGATAAACTATCAATCTACCACGTGCATGGAGCCTCCAATTAATGATCGAGAAGTGCATGTTCCTTTTCGCACCATCTCTTGTCAGTTTTTTCTCAGATCTTTTGTCCATCTACTCTGTTGAAGATGTGGATGAATTACCGAACGGTTCACTACCATTTGTCCTCCTTCGAGTCGCTGAAATTGTGAATGTTGCATCCACTCATAATCATCGGCCCCCTTTTCGTTATTTCCTCTTCACATTATGTGTACTGCAGTTGTTTTGTTAACACCCCTTCTGCGCTTTCTCTCCCACACGTTTTACACTACGCATACTCTGCGTGTCTGCATCGTGCAACATTAATGCAGAGTCAGCTTCGACCCTATTCGACAAGGTCAATAAGTGCTATATTTGTACCTAATGTAAAAGTAGTAGTTCGTGTGCGAATGAATGTTGTGAGCTCCCTTAAATTTGCTGCTACATTCTAGGCTCTTTTACATGTATTTCTCAATTTATCAGCACTTCTGAACGTAGTCCTAGCACATTTAGTAAGGGTCATGTCTACCATCGCACCTACGTCGATTCGCGGCGTGTCATTAGAGCCATTTTGGCTTCTCCAAGTTTTATAGGAACGGGTTCCTTCAAGGTGCAGCTTAGTTTCGTTGCCAGTCATAAAGCTGAATAGAAAGCTCCTGTCGAATACCTGTCCAGTCATTTTCTTACCATGAAGAACAACGCGACCCAGGCATCCAGATAATTCTTCTGAAGCTTCGCTCCTTAACTCATGCCACGCTTGAACAGCACGAAACCCATGCCAATCGGCAGCTCAACGTAGCCGATACGTTTGGCCTGCGCCGGCTGATAGACGCACCACTTCTAGAACAACACTCGACAAATTCCAGAGTAAACCCTTGGCTCACCGGAAACAGCGCCGGCTTTGTCACCATTGCCTGCAGCAACCTGCAACGGGCAGTTCGGATCATGTGCAATTGTTGCGTAGTTTGCCCTGACATATGTTGTTCATTAGAAGAGAGTCGGTCCTAACTTGTGGGGCCTGGAGTTCGTGGTAACTTCTTCTCCGCATGTGTCGGACAAGCCGGTTGATTTTGCTGTATAGGAACCTTTCATAGTTCATTGAACTTCGTCTGATCGCATTGCGGTGTTGCTGGACAGTGTCAAGTTTAAGCTTGCTGTTTTAAGACTACAGGTTTGTGAACACACCATCCCAAGCAGCACTGCAGCGTAGAGACTTGAAGCGACCTGAGAGATAGATGATACCAGCCACCTGTGAGATCTTGAGACTTTGTATCACCAGTTGTGTTCAGGAGGTACATCAAAGAACATTCTCTTGATCCATGTTCTGACAAGCTATGTTTGGTCATAATTGAAACACTCATTGAAGGTGTCTACTCCGCAGTACAGCTGTGCGTCAAAGTAATGACAATCGTGAAGATACCTTCACCAATTCATCGTTTAACCATGTCATATGGTTCAAGTTATGATATCAGAGCAAGTGAAAAGTAGTCAAGGTCGACCAGGTCGAAGAATATTACTGTGGTAATTGGTGACTAGTGACTGGTGACAGCTTGTCTGTGACTCTGTGACTATTTTTTTTGACAAAACCATACTACGCCCGGCGTCGCCCACCGGTGGTTGCAAACTGGGCAGGTGCTTCCGTTTCTCATTACCGTCCTTGGAACTTGATTGGCGTTTAAACCTATCTATGTATGCAGTGCAGCGTCAAGGCTAAACGTAAAACATAGGCGATATCAGTACTGTGCGCTTCAGAAATCTTCACACTTCAATACTCATATGTCTGGACTCTGATATGCCTTCGGTACTATCGCGGACGACACCACATTTAAGGCTGTATATGCTGCCGACTCAGCGCGACTAGTAGATGACCGGCGACCTTGTTACCAATGCACGCGAAACGCTTTACAAGCCTTTCCCGTCCAAAGAAGGATTATTGTGTGCTATCACACTGCGAACCAGAAGTGGCGGCCGTTAAGCCTTTACTGCCTCGTCAGAGTAATCCTGTTAACGTCAGCAGTCACTCTGGGTGCTAGCCAGAGAACCCGCACAAAATTGGGCGCGGTGGGTGATACCTGGTATGGACAAACTTTGAACATGCAGTAAGCTTTGCGGCGTGCGCAGTGGTAAATGACATCGCTAGCTACTTGCGTTTTGACTCATCACAGATGGTTCTGGTCTCTGAAGTTCGCCGCAACGTACGTCACTTGTGTGGGGAGATCGGTCTTATCATCCTTGCCCTAACAGGTTATCATGTATACTGGCTTGGTTAGATTGCAAGATCTGGATAATTTTGTGGATTCCGACTCGGATGCCCTTTTCTCTCAGATTCGCGCGAACAAGTCTGCCTGCCTCTTGTGGATGGTGACCCTATTCGCAGCGCCACCGGTCGCCGCTGAAGCGCTGATACCTGACATCAATGAACTCGCCGTTGGATACATTATAGCGCGGGGACCTCACTACCACCCCAATTACTGGATAAGAAGTAAATATACTTCGTCTGACGGAGTGTCACAACAGGGCATCAACAAATTGAGAATTGCTACTTAAGGTGTGCGGAACTGAATAAAATATTCCCCATTCCCTACTTCACTCACTCATACCTGAGCAATGCTAACGTCATCTCGCATAGTTGCGGTGTTTGGAGCCACTGGGACTCAAGGCATGCTGATGTCGTTCATGCCCAAGTGTCTGGCTAACCAGAATCATCAGGCTTATCCGTCGTACAAACCTTACTAGCAGATGGTACATTCATACCGCGTGCAATCACTCGAAACTGCAGTTCGGAGAAGGCATTGAAGCTGAAGACTCTTGATGCCGAGGTTGCCCAAGCCGATTTATGGGACATCGACTCGTTGAAGCAAGCCCTATCCGATGTTGAGGCCGTCTATGGGTATGTCACGTTCGCTCCATTTCCCTCCGAAGGCATAACTTTTCACTACCTATTTTAACAGGTCACCGACGATTATGATCCCAAGAACTTCGCTCAAGGTCACAACAGCGAAATGCTATTTGGCAAGAATCTCGTTGACGCTGCTAAAGCAACGGGTGTTAAGTACTTCATTTGGAGGTGAATTTGGCTATTCCCTCTTGTAACTTTGGCCTCAATGCGTACCTTTCGCAGTTCTCTTCCGCACTGTACAAGGGTGTCCAATGGGAAGTATGCAAATGTTTATCACCTCGACAGTAGGTCTCCATTCGTCCAGCCCACGACACGGGCTAATTATAGCCAGACAAAGCCAACGTAGATGACTATCTCGAGAATCCAGCATACCCCATTCTATCTTGTACACCGGTAAGCAATTTTCCATTTTCAGCGTCTTTCGAGTAGTTGACGCCCATCATTCAAGGCTAGTTTTTGGAGAATCTCTGGAGGTAAGACATCCTGCAATAAAGCCTGCTTGCACATAGCTGATGCAAATTTTGTGGCAGGTACAATACTCTTGCGCATGTGCCGGATTCCGATCGCCTTGAGCTAACCGTGGCCAGATACAACGCTCAAACCCCTCAGTATTTCACGTGGGTCGAGCGGGACCTTGGCCGGTGCGCATTAGCGCTTCTCAAGCACTACAAAGATCCTCAATCAGAGGTTCTCTCCCGCACGTTCTATGCCGTCAGTGCAAAGTTGAACTACACTCAGCTTGCATCGATCCTCTAACAGGGTATGCGATCAAAATGCAGGAATCTGTTGATCTAATCTTCCTGCTACCGTTAGCGCTAGGAAAGTTAGTATCATTTGTGTCCTCCCCTACCACTGGAATGCAGATTCGTATATACTTTCTCTCTGATGCAGTACATGTACTCACATGTTGCATAGGAAAATGGACGACATGGTTGGTATCGTTCAGCATGATCAAAACCTTGATGCTGATGGTATTTTAATAGTATGATTTTCAGTCCGAGTCTGGACTATACCCGGATACCGCTATCCCTGACCCACATTTGATCAATTTAGGAGTGAAGTTCCATACTATGGAGGAATTTTCTCAGGAAATTAAAGGCAGAATCTTATTTCGAACAAAGATTGTTTTTTGTATGCATTCCTTGTCGATTCGTTCTCAAGACCAATCTATGATTATACAATAGCATGCACTAGCGCACAGGTTTGCTTACACCCGCGCAAGTCAAATGACATCCGATACTCGTGACTTTTTTGGTATGTAGTCTTTGCGCTAATTGATTGTGCACGCAAGTATTATTAAAACACCCGAACAGACGAATGAACGCTCAACTACGCATGATTCGGTTAGTGGGGTGTAAAAATATGGCACGAGATACTGTCGTAGCCGACTTGACATCGGGTTAGGAACTCAACGTCCAACATATGTCGGGTTGATCAGAAGCAGTTCAAAGTTAGTTCCGAATCCCACACGAACACTTCTATGCAATGCATTGGTGAGATATATGTCCGGAAAATATTTCTCCATGCAGCGGCCTGCCGATTCCTCAGCCTTGTGGTCGCATTATATATTAAGGGTTTCGCCAAGCAGGTGTAATATGTCGATGTCAGAGGTGTCTATGTCACTCCGTAGCAAATTTTCAGGACTCACTGAGGACTGGTGAATGATGCCCAAACATTGACGACGATGAGGTTCCCCTCCTGTTGAAGTATAGGTTTAATTTGTCCATGCAAACATGCGTCCAAGATACCGTGAAATGGAAATGAAGATTGTAACACTACACTATCATAGTCCTGCACAATATACAGTAGAGTCATGAGCTACTGCTATAGCAACTCACATGAGTCATGGTATGTATACACTGCATAAACAAAACAATTACATAAAATACCTTCGCAAAATATCCTCTGAAGTGATCCTACCACATTCAGGTGACGCATTCAGGCTCATATGCACGACATCCAACAACTTCCAGAAACTTGGTGCGCTCTGCCTCCCGACGGCACACAAGACTGTTGCCAGTACCCATACACTTCCCTTCAGCACAACCGCCTGAAGTGTGCAATGTAAATCCTATACTTGCTCCAAGAGCTCGTGAGGGATCTGCGAGACATGCGTGGCCATTATCTCGCCGTAGACGTGGTAGAAGCAGCGGAAGAGTCGAAGGGTTGGCAGCATAATCATAGATACGGGTGCGCTGGGCACAAGATAATGAAGGAGCGAGGACCGCAAGGATGTGGAGGCGTAGCTCCATAGGAAGATCGTAAAATGGAAACGATTCGCTGGCCAAATCACTGGTAGGGTGTTTGTTCGTGGATGAAAGAGAAGCCTTAGACCGAAGAATGAGTGTCCGGGAGTACTTTAGAAGACTCAATGCCTCCGTCTCCACTTGTCTTTTCCAATAAGCGTTTCGCCGGTGAAGCACTCGATGAAGAGCACGTTCCGCGTCCTTCCATGACACCTCCGTTTCAGAGGATAACAAATGTTCTGATTGTTGAATGTGAGAGTTGTCATTCGGGATTTCTGTGCCCGCTAGTTGGTTCGCGTACACTTCCACGTTCATGAGTGACCAGTTACCCATCTCGATCGCGCGAATAACTTCCCATACGCCCTTGATCCCTAGGTTGTTGCCACTACATTTGAGAGTGTGCAGGGAATACGCTCCGCCGGTATGCCCCGATGAAATCCACTCTGCGAGTCCAGATGCACAGCGGGCAGTTAGTCCCATGGCGTTGACATGCAACTCCCGAAGGCGGGGTGCCCTCAGGTGACGCAAGAAGATCTCAACGACAGCATCGCCAAGCTTATGGTTTCCTGTGAGCGAAAGGAACTCTAGTCGAGAGTGGTTTACTGTGGTAGCAAACCAGGCTAGAACATCAGCATCAGGTCCTATCGTGTTCTATGATAGCGTTCATACACTTTGCGAAACTGGAAAAAGGATGATCACTCACGTTTGCGAGCCACAATGTCTTCAGTACCACTTCATCCCCATTCACATAGTCCGCAATGTCGCGCAAACCCCGACAGCTTATATCATTATCATTGAGATGAATTTCCGATATCGAACTGCGATGTCGTGATGCCGCCGGAGACTTGAGGAATGCAAAGAGTGCAGATACACCGTCATCCCCTAGTCGGTTGTTGTTTAGCTTGAGCTTGGTGATTGACCGCGAGGAGCTGAGCTGAGAAATGATAGTGTGTGCACCTGTTCTAAACATTTAGATTTCTGTTCCGTTCGACTGGTAGAACCCCGCAGGACTCACGGACCTTGAATGCCTTCAAGAATCTCTTTGGATACTATGATAGAGCGGGAGGTGGGGATCGAAATTGCCATGAGGGTAATGGCGAGCAAGGGGGCACTTGGCAGCCGCAGGGAAGAAACGATCAACCTGACAACTCGATATTTAATATTAGGCTTTGGCTCGGATCCACTTCAAACTTCATTTTCAAACACGAGCTATCATCGCTATATGGCATATCAACTGACATCGCTTCTGTCTTGGGTTATCGAAATATGCCTATCCGGTCAAAGATTTGTATTCCGAGAAATACACATCTCACACAAATTCGGCTGATTTATATCAAGGCTCCAGCTTCTCTTCCTCCACAAAGGTTTAGCCAAATCATTCAACCTTGCAGATGCGTAATGCTAAGTTAATCTCACAGAGGATACAACGTGTCGCAGGATTGCAGAATCGATGTTGCATCATCTCCACGGTTCATACTGTAAAACCTTCACCTGATCCCAATGCCCACGAGCCAGTCCTCAGCCATCATGATATCATGCAAACTCCAGCCTCTCAAGGATTGGATTCATCCAAGTCGACTCTCATCCATTCAAATCCAGGCCAGTCGAATTGACTGGTCTTCTTGACCTGAAGAATCTTGAGACTCTTGACCACCGAGTCCTGTGTTAGAGTCTCCTACGAACAAAAGCTGATGTCACAAATTTCGATGTCTGGGACAAAACCGACGAGATTATATGTATGTCCCCCTCTCCCTTCAATTCATTCACGAATTTAAGCTGTATCTAGTAAAGTTCGGTGGGATTTGACCACTTCTTGTTATCCTTACAACGTCACTTGAGAGCTGATGGCAACCGCGACTATCTCGAGTTCAAATTTACGTGCCGTGCTGTCAACTACGCCACATCAATGAAACTTGACGCAAACTGGACAGGGTAGAAAGAACTTCAATCGGGGCATCATCTCGGTCGTTTTGGTTGTAGTCGCCGCTCAATAAAGTGACGCTTCTCCTTAACGAACGTATTGATAATCAGGACTGCCAACGATGAGATACAGCTTAGCTCACATTCCTCTCAGCGCCGATGGCCACATGCCCGTTCTTTTCGGAAACGCTACAAGGACCGGTTAGATGCCATTCTAATACTCCAAACAGTGCGTTATAGCATTATTCTGGCATAAATGATTGCTTGATGATAAAATTTTCTGTCCTTGACAGCACCGACAAGTGTAATCCTTTACTCCGCAGTATCCACAGTTCGGTTCTTGAAAAGCTTGTCACTTCAAGAGCGATACATCAATATCCCTCATCTCACCCTGCATCCATATCTGTGCCTGCCGCCCGACGATGATTCGCCTGCGGATTTGGAAAACCATAGTGCACTAAAATGGCGCATTACTTTTTAGAGGAACAAAATGCCGACTTCCAGGGCCCAAATACCTGTAATGTACTAATGGTTGATTGCTTACGCATCTGACCCAAATGGTGTTTGACTGTCATGATGACCTGTACCTCACTGCTGGTTCGTCTAGTGTATCTGCACGATTGTGCGGCGTCCTGTGGTGAAAACTAGGTACCAGCAGTGTAATATCACACGTAATAAAAAGACCTCGAAAACCTCGAGGACTGACAATTGGTGCATAGCGCCAGAGTCGGTGAAGTGGAATTTGCCCGACCCCAGCATCAAATACTGCCCTATATATCCTCCAAGTACACTACTTATTAGTACTTCAATAAACACCAAGTCACCTTGCCATGACCAAGCTGCTGTTGCGTCGTAGCTCCGTTTCTTTTCTTCAGTCTTCAGCTTCTATTTTTTAGTAATTCTCTTGCTTTTCGTTGTCCTCCCGTTTATGTTTCTGTGCCTCTAGAGCACAGGGCTCATAACCTATACGCTAGCGAATGATTAGTTCAGTATTGTATCCTTTGGACGATGTACATAACCCAAATACCGTAAGTGATTAGCTAAGGTGGTCAAGGGGATCGTTTAGCCTTTAAAAATCGTTAATCGTGCTGAAGCGCTCGTCATATAGTATGGAAGTTAGGAAGGACCTCTACAACGCATGGTGTCTATGATGAATCAAGATAATGAGATAGCGTATGAGAATGGAGAATGAAGCATCCAACAGCATCCAACATGAACTTATTAGTCAGTTGGTTTTTCTTCGTCTCAGCGGCATTTTATATGCGTGTGATCACAACTTTCCAAGGATGTTGAACCTTGAAGCTCGAACGACAACCACGAGCTTGACGGCCCTCATGTCCTTCACATTCCTACTCTTGGCACTCCTCTATTATGTCATCATGACCAGCTTCAAGTGTCGACTGCGGAGCCTCTGGCGCACGATGAAAATGGTCACCAGTGGCGCTTCTAGCATAGATTCTTGGAGGTGGCGTTGTGCTCGAAGGATGTTCGAGGTCCCGGGGCTCTTCGACCACTTCAAATAAATCAGGCAATATGGGCACCTCCGTGTCGGTGGCTACCGCTGCACTGTGTAATCCATGCTTGGACAAGATGCTTGTCGTGGTTGGGAGAACATCAGAATTCCGTGGTGCACTGGCCGGTGTTTCAACCATCCCTTCTGATGTAGAGCTTGGCAATGTGTCAAAGTGCACGGATAATGGGGCACTACCGTGCTCGCGGTGAGCCTCCGTGGTAGATTGATCCTGGAAATCTGTCTGGGTATTTTCTCGAATCTGTTGCAAAGAGCCTATGCGTGACAGAACAACTAGGTTGGTGTGTGAATCCGATAATGGCTGCACGAAGTTGCCAGCATGTGGTTGCTGAGGTACGTGTACCGAAGCGGTATGGTGGCCTAGCCGGACATGGGTGATAGGGGAGTCGGGACGATTTTCATGATTGTCTAGTTCTGGATCAGGTAAAGTTGTGATATAAGAGGTGATAGGCATTGGAATATCCGCCTCGGCAGAGGGACCAACAAGGTCGATTTGGCCGAGCGCAATGATTTGCTTCCAAGCGTTAGCCAGACGAGACAACAGTTCCTGGGTGATGTTTCCAAACAACCGCCAGATTAGCCGCCACGACCATATTGCTTCGTCCCTGGTTAGAATGATGCTGCTTAAAATCATCACCAATACGACCAGTGTCACAGAACCAACGATGCTCCTGGAAGTTTTATCTCCAGCTTTCCACCAATCGATCGAGAATGCCGCAAAGAAGAAGGCCATACTAATATATTGGTATCAGGGCCTCTGCCTATTACATTAAGGTGTAGACTCACCCCCACATCAGCAATGCCTTTGGGAGGCTATAAATTATAGCCAGCTTTTCCAGTCCGTGTTTTCTATTGTGAAGTCTTCCTAAAAATTCTGCCTGAACAAACTGCTATGAGAAATGTTTCAGTAATACGGTTGAATATACTGACCGCTTCCGTGGCTGTATTTTGTCCAGATGTTCGATCATGTGAGACAAAGAACAGGCCGACGACTATGCTCCCCAAGCTCGTCACCAAGGACATGTAGCTTGCCATTTGAATGGCATTTCTACCGCTTCTATCAACAGTGTTGATGGCGAGAAACCCGACGTTGGCATTGAGTAAGACAGTGGCCTGGCTCGACAATGATCACATGAAAGTTCATAACAATGAAAAGCTGGTCTTACCAAGAGGTTAGAGTCCTGAAGCTGCCCTTTGAATTTTAAGCAGAATTCTCGCCACCGTGCTTCGTAAGTAACCTCATCCACAAAAATCTTGTGCAGTTCTTGGACTTGAGCCACAGGGTCAAGCAACAGAAGGGGTGCGAGAATGATCATCAACGGTGATGGTTTATATGACCAACCATGGACCGATTGTTCAAATATCAGCCTCACACAATCTTCACCGTGATAATTCACAAAGCGATTATGAACTTCAAAATGACCGTGAATTACAGTTAGATGTATAAATGAGAAAGCACTCACTGAACGTATACATGATGCGGCCTTAAATGATGGTCAACAGAATAGATCGAACTCAGGCTCAGGCCTCACCAATGACAATAGCAGCGTGACCTCGTCGCACACTCTGATGCGCAGGGGCAGTCTGAGTGGTATGGACTATGAAAAAATGGGATTGGCATATGGCGCCCGTAAGAAGGTATCAAAGTAGCATACCCTTGATTTTGTCAACCACAGAAAGATGATCCTTGAGTTCAATGGCGTCAAACGCCGCACAAGACTGCAGCGATGTTAAGTGGTCTACTCATTGCGACCATATGCATCAATCAAATTATCAGATCGAGGAGAGCACTGACCACATGTCGCATGTACCAACATATCATTGAGTTCATCGACAATGTCTTGTGTAACCGGACACAAACCAGGAAAATAATCCCAATGTTTCCTACATTGTATGTCAATTTACTTGCATATGACCTAGAATTTCATTAGAAATGGGACAGTAAAGTATATATGCCGTGCGAACCTTTACCGGAACACACACCAGTATTGCGCTTCAACGGCAAGCCCTGGTTATGAAAACAAGGATAAACCGTCAGATCTGGTTCTCCTTAGAACTATTAGCTACCCACATATATGTGAGAGGTTGTTGATGCCTTTACATTCTGAGATAATATCTTCGGGATTAAAGTCATCTAACCAAAAGAGGCATCTGTCGTGGTGATTGACGAAATAATAGCAACAGATGACAGAGTCGCCACCAAAGGTCTTGGGCTCAACCACGAGGTCCACCTGCTCCATGTCGAGCGAGAGGTTCCTGTCCTCGATGGTCTGCTGCAGTTCGTCCAGCAGATAGTGCATGAAGTATTCGATGTCATCGCGTATATCTGCTTCACAAACATTCATGTCTGTGAATGTTCTCTGCGCATTATAGCTCCAAATTAGGTGTCAGTCGTCAATAATGCATGAATTTGACGCACCGTTTCTTGGTTCACAAAATAACGAGCGCCCTCTGGGTGCATAAACGCAGTCCATCCTTCGGGCACATCCATGCTTGAAAAAGTTGAGGTGCGGCGACTGAAAGTCATAAGATAACTTACTCAGGTGCAGCCAATGTCAAAGCATGGATGGTAAAGCTGGTGACCTTGTACTCTCTTTGGAAAGGTCAGCGCTTGGGTAAACGAAGGCAGACTAATGTTTACCGGTAACGGCACCTGCCATACCTCTTGACATCATCCGGAACCATAGAGCTTAGCTCCGGGCCGTCATAGACCATGACGACCTCTGAGCCCGGTACCTGCTCATTGTTGCCGGGGGGAGCAGTGTAATGCACATGATGATCTAAACCGTGACCTGGTATCGGCACAGCCTGGGCAGACGAATCCAATGGAGTATAAACCGTATTCCGGGATCCGTGGTGTACATCGGCGATACTATAGATGCTACTCGGGCGAGACGGGCGAGAATGGTCAGTTCCCGTGTGTGCTCGATATGCAGCTTGTCGGGCTTCCGAACCAGCAATTGATCGTGTAAAAGAGTGACCCGTGCTCACCGAAACACGACTACTGGACGCGTGTAGGGAATAGGACATACCAGGCGCCAAATGCCTCATGGATGGCGTGCGCATTGTATTCAAAGAATGAGCATCGTCCATGTATCCTCGTGGTCGTGAATGTATCGTGGACAGTTCATGGTGGCCAGAAAGGCGCGAAGGGCCTGGACTGCTGGGCTCCTGCAATGCGCCGTCCTTGAGGAATGTCTTGCTTTTCGTAGAACCCTCTTCCATACGCAGAGACAGGTGTGAACTTGACACAGGGCCTTGATGGAGCCCATCTGTGTGAGTGGCACTAGTGTATCCTATCGTTGTTGGATTAGGGTCCAACGGAGGCATCCCTGTACTCTTTCGCAAAGGTAAATGGGATCCTGTGTAAGGATCGTCTGAGGGCGATGGTGGCTCTCCAGCTTCCCGCCCCATTTGACCAGGCGGCAGAAGACTCGGGCAAACACATGAACCCTCTCCTTTGATATCCTCTTGAGATCGTGGGGGCACCCCGCTGGCAAAACGAGTGATCAATCTCCGATCACCGAGCTTCAAATGACGTGCTACAAAACGATGCAGTGAAGACAAGACGACGAAGAATAAACTCGCAGAGCGACGTGCAAGCCGTGAAAGCCATTTCTTCAATATGTTGAGAATGTGGGTGAAACGATCTGTGATCATGGCGGGCTATTGCACAGTAGTACAGTTGCAAGTGGGGGAAGGAAAGAAAAGAACAGGCCATCATGCCACATTTATCCAACGCCACAGCCTCAAGGCGCTTATTACGCACTTGCTGTACTGGAGCTTCGAGAAAGTAAAATTTATCTCATGAACATGTAAATCGGAGTGGTCCATCAGAAACGCAACCTTAGCATGGCAGCGAGAGTACTGCAGGGGAAGCGAGGACGAGGATAACTGTGCAATGTGATATTAAGTGCCTGGTGTGATGAAGGAACATAATTACATGGCGTGGGAGGATAATACTAGACCCTGGGTAGCGCTCGCATATTTCTATGGAAGGCTATCAAGAGGCTTCTTAGGCCCGATTGTCCGAAGAGAAATCGATCACGTTTTGAATGCCAAGCATATCGCAAAAAGCGGTAGTCTGAGGATTAGTGTACCAAGGTGCTGCATAACCAATGTCAGCGAATATATCTCGACGAATTAGTACTCTCACGTTGTTGATTCTTTTGAGCTCCTTCACTTCCAGGACCAGGGGCGCTCTGCACGAATGTCTGGCAATCTAAAATGGTTCGGACGCCAGGTAGAGGGACATCGGAAGAATTCGCTTCGTTATTGTGCACATTGGACTTGACCCACACCATCTCTTCAGCAACCATCGCACGAGCTGTTGCTTCATCGGGATAATCTGCTTGACGCCGCCTCGTGGAGAAGAATGGGTGAAAAGCGCGTGATATTGCCAACCATTCCGGATCGAAGGTTAACTTCGGTATGCAGCGTTGTCCAGGCATGGTAGATTCATCCGATGCGGTAGGCACATCGATGACCTATATTAGAAACGATCGGAATCATGCCCTATCGACACAGAGCCACATACCTCCATAAATTCTCGTTTTGGAAGGCATTTATCCAATGCGAGGAAGTTCGTCACAGATGGCTGTGGCCGATAAGCAACGGGAGGCGGTTGTATAACTTCCTCCTCTTCCTCTTCTAGAGTTATTTCATCAGGATTGTGGGAAGTCGTTTGCAAACGAGAATCTTCAATTGGAGGATTCTGATATTCAACTGCATCGAAATCATCATCTGCAATTGCTATTTCATCTGGGTTTTGTGGTGGCGAAGTAGTGGGCAGAGAATTTGATCCGATACCGGATTGTTCATGCTGTACTGTAGCCTGAAAGCGAACATGCAAGTGCGCTGAAAACCACCATTCTGGTTTCAGTGTCCGCAAGAGCCCCATTAAAGGAGGGGAACCCAGGTTGCCCGTCTGTACATCCTGTCTGAAAAATGGTTTGCGGCGAAGTAGGCCCTGAGTGTCACCATGTCGCTCAATGTATTGGGGCCAATCATGAGAAAGGAAGATATCCGGGGAGGATAGCTGTGATGTATCCAATGTGAGATCAAGAACTCACAAAGACTAAAATTCACGCACCAAAGACAGACGACGAACGTTAAATTCCCTGATGTGATATATGCTTCGCATGGTGCCATTATCGTAAGGTAATCTTTCGTAAAAACCTGCGTGTGTTTAATGTGGAGAATCCGAGAACATGATTGGAGAATCACCTAGACTGAAATCATTACTTTTGAAAATTCCAGACGCACCAGCGATACGGATACCGTTCACTTGGATGCACCCGGCATGCCCAAGGAAGTATATGTTTGGTGCAAGCCACCCACCATGATACCTGTGAGAGTAAATAAGGATACAGGTAGCGCGCGGAGCGGATGCGTACAGTTCTGACATGTAATTTGATGCCTCGTGATTTCCGCCTATTACGATGGTAAGCACCGGAGCAATCTTTTCTCCTGTATAGTATCTAGAGAAAAGTGGATCAATGCATGTTTATGTCAACTAGGTATTGGCACGTACTTGTGGAAATCACCTAGCTGCCTATACTTCTGCGGGACAGCCATGCATTGCATGTCTCTGTGATTGCGAATAGCTTGAAAGTCCCCGCACATAAGAAGTAAATCCACGATATAGTTGTGCCTGGTCTCTAGATCACGTAGGTGCTGGTATATCGCGTTCAGTGCGCCATGGCTGCATCCCTCCACTGCAATCTATTAGAATGAGTCAGTGGATTATTACTATGACCAGTGGCAAAACTCGACCTTCATGGCCTGAAAGAAAGTGAAGGCTCCTTCTTTGAGATTGACCAAGTATTCTGAAACGATTATCTTCCTTCCTCTATGAGGTCACGATGAGACTGAGTCACTCGGAAGGTCTGTGGCTGTGCAACTCTTTTTGTACTCAAGTGAGGACAATGAATATATCTAATTAACTAAGCATGAATTCGTACTACTTATGGTTAAATGTCAGTGAAATTCGGACCAACGCCCAAGCTTGCACCTGAGATCATCGACAGAAATCACTGAAAAGTTCGGTGTCCTTAGAATGAGCGATATCGATGGATCCACCCGTCAACGCGTTCCGTCTCAGACAACGACGCTGATTGACGCCAGACCTGGGGAGTTGATTTCCGTTCATTTGAAGAATAAATGGCTCGCATCCTGCGGTTCTCATAATGTATCGGCATAAATCAATGTATTTCAAGCAACAAATTAGCTATAAAAATCAAAATAGGTCACTCGCATGTACGCATGTTACCAGTTCCTCCTTCCTAACACACAAATAAGTGTACAATAGGGAGCAATGCGTGTCGCTGCCATTGTATAGGATATATTGTCAGAAAGATGCACAAGAGCCTGAGCAACTGAGTTGGACACGTTGCGAGAGGCATGCCACATGTGTACTAGTCGATTCGTGATTGTCCAGACCAGCCTCAGAAATGTGCCATATCCTCGATGTCTTCACACAGATAGAGACAAATCGGTCCAAAGTCTCTGAATGTAGATAATTAAGGAATTCCAGAGGGAAGACGGATGTATTTTCGGCTAGGATTCAAAATAGCGGGGGGCAAACAAAACCCAAACCGAGAACTTCTGGGAGGCTGTTGAAAAGCTGTACATGTTCAACGTTCAACTTGAACCTGAATTGTTTCGAGCTCAATGTGTGGTTCTGGTATATTCTGATGGAATATCAGGCTTAGGATCCGACGGACAAGCCCGGTGAGTACAACGAGACAGCGCCTTCAATAGATCGACTCTCACCCGGGTTACCGTCTCCGCTCTCAGAAGTATGTAAACCACAGTGGAAAATGCGATCGGGTCTCCCTCGACCATCTCCTACTTATTATCATGCACTTTAGGCTATCTTCCCAGAAAATTCGACATCATTATGATGATGATCCGGCCACTGTTCGTTCTGTCAATCATCAGCGCTTGAAGAGCGTCAGCGCTAGACTTGCATCAACCATCGGTGAGCACTGAGCGCCTTTTGTTCATCGCTTCTCCATGGTCTGAATAGCCGCTGACGTTCTGGAAGCTGCAAGGAATATCATCAATGCTATACAGCGCCGTGAGATTGTCCATAGATTGGATATCGGCAACAGTTCAATGGGCGATGAGGGTTGCGTACAGCTTTTCAACTTTCTAGACTCTCCTGCTGGTCGAACATGCAAAAACAGCCTCACAGAGCTGTACCTCACAAGGAACGGTATAGGTGGAAAGGGTCTACTTGCTGTATCAAAGTTCATCAGGGACAATGATGTGCTCAGGGAACTATGTTTGTCCGGTGTGAGTACGGAAACCTCCGGCGTTATCCTGTTAAAGTCCCTCAAATTGACACTTTCCTCGTGATTAACGCAGAACCCATTATCGACCGATGCGGATGTCATCGCACAATTTGCCACTGCACTGAACAGCTCGAGACTGTGCACGCTCCAGCTGATCCATAACGGCACTCTCTCTGACACCTTCATTCGAGCATTCCTTCCCAGCCTCAACGCACGGTATCTGCGTCAACTCGGCCTTTCTGCCACCAATATTACCCGCGTTGTGGTCCCTACCATCATTGAATATGTCGCGTCGCCGCGTTGCAGACTGGACCAATTGCAGTGCAACGCGAACAGCCTGACACTGCCCGGTGCGCGTGAAATCATCAACGCTATCGAGCATGAGAATTACAGCCTTTTCAAGGTCAATCTTGATGACCTGCATATTGATGAGTATGATGGCGATGGCGAGGAGCGCACTCTTGCGTGGCAAGAGGGTTGGCGGATTTTAAACAATACATCCCAGAGGAACTTGAAGAAAAAAATCCGGGTGAAAAAGCAAGCTGTCGCGCTGTTGCTGTACAGCCGTGCATTGTTCCTTCGGTCGGGCATGCGGGACCTACACGGCGGTGCTCTTCTTGACTTTGCTTCTGTTTCCGCCCTCGATCGACTTTCCGCAGGTGTCAAGTCAAATATCATTTCCGCGCCCTCGATGTTCTTCCAACTGCCTGAGGAAATACAGCAGGAAGTCATCGCTTTACTAGCACCGGATCTATCTCACCGGCAGCGTATCCGCGTTGCTGCATTTGGCGCCGATTTTCGCACGCTTCCACAACTGGATGAACCACGTCTTGAACAAGCGAATGCGGTACATCTCCCGGCGTTCATGCGAGCAAGTGTCATCCGGCAGACTAGTGCCACCGCCAAAGTACCACATGAAGGTTCGTGGAAACCTCCAGCGTGGTGGGAGTGTGCGTGCCCTGAGGAGAAGCGTAGAAATTGCCGAACTCTCCACCGCTGGGAGAGAGAGAGGCGAGACGTGTGGCTGACGCGTGTTAGATGCGACGTTTGGGAACCTGAATTTGCTACGCGAGGCGCAGAACTTTGATCGCGACTGGTTCGGACTCGTTTCTGCTCCTGGGACTTGTTAACATCTCAACGATCGTAAGCAGGTCGTTATTGTGCACCGATATTTAGGTAATTTGTGTATGTGTATGCCATCCTGTATGTCCTGGAAGTTTCGTGGTATATCTCTGCTCTACAGCTCTTGAGATAAGCTGTGCGCTGCTGTGTCTCCTATGCAAAGTACATAAATTTCAAGTTTGCTACTCACTATCCTCAAGTCATCTCTTCATTCCCCTTGAATCTCTGACTCGACCGAGTTACCCAGTTCTAGGACCTTAAATTATTGTGCTCGACAGCACATACTATCCAGCAGCCGGCATATTTGACTCAGCATCTTGAGCCCAAGCCTATCAGTCTTCAGCCTCGTTCATCAGTGATCAGTTTAAATGTCGGGTGAAGGAATACAAAGGGCACTCCTTATTGCTGTGGAAAGGGTATCCGGTTTCCCCAACCTCCCTCAAGCGCACATAGATGTGATAAAAATGAGAGACTTCCTCGTAAAGTGTATGTATATTTTATGATGGAAAACATCGTCGAATTAATTTGTTGCTGCAGTTCGTGGCTACCGCCCAGAAAACATTGTCACCATGATGCATCATAACAGTGTTCCGACAAAGTTATATCCCAGCAAAAAAAACATGGTGAGCATCCTGAATTACGTATTTTCCATGGCCTATCTAATCGTAAAGCACAGCTGCGTGAGATTGACGTTATGGTCAAACATACATCCCAATACGACCGGATGTTTTTCTATTGTAAGCAAGCTCTTACGTTAACGCAAAGCGCTAATGATTAATGATTGATAATCCATCAGACACCGGTCATGGCGATCAAGTGACTTGTCAACACAACTCTGAATCCGACAACAAAGATGAAGGTAGGGTCACTTCCAGCTTCTTTGCTTTAAGCTTTGTTAAAATATTCCATAAAGCCATCCTTACCTACACGGGAAAGCGCATCATTGATAATGTAAGCTCCATGTCATGATCATCGTCTGGTTCGTGATGCTGAACGACTCCAAGATATTGAAAGAACATCTCGTTGATCCATTGCCTCAAGGCGCCAAACTTTTCGTGCGTGTTCCTATTGGATCTTTAAGTCCTACTAATGATGTTGTCTGGTAAACAGGCGCTGTGGGATTGTTGCCACTCTCACACAGTGCTGGGTGCGTCAGGTTTAAAGTTCGTGTTCGTTTTTGCACTAATGCAAGCTTCAAAGATTTGGAGCATTCCAACTGCAACGGATTATGGCGGAGGCCCCTCAAAGTCTTGTCAGGTGAGAGCTATATTCTATTGCGTCTCCGAGTCGATACTGATGATTTCAGGTCTGGCAAAGAAAACCAAGACTCTCGGTGGGTATTCTGTTACTCTGTTCGTCATCACTTCAATATTCGCCCCACAGGAAAGAGGCTCAGCTCCAGCATCTCGATGGATAGTTGGGAAGGCCGTTTCTCGTCAAAGGACGACTCTCAATCAAGAAATGTATCATCGGAAACTGATGGCATGGACATCTGCAGAGTGTCTTCTCCTGACTCATACGTACCTCCATGTACATTCAATTGCCCTATGACGCCCCCCGAGAACCAAGCCATGGCCTGTGTTGTGCGTTTTTTTCTTAATGATGTATTCTGACATATTCTAAAGTCGATGCCCCCCAAGGTTTCCTTATCTGCATGCAAGGATGATGAGTTGGCATATGACGACAACGTTACGGGTGAAACTGTGACAAAGGTAGGATACAATCTTCTAAGCATTTTTAGCCTGACTGATGTTCGCTTAGTTCTTCATCGAGTACCTCGGTGAGAAACATATCCAGAGAAGAGAACTATAGAACTCATCCTCTCTAGAGCGTAATCCCAGACCTTCTTATTGCGAGCTACTCTCCCACATACGGTGGGTGGCACTTTTCTGTCTTCTGCGTTGCGCTGATGAGCATCTCACAGGGAAAAAATCTATGGCATTACTCGCAGACGTATACAGATGGCAGGCGAGACAACCTACCACCCGCATCATCTACAGAGACTATCGGAAAATGAAGTCTCAATCGAGGATTGGCGCAAATGCGATCCCCATAACCACAGCGATGACGGAAACGACACTTCCACTTTGAGCTCTCAGCAGCCTTCGGTGGGTTCGCTGTTTCTTCATCCTGTTCGCCATACTTAGCCTGTTTTTTGTGCAGTATTCGAGTCACTACCGCCTGGTGAGTATATTAACGTGGCTTGTGTGCTTAGTATCATGCTCATGCTCATGTGATCCAGGATATGTCGCAAATCGTTGAATTATGAAGCACAAAACGGACTGTATTGCCTGGCAACGCTACTACGGTGGTTGATGACATTTACCTTATAATTAATTTAGTATTAACTTGTTCGGGAGGACTTTCAGAGGACTTTCCCTTCTCACATCCTGGCTTCGAGCAAATACCACTTATCATTTCCACGACAATACGATGTTACCCTACATTAATAGCTATACACACCAGAACCTGTCCTTTTATATTCTACTTGACAACTTGCATGTTCTGATTCATAACTGCCATTGCTGCCACAACTCTTGTTCGAGTATTGTGAGTCATGATGTCGGGCAGCGACGAACCCACCAGCCGTCACATCGAGTAACCGAGTCGTAGCAACTGCCTCTGGGATTGATGTAGTGGATGTAAAGCCATAAACATAGGTAGCAAAACCTAGTGATGAAAAATGGCGAGCAGCAAGCGGAAGAGGTTCATGAGCATGAATGAGCATATTAGGTGTGTGATCGAGGCGCAGCTACTCCTACAGGCAGCATGTGCAAGGTGAGAGTGGACGAGACGAACTTGAAAGCTAGCGCTGCCGGCACGCATGAGTCATCCCAGAGAATAGAAAATTCAAATTACTTATGACTTATATAAGCAATCGTTTATTACGCAGTCAGCCAATTTTATATCATTTATCGTTTATTGAAATACGTTGGGGCGTCTTTCGCGCGAGTCCGCGGTAACTTCGAGCCTCGAACTTGTCACATGCAGTACTTCCCGGCTTACTACGGCTGACTGGTCTTTCAAAAATTCATTGAAGTGATGAGCGACGTGCACTACAAATTTACAAAGATCAATCAGCCTCTATAGTAACCATCGATCTCATTCAGGATTGGTCTACAAAGAAATGGTTAAATGACTAGCGGGTGGTGTCCACCTGGTGACACGCAGGAGAGGAGACACCAGCTTTGCCCCGTACAGTGTGAGTTTATTGGTCTAACGTCTTACAGACTTACTTTGTCTTCACATGACAATTGCAGATATCGCATGCATTATGCCAGCGCACATTGACGGCCGCCTAGCTACTTATTTGTGCGTTGTGTACCTATGAGGTCATTCAGGTCCCTTGGAACTTCGCCGCAGCGGTACTAGGCTCGGACTCGGATGTTACTTGTAGTAGTGTGGAGTAACCGGCCCGCGAAACAAATGTTATTCTTGCATAAGAGATGTGAGCAATCGTCCAAATGTTGCTGATTTGCACTGATCGGTTACTGGGTCTTGCAAAGTCCCGTACTGATCCCCTTTCTCGGGCCCAGGATGAGCCTATCCCCATCAACGGGTGATTTTGGCGGCTGCCGCTTACTATGCCTGACAGTCAGTATACTCGTCATTGGATAAAGCAGAACGGAGTAGAGCTCCTGGACTTTACTTGCGCCCCGATTATCGGACAAGAAATGATCGTACTCCATATGACGGAGTATCGCAACACGACACAAACAATCTGAGGATGGCTACTTAAGGGGTCGAGGTGCAGAATAGAATGAACATCTCCCATTCTCTACTTCACTCATTCATACCTGCAATGTCAACGTCACCTCGCATAGTTGCGGTGTTTGGAGCCACCGGAACTCAAGGCATGCTGATGTTGTTCGTGCTCGAGTGTCTGGCTAACCACAATCATCAGGCTCATCCATGGTACAGGCCCTACTAGCAGATGGTACATTTGTACCGCGTGCAATCACCCGAAACTGCAGTTCGGAGAAAGCGTTAAAACTAAAGAGTTTTGGTGCCGAGGTTGCACAAGCCGATTTATGGGACATCGACTCGTTGAAGCAAGCCTTGTCCGGTGTTGAGGCTGTCTATGGAGTATGTCACGCTTGCTCCATTTCCCTCCGAGGACCTGACTTATCGCTACCTGTTTTAACAGGTCACCGACTATTATGATCCCAAGAACGTCGCTCAAGGTCACAACAGCGAAATGCTACTTGGCAGGAATCTCATTGACGCTGCCAAAGCAACGGATGTCAAGTACTTCATTTGGAGGTGAATCTGGCTGTTCCCTCTTGAGATTTTGGCCTCAATGCGTACCTTCCGCAGTTCTCTTCCGCACTGTACAAGGGTATCTAACGGGAAGTATGCAAATGTTTACCACTTCGACAGTAGGTCTTGATTTTTTCAGCGAAGCGACACGGGTTTAATCATGAAATTGTTAGACAAAGCCAACGTGGATGACTATCTCCGAGAATCCGGTGTACCCCATTCTATCTTATACACCGGTAAGCAGTTTTTCATTTTTAGCGTCTTTTGAGTAGTTGACACCCATCATTTAAGGCTGGTTTTCGGAGAATCTCTGGAAGTAAGACATCCTGCAAGAAAGCTTTCCTACGCATAGCTGATGCAGACTTTGTGGCAGGTACAACATTCTTGCGCCCGTGCCGGATTCCGATCGCCTGGAACTAACCGTGGCCAGATATGACGCTCAATCTCCTCAGTATTTTACGTGGGTCGAGCGGGACCTTGGCCAGTGCGCATTAGCGCTTCTCAAGCACTACAAAGATCCTGAATCAGAGGTTCTCTCTCGCACGTTCTATGCCGTCAGTGCAAAGTTGAACTACACTCAATTTGCATCGATCCTCCAGCAGGGTATGTGATCAAAACGCAGAAATTTGTTGATCTAATCTTCCTGCTACGGTCAGCGCTGGGGAAACCGGTGTCTTTTGTGTCCTCACAGACCACAGGAATGCAGGTCTGCAAATATTTTCTTTCTCTAATGTAGTCCATGTGCTCACATGTTGCGCAGGAAATGGACGACATGGTCGGTATTGTTCGGTATGATTGAAATCTTGACGCTGATGATGTTTTGTTAGTATGCTTTTCAGTCCGAATTTGGACTATACCCGGATACCGCTATCCCTGATCCACGATTAATCAATTTAGGAGTAAAGTTCCACACTATGGAGGGATTTATTCAGGAAATTCAAGGCAGATATGCTTGAATCTTATCTCGAACAAAGATCGTTGTTTGCTTGTCAATTATTCGTTACCAAGACCAATTTATGATTGATCGTGCAATAACCTGCAGGAGCGCATACGTTTACTTGCACCCACACAGTCAAATGACGCCCAAATAGACATGATCATCGGTAAGGGTACGTTTATGGGGTATGGACATCCGAGGTTGTCGCCGATGAGGCTGCGATGTCTTGACTGCAAACCTTTTGATTATTCAAGTTACCGAAACCCACGTACATCTGTCCCTGATGAAACGCACATGGCTATCCACAGTACCCAAGTTCAGACCATGTTCTTTCGTTCGGGACTGTCATCATATGTCATTATTTTGCTGTATGTAGTACAGCCAAGTACAGCAATCAGGCCTCAGGTGTGAACTTCCAGTACTGCAGTCCGTCTTTCTGATTTGCTTATAGTTGCAGTACTAGTAAATACTGCACCATGATAACAATCAGAGTTGCATAAATTCTTCTCATACATTATCTTTGTATAAAAGTTTGAACCCTTTAGGCTTTCGCTTTGCAGGTTGTATGCATGGCGAGTTAACACAGTCAAACCTTGGCAAGCCGGATCTACTAGTAGATGATCATCTCGTAATTGCTTTTTAGAAGTCTGACGTTCCATCAGAACCGGCCACTAGGACCGGTCTGACGTTACACCTCATAGTGACGGCTGTGCTCTAGTAATTGTGAGCTCAACACTGCTCAGTCATGTGCCTTGCTTGGGAAATACGCCGATGGCGGCCGACTCATTCGTGGGTGCTGTGACTGTCAGATATCCCTAATCTCTTATAATCACAGATGGTTGGCTTGCTCGATCTGATACTTCCGATACCTACTACACAGTACCGGTCTCCTACTTGTCATCGGTCACTTTTTTGTATCGCCCAGCTGAGCCAGTTCTATGTCTGAGTCTTTGAGCCAAGGCGTATCCCGCAAAGGCAGGAAGAAGGCACTACTCATCGCGGTGATGCATGTAATGGGGATCGATATTCCGCTCCCCCACACACACGATGATGTACAAGAGTTCAAAAAACTTCTTATTGGTTCGTTCTTTTCATTATATGTGGACCCCCACAATCAGTAACGCTCTTACAGACCAGTATGGCTACGCTGAAGATGATATTGTGATGTTGGTGGACAACCGCCAATTGCACAAATCGTTTTTGCCTTCCGAAGTCAATATTGTGAGCTTGAACTGCTTCGATACTTCTAATTTATCCTTACTTCGTACCTAGCTCAAGAAAATCCAATGGCTCGTTGAGGATGTTGGAGAGCACGACAGACTGGCATTCTACTGTTTGTCTTCACTCATAGCTATATCAGTTAGACTCACCCTATCTTGTCAGACTCGGGTCACGGCGGACAGACTATCTGCCACCATGATAGTGAAGTTGATGGTCAAGATGAAGGTGATGTCCATCTTCCAATGATTTCGCCCAACTAACGTTTCTCCAGCTATCTATGAACATAATGGTGGCAAGATTATCGACAATGTAAGTTTGAGGATCATGTAGCCAACTGTGACACTTATTATGTTAGGTCCTGAAGCAGCATCTGGTGGAACCAGTGTTGAAAGCGAAGGGTTGTCAATTGTTCGTGAGTACTTATGTATGTTCGCCAGAGTCAAGTGTTTGATATTGGTCATTCGTAGGCTGTGTTCGATTGCTGTCATTCCGGAACTATCCTCGGTGATTACTTCACTCTCCCTGTCATTTCTACCGACTAACAATCCACATAGACCTCAAGCATTCTAACTGCTGCTTTCCATCACCGTCCCCTGTTAAACCCGTTGTGACCTCCAGCCAGCAAAGCGACATGGATGCAAGTCGAGCACCCCTCGTTGAGAAATGGTCATGGTTGTCGAAAAAATATCATATTTCCCTCCCGGTAAGCATACTGCGGCTGAGCAACAACGTCCTGGTTATGTCTTCGCAGTCCGCCATTGGTATGTATCTTCTCTATCCTGCAGCTTCCCGTTTTCGACATTGCATTGATAGGGCTTGTAAACCGTGTCATGTTGCATCGTAAGTTCAATGTTACAGTGCTTTGTGTCGTCTGACGCAGACTCTAGTTCACAATCACGCCGCGAGAATACTGAAGGTCTTTCTCTCGAGCACACCACCTTGTGCCAATGAAATCAATGGATCTGTGCAGACTGCACCTTCAAGACCACCAGTCTCAGTCGATACTGGCTTTGTTCCTCAGTCTCGCTGGCTCACGTCTCCACATCGGACTGCGATGTCACCCATCTCAATGTACCCAAATGCCAGATGCAACGGTACTTGTGTCATGACTGCAGAAGAAGAGAATCAAGGTCGTGTTGTAAGTTAATACGTATTTTTAGCATTCATGTAGCTAAAGCTTCCAATATAGGTGTGCCTGTCAGCTTGCAAAGACAGCGAAGAGGCACATGACGATAATATGACAGGTGCGACTTTCACAAAGGTGAAGAACAAGCTTGCGCCGCATTTACTACATCCTCATGAATACGTAACAGTTTTTAATTTCTTCACTGAGTAAGTTTGAGATACGTGTACATGATGATCCCTGACAACTTTTTTCGTAGGGAAGAACTCCAGTATTTCTTACCGGGGCTTACTTGACAATGTTAAGTTAGTTTTCTACGTCTATTTTGTTGTTTCAACATCTCTTAATTCATTCTCTCCCAGGTCTCAAGTTGCCGACCTTGAGCAAACGAGGTTAGCAGTGATGTGGAGAAAGACTTTTGGCCGCTTTCCGGTCCGAAGGAAACAATTCGAGGTCACATCGGAAAGTTCAATCAACCGGAAAGGCTTAACTCAAGAACCTCGAGTAAGTGCAGGACTTGGTTGACGAAATGAGATGATAACCAATTAGCCCCCAGATTACAAGTAATTGCCCATTCGTATGTGTTGTTTTCTTGCACCTGAGATCTACCACTCAACTACCAAAAGGACTGGGACAAGAAGGTTTCAATCTAAGCGTTAGCCTTCAAGAAAGGCTAAGGTCAGTACCCTACCTCCGAAGAACCCGATTCAAGTTGGACGTTTTACAGTTTATTTACTTATCTACTTTATCAGTCATCTATTTTCCGTCGATATTCATACCCCGGGGCTGGTTTCACTGTAACACTGTCGTTAAAGATCACGCGATCGATGAGTAGGCACGCTTTACTTTTTTTTGTGGAAGTGTTCCTGTGTTGTAGGCCACAGACTTCGTGTCAAAGTCTTGGGAATACAGGTTGTCCGGAAAGTGCCGGGAAGTCACGTTCAACGCACCTGTCGATGCGAATCATGCGATGAGTTGAACTGTTCAGTAACGTTCTGCTCTGCTAGATTGGGTACGCTGAAACTCATCTACTATAACATTTACATCCTCTTGGCATTCGCAAAATCGTAATAAATCGATGTTCTGAAAGAAGCTTGTCCACCGCCTCCCGATCTGACTCGGAGTCAATGCTGTTCCGTGTAAGCCTGTGTAAAGCTGTGAATTTCCTAGAACTTTTCTACGAAGGAACAGCCTGAGCACCTGGTTCTGATCATCTCTCACTCGTGGGTATAATTTTTAAATGCTATGTCACAGGAGTTCTTATTCCTCTTCGACCTCTTATCACTCTTTGACCCCATCGCTCCATCACCTCATTTTCAATTATCGGTTGGAGTCAAGCAAGTTAAAGCAAACTTAGTGACTCGGAACACTCAACAGTCGATCAACTTACATTTCCATAGACCGCAACTGCCGATCGTCTATCCCGTTACGGTCATCTCAAATCACTTTCAAACATATCACTTGCCTTTTGGAAACCTTAGGTTCATCCTCTATCTGCTGCGTATATGGCAAACTCTACCAATGTTGGAAATAAGAAGGCCCTCCTCATTGCAGTCCGATCTGTGAATAAAAAAGGCTTCCTTCCTTTGCAACATGCACATGAGGACGCCGAATCGCTCAAATGCCTCCTTATCGGTGAGTTGTATAATCATAGTCTCCTGGGCCCGGATCATTCTTCTGAATCTGGATCTTCATTACAGATAAGTTCGATTACCCCGAAGAAAATGTTGTCTTGATGAAGCATGATGCGGAGCACCCAAAACATCTCTGGCCATCACGGGACAACATAGTACGGCACTTAATGACTGAAGCTTGCCAAAGTGACTGACTGAATTGCTGTTTGGCAGCTCGAGCAAATCACCAAGATGGTTGCAAATGCAACCTCAAATGACCAATTTTTCTTCTACTGTAAGTGAAAGATGTCTCGTCAATTTTCAAAGGATCAGAATGATACGTTGGAATGGACAAGATTCCGGTCACGGAAACCAAGTAACTTGCAAGCACCATACAGAAACAGATGGAAAGGACGAAGGTATACTTGATTGCATATTCGCTCTTCGCATCTGATCACATTTGCCAGTCATATACGCGTACACTGGCCACTACATAGTTGATAACGTACGATTCCCTCACACGTTGTTCCTTGGTTTTTGACTGGTCATGCGTTCACAGAAACTAAGAAAGGTACTGGTAGAGCCTTTACCTCGAGGCAGTAAACTTTTCGTAAGTGAATATTCCAAGGCGCCGTACAACACGAGCTCATTTTCTTTTGGGGGACAGGCACTGTGGGACTCTTGCCACTCTGAGACGATTTTGGGTTAGTGCTAGTGATCCTACAACTCAGCTAATACCCGATCTAATCAGCATTCAAAAGACCTGGAACACTATAAATGCAATAAGTTATTGTCTGGAGACGTGAGAACTCGACGAAAGTCATTAACGGGACGCTTCTTGTTGGGTATGTTGAGTTTTTGTGTAAGACTCTCATATATTGACATAGGGACAAGATTTCGTGTCAAGACCAAGGACACTTCGTAAGCACTTCACGCTTTCTTTTCTTGAAATGTCTGACTCGTTTTGTATGTCCATCAATCGGCAGCCGACAACCAACAACCTCTATCGCGTGGTCGTGCGGGAAATCCATCGCTGACGTTAAACAGCATCCTTATGCGACCTCAATCTCCCAACAGCTGGCTTCCTCGCATGTTTTTTGAGAACTCACCTTCTGCTCTCCGTCGGGTTTTGTCCCCAGTCTCTTGGTTCAAGTGTACGGGTGACTGTCAGTAGAAGAGCATGAAGCAGCTCATGTAGTGCGTATGCTTTGGTCCTGGTTGATTTACTTACCAGTAACGCCACTAGGTCTCATTGTCGGCGTGTCGTGATAATGAATATGCGTACGATGACAATGAGACTCATGGCACTGTAACTAAGGTGCGAGTTCCACATCATTTTCGATCGGTTTTCCTAATATGCTCCTTGCAGTTTTTTATTGAATGCGTATGTAAGTATAATTCGAAATATCATATTCAAACATGAACACATACATTGGAACACAGCACAAGATCCCAAACCATCACTGTTCACCTTGCTAACACACATCAAGTTAGGCTCCATTTTTTTAACCTGATTCTTCCTGACAAATACACAAGAGGTCGTGTGGATAAATTGAACGAGAAACGGCAGCTGCAGCTCAGGATTGCCGACCGTCGCGCTACCGATGTCGACGATAGGATGCGAGAGAAGACAATGCCAATCCTCCGACGCCACACAGAGGTAGTCATCCACGACTTGGATGAGTACATGAGTTGTCAGAAAGCTCGCTGCACCTCAAAAGCGAGAACCAAATGGCAGAATCCAGGGGTAGCTTTTTTGTTACTTTTTTGTTGTCGTGTCTGACTAGCCCAACAACAGTACGCCAGCCATTACCCATTAGTTGGTTCTTTCCTAAAATATCTTACTTCGTACCTATTAACTAACCCCGGTATGCAGGGTATGGATCAGGTTATTGATACCATCTTCTGAGAATCTCTTGATTTAGTTCTGTATAGTTACCAACTTATGTTGTATTCGCATTCCATACTGTTGATGATTCCTTATGCCATCATTGATTGGGTCAATTTCTCAGGCGGAACCGTACTATCCCCTACGTAGGCTACGGTCTATCATGACCGCCCGCTCTTTCGTGATTTTTGTCTACAGCACTCAATTTTGCACCAATTACTTAGCTATTTCACTGAAAACATTCCTATGTATTCTACTATCATATTCCAAGTGATACGAAGCAATTCGGTTGAGAAATGGTGGAGATAGTATTTTCGGGCGTGACAGCAGCGAGAGTCACGGGTCGATGTCACCTGCCGCCAATGCCGACGTCGGACATTGAATTTGATGAGACATTTTGTGGGCCTGGCAGCTGCCAGGCTGCTATGCAATTCGTGAGTTTGATTTCGTCGACACGCTATGAAACGTCAACGAGGCAAGCTGACGGCGTCTACTAACCCCGAACATGAGTTAAGGACACTCCCCGATGTTGCAAATGGCGCACACAAGGATGTTTCACGGGCTGCACAGGCACACAATCATGATGTAAGGGAACATGTTTTAGAGTCCCTGCACTACTATAGTTTCATTCTACAGGTTTCCACGGCGAACTCTTGCAGAAACACAAGGACGACCTCGTCACTATCGCCGGCGCTCTTTCACTCCCAGATTGGACAGTCATTGAACTGACTACACAAATCAAGGAGCATCTTGCGGCGAATCCGGATTGCGCTAATCAGCCAAGGCATTCAAGTCGGGAACAAATGAAACAGGTCGAGCCGCCCACAGAATCTGCCGCCAGGATCTGCCCCTTCCACTCATCACTTACTGCCTCCATATCTCATGCATCCATCTTACACTGGCCCCAACATTGCTGCACCACATCCTCACTTCCACATTCCCTCAGTGCTATTACACTCAGCACCGATCATTGGGATTTATTGTTATATATAATTTGTAATACATACTAGTACTCATATACATAGCTTACAACTCAATACCATCTTAATGATAACGGTTGACGTCTGCCGAGCGGACTGTGAATTCGGCAAATGTGACTGTTTGTGACTATTCGTAACATTTATGTGATTCACGACAGTTACGAATAGACCGGGCTTCTAGGCGATAATATTATCTGCTTGGACCGACTGCGGTAGCCAGCTGTCGACTTATCAATGATGCTCAAAGCGTTTCAAATTGCGTACACCTTTCTCTCCCTTTGAATCTCCTCCATTAGCAGGCCTTGAGCTTCAATTCGGGCTACAAAAGAGCCAACAATTCTACTCACTGCCATCCCACAATTTCCAGAAATGCTGACATTCAACATCCTCGCTCTTGTGATCCTAGGATATGTCGATGCATTACGCGCTGAGAAACATCATAGCACAAGCTGTGACCTGTCCGGTGCAAGACTCAATGTGCCTGCTAATCAAACGCAGCTCATTGCGCCTACATACGCACCGAGCTATATTGGTATTGGCGTCGGGACTCAAAACTACACTTGTAATGCCACCCTATCCACATACACGTGAGTTCAAGTCTCGTTCCTTCGACACCATTGCTAATACCATACAGACTTGTTGGGGCTTACGGAGAAATTTTCGATAGCTCATGCTTATATGGCACTCCTTCTTTCGAGAGCGCTCCAACCGTTGCTTATAATGTGTGGTATGCTACTACCGGTGTAACAGTCCAGCAAATCGTCACCATCCTGGGGCTCACGCACAATTCTGGCGTGCTTGGACAACAATACTATGTTCCCAACCCTGTGGGAACCGGTTTGTCTCCAAAGTGGGACTTCACATCATCGGGGGCGACAGCTGGAGATCCTAATGCCTATGTCATTGGTGCTAAAGTTGGCGATCTGCCTAGCTCGAACTCGAGCGATATCGATGACTTAATGATAGAAACTGTCGAGGGAGAATTAGCTAGCTTGATTTTCAGGGTGGATACCAACGGAGGTCAGCCGCCCGCACAGTGTGAAGCAGGAAATATTACTGTCAAATACACTGCTCAATATTGTGAGTACTTCCTGAGAAACCGTAGCAATCCACGACAACTAACAAGATTTCAGGGTTCTTCTCATGAAAACATCTTAGAACACTACTTTCGTTCTACCGTCGATAGAACCCCGGTCGTACTGCCATTTAATGCAATATTCCCTTTAGCGTCGTCTCAAAAGCCGTCGAAATCAAACCGCAAGGTGAACGGAGGTAGATGGTCCAATCGGGTTTTTGGAAGATTCCTCTGATATATGTCGTGGTGCAATCTTCCGAGAATGCTGCCTCGTTTGAGAACCCCGGCCTCCTTTTATGTAAACCTTTCACTTGCGATGGTGGCTCTGTCGGTTCTTCGCTTGCTTCCAAATTGCCTCCGTTTACAGCGGTGCCGTCCAACAGACCTCCCAGTTCGTGTCAGGCAATCGCTGAGAGCAGCTCACAATAGTGCATTTTCATCTTGCTTCAATTGTTCACACCGTGAGCAAATTGGTATGTGATGCCTTGTTTATATTTGTGACACTCATACATGCTCACTACGCATCAAGGACGCATGGCATTACAACCTTCTTTCTTGACATAGTAAGGGAGCCACGAGCAAGCCACGAATGAGCGCAACATCATCAGGGTTAATAGTTTTTCCTGGAATGAATATAGGGCGCAGCAGGAAGCCCGCGAATATCCAACACAGGCATCGAACTCATGGTGCTTGTAAAGCCTTTGCGGTCATTTAAGGTTGATTACGATGCGTACCCGTCGCAGATACGCTCAATTATACTATGCTTGACTTCTGTGATTCGCAATGATCCGTTGATGGTTGATCGACGTCAATCCTGGTCTCAGGACTTCTGCCCCAGTCCTGAACCAGCCCTCTTCTTAGAATGAAAGAGATAACTAACTTCAAGGGGAATTCACGAAAATAGTGGTTTGTTCCGGTGTAGAAGGAACAGATGTGTTGTCCTTGTGACTGATACACATGATATGCAATTGTGAACCGAAATTATCACTTTCATTGTTGGAAGGACGGATCATGTCCTACTCGTCGTGCCTTGCTGGCTGTACAGTACCGTGAAGGTGGTGTCATGTACTCGAATCCCACTAAAAACTTTGATATCGATCTGGCATTACAAACCTGTCCGCGGACGTGTTTCGTGGTTCCCTCGACCTAGAAGGTGATCGGATCAATTGATGTTGACGTGTAACAAGAACCCATGAATGAGGTCTTCATTAAGCTACGCTCTAACACCATCCTGTACGACGGGTACTCGAAGTACTGGACACCGACGGACTAAGTCTGGAGTGATTCTGTAAGGAAATATACTGTCAATATGGAAACTTTTTGTCTGCATCAGATCGAGTCCTTTCGTGGGTCATATGCATCTTTCCTTCTGTAGGTAGCATATTGTATGATTCGGACAGTATGCAAACATTGATGATTGATGGAAGGTCAACCGGTCATGATCATGATTCGCCAGATGCATGAAGACTACAACCTTGATGTCGTGCTAACAGGTCCAATTGTAAGTTGGCCGAGACCCAACTTCTTTGCCCAGCTCCTTAACAATCCCACGCCTTCGCCTTCAACTGGAAGGGGTGAAGCGGGTTTACTACGAAGACTGTCCTTCATAACGCCAACAAAGGGGCGGTAGTATGTTCCAACGACGCCCCTACAATAGAAACCATCAAGTCCCGGTTTATTACAGTGAATATAACACACCAAAGCATCCCTTGCAACAGCGGCATAATTACCTGATCACGAACCGTGATCCAAGCTAGTTTTCCCCAGTCAACGCGTGTGATTTGCTGTGATGAAGTGATGACTGGTATAACGTGTGTAGCGGCGGTGAATGAGTCTTCAGTGGATGATGGAGGGTCGACACCGCCTCCTCTTCCCGCTATTTCTTCCACATGAAGGCACGTCTGCACGCGGCTAAGGTATGTCTGTTCGAACCGGATATCTGGTATAGGAAGACGTATCCGATGACCAGCTTCAAGGCCCTCATTTAGTTCGCCGTGTTTACGGCGAATATGGTCTGAAAAATCATACACGTAGTCGTGCGAGTCTGCAGGTGACGGGTATCTGAAATCCTTGGAGGTCATGGCGGGTTGTGGACTGGTACTGAGGTCTCACTGGGCTCAGGAGCGAAGGAACAAGTTTTATGTAAGTGAACGCGGCATTTTCCGATCTCGAAAGACCAGCATCAAACTCGCACTCAAACTTTCATCCATACTCATACAGCATCATGATATGCACTTCGTTGGGGTAATCCTTTCCTGCTCCAAAGGCGATGTTGTATCAGCTTATGGAGAAACAGAACGTAGCGGCTAGCAACCAACGGTGTGGTTTCTTAGCGCTGGTTGTGGTTGATCGGACTTACCTCGCACCATTATCAAGGCGCAGGCAATTGACTCTAGATCCTTGTCGACTACATGCGTCCGTGATCGGATTGCATTAGGCAATTCCACTGAAGCGATGGCAGTACTTGGTTTTCGATGAGTGCTGCGAGCCATCGATCCACGCCCTTTCCGACGTTTTGAGGAAGTCGAAGTCTTGCGCATTGTTTGCACGTGTGCCCACATAAACTGCCTCGAGAACCCTATCACAGGCCCCGCCCGGCGATTGATATTGGGGACAGGTTGCGGTTTTAGCCTCCCACTCCTGACATTCAACTTTCAGGGTACGGTAGATAACCCTACCTTTACCTCTTGAATCAGAACAGAGTGATAGTACTCTCATTTTGACTTCTCATGACGATATCATATCAATTTCCGCACTCACACTTGCTTCGCTGTCACAGAGTCCCTCCCCCCCTTTCTAGGGGTGCGCTCGTGATTGTTGGCTAACATCCGCTTGTTGAATTACCTCGTGGAAAACATGCGCCCTTCTGAAATGATATAGCGCGGAGTTCGTAGCATTACCTACGTATCCCTGGTTTTTCCTCACGTACGCACTAGGCCTTTTGCTTTCCTCTATCTACTAACAGATGTTACGTGCTGAGCTGCACCCAATGCTTTCTCTTGTCATTATGCGTATACAACGCTATTTCCAACAATGTTCATCCTTTACACACGTTCACCGATTTCTGAGCCGCGCAATCGAGCTCCTCATTAACCTTACTCGACGCTTTCGTCACTCATCACGGGTTCAAGATGAAGAAAAGGCATCGGCAACGACATACGAGGTTCGATCTCTGCAGCCAATTGGCGAATATATTTGTGCTAGTCAACTGCCGCCGAGCTCGAGTCCAGATAGCAGACCAAGTGAACCGTGTTCCCCATCAGACACTCCCTATGACCCACCTACGCGTATTGTAATACCCCGTCGCCCAACCAGGCAACATACATCTCATGAAGTCATGTCCAGTCCTGAACGTTTGACAGTGCCAGGTCCGCCAGAAATAAGGGAGTCCTTCCCCGACCGCGCACCACCTACTCCCACTTCTACTACGGCCACAACTCGTCCTCCCATTTCCGTGAACACCAGGTTCAACAAAAGTTTTCTGAGTGGCTACCCAGACCTTTCCCAGATTTCACCGAGCCAGCGGACGCCTATTTCACCAGATGATTTCGTTCACCGTCCTACACTTTCTCGTGCAGCTACTTTCGGTGGTAGCTGCTCGGAGGGCCCGTCACTCACCACACGGTCTTATCTGAGCCCCCGTCGGCATACATTGGCAGTGCCAAACTCTCCAGACCGTGAACCCATAAGCCGACCAGGCAGCGCCCAGTCAAATGTGTCTCTTGGTCGAAATTCATATCGAAAACATGATGGACAAGCCCCACGCCCTCGCTCCCCCACTCCGAGCCTTTACGAAAGCTCATCGAATATGTGTGGCCCATCTTCCGCTACCCTCGCCGCGGCTGTGGCGTCGGATGCTGATGGCTCACAGGTTCCTTTTGCTCCGCGCGCTTCATCTTCAGGCCATGCGCATTCGAGGGACACTACTGGACCACGTTTTGCTCCAATGTCAGCGAATGGAGTCAAGCGTTTTGATCGACATTCCCGAGAATTTGCTATGATGTACGCATTCTTACGAATATCACACGCGGATACTGAAATTGAGTTAGCGATCCTTCAATATCTGACTACAAGATCAAGGCTTACCAAGTCGAATACCCCAGTCACGAGTAAAAGTTCACAGTTTTGTATTGTCAATTACGACTAATATTCTTGTCGTGGTTTTAGCGGAAACCTCCCAGAAGGCTGGACGGCGCATGTACACCCGGAAGGTGCCCGCTACTTCCTGCATGCACAGACAGTGAGTGATGATCTTTCCCGCTGTGTTATAGTTACAAATCGACCCCAGAGAACATATACGGAGTCAGATGTCTGTTCACAGGAGGTATTGCACGACATCACCTACTTTTCAAATTATCTTCACGGAGAACTCCGCATCGCCATTGACACCAAGAAGATTGACGTTGACTACGACGATGTAGAACTAGTGCTTGAGCCGAAGAAAGCAGGTTGTGCGGATATCATATGCTGCTACTACTTCGTCAACCCTCCAGAGAGATGTCTGTTCTGGCTAGATGAATATGATGCAGAGGATATGCTAGGGGAATGTCGGGGGGTTACCGCTTTATCTCACAAACGTAAGTGCATTTTGTGGGCGAATATTTTGATGTTATAGTATGGAAATTTTGTAGGACTGGCAGTTCAAGCTCAATACTGGTGTGTGTCACTACCAAAGTACGTCACAGATGATATTTTATGATTCTTGCTGACAACCTTCGTTAGTCTAGATTTCCAAAACTTAACGAACACCATTCCACAGGAAGCACTGGGAATTGTTTCCCAACCTTTGCCCAGTTGCGCACGATATATTGGACGAGCTAAAGGAACTTATGCTTCATGCCACTTGCGGTTAGTATTTGGCCACATACGTAGCTCATCATCTGAATACATCCTCAGATCACCTCACAACCACACGATCTGCAGCAGCGTTAAGCGCCGATGAACTCAAGCAGTACTTTGAAATTGTGAAGTGGATAAAGGGTAATGCCACGCCTATGCTTCTTGTTCGTTGTGGTAATTTGGATCCCCAGTGAACTCATCTGGCGACAGAGTGCATGTAGTGGTCATCATAGGTGAGGGCGATATACCCATCTTCGATAATGCTGTTGATCAGACGAACAGGGCGACTTATGCACACCTTCTGTGAGCCTCTCAACCAAGCTAGTATCACAGGACTCATCAATATTTTCCTCAGGTCGCAACCAGTACCTGAACTTCCATGGTCAACCATGTGCTCGGTTAAGTGTCGACCAGACAGTGCGCGGCTGGAGTTATAAGCCATCGATTTACATGACTATATTTGCTCCACTCCTATGCATGGCCCCCGTTGCTCACGTAAGGTCCCTGCATACCAGCTTTGTAGACGATCTCGCAAGTACCTCGGAGTGGAAGATATTCATCACGAAACTGAATGGGCAACTCCAGAACCTAAACCTTCTTGTGAGTCAAATTTCGCTCTCAACAGTATCATTTTGAAGAGGATTTTTCTAGGGTACGGTGCTACTTGGTGCCAATGTTGGTTTTCTGGCAATCCAATCAGTCGACTCAGGTGCCGGGCGTTCACCGACGCAAATAGCTAGTTACATGTCGCTGGTTCTTAGTTTCGGCTCTATTTCCCTGGGTCTGACGTTCATCACTCTGGATCTCACTGGCAGGGATCGCGGCTCTGAGGCTGTAAGTAATTGTCATTTGCGCACTTTGTGAATTCATTCATCGGGCCTTACACATCATCAGTCAAGATTTTTGCAACGGATGAATGACGGAAAACACGGCCTGGAAAAGTTGGCGATGATCTACAGTCTCCCTTACGCATTGCTCATGTGGAGGTGAGTTATTTATCCCTTCTAGACGATCGCCAGCTGAGGTTAAACCCAGCATGCTCTTCTTCATCGCGGCATTCTCCTACGAATGGTGTAAACCCGGAGACGCAGTTTCTAGGTCTATCGTCGGTGCCGTACTACTTACTGTCTGCGGGCTCGTCGTCTGGTGTATATCCGTGGCATCCGATAAGCGTGCGCCGTGGTGGTGGGAGTCAGACCAACCGGAAGTGGTCAGCAAGGTGACTAGCGAAGAGACCAACAAGCGCCCGGATAATAAGCGTCCCAGTCTTGCTTCTCGTCTGCGCGGCTGGTTTGCTACCGCAAATAAACGAGTTTCAGTGGCTTCTGTTCGCAGTGCACGCAGCGGACCACCACCTCATACCCGAGAGGGGACTCGGATGTCCGTACCGCTCATCTCGTTTAGGCGCGCGACAGTGAGCCAGCAGAATCCACCCAAGATCACCGTGACCCAGAGACCTGAATCAGGGGAAGCAAATGGCACGAGCCGCACTCCGGTATCAGAGGTGGGAGTGGGCTATATGGGATATATTTGAAATGGACAGGATGCGTCCTTTAGAGATACTTTCACGTTACTCATGTCACGTCGCGTTGATATTATACTTAGACTTGGCTTACGGTGCCATAATTTCTTCGAATAACGCTGAGAATCCGGACCGACACTTAATCAATGTTTTTTGTTGTTGTTCAATCCAGTTTGGGCGGTTCAATCTGGCCTCGTAAATTATGGATGACAGGAAGGGCATGGATGAATTCAGTTTACACTTACTACCCAATACTTGCCCACTGTCTTCTGGACCTCCCGTCTAACCATGGCATCCTAGTACACGCTCTCGCCGCAGTGACAACTTACAGGCAGGAGTAGTAGAGGGGGGGGGCGCTGAGTTGCCCGAGCCCGTTGTTACGAGGACGCCGGTCATGTTGGAAGTATTGATCGTGGGTTTACGACTCGTTGGCAAAAGTTGGCCAAACCAAGAACTCTTGTGCCATGTCGAGAACAGCATGGTGGCAACGTGGTGTTGTTAGGCCTGGGTAAAAGGGCTTGGAGCTTTTGTAAGTTTTCTGTAAGTGCGGCATTCGGAAGCCAAGAGAGTATGCAAGGGGAATGCAAAGGGCAAGAAAGATAAATAAGTACAGCGGTTTTATCGTCTCGCGAGTTCACGTGACCTCGGTAGGGCTTGCCCAGAGCGATGTAAAGGTTGGTGTATGCATTAGTGTTGTTGGCAAAACAGCCGAGTTTTGCCAACTGGTTGTGCCAGACCGGTTGTGCCCGGTGATCGACAAAACTCATGCAAAATGGGGGTGGCACAACTTGGCAAAACTCGCAGAGATGTAACTTAAATCTGATAAATATACCTTGAAATTCAATAGAATATCGTCCCTAAAGCAAGATGTTCCATGGTGGAGGATACCCACTTGCATCATTGATGAATTTCGAGCGCCTAGAACTCAAGAGGTGTGCGATCGAGTAGTTCAAGACACTAACCTGTCGTAACTTGGGTACCCCCTACGCCTACCGTGACAGCGTGATGACAGCGTTACCGATAGAAACTCATCTTTCCACTAGTATAAAGTTAAGTATGATAATGTGATAGCGTATAGCTGAATTATACAGATGCTGGTAATTATGTACTATATAATGTAATATATGCTTTTCTCAGAACTCCGGTAGTTCACTGATGATGGGCTCCGCTCTTGACCAAACCTTGTGATGCAGATGACATCCTGCCACAGACTGAAGAAGTTCGGAACATTAACGAAGTTGAATTGCTGGAGGAAAATGCTTTTGATTTCGATGATTGATGTCTTCATTAGGAATGTCATACACATATATAGCCTAGAGTTTCGCCACCTGGCAAAACAACCAGTTTTGCCAGTTTTGCCGGTTGCAACCGGCAAAACTGACCCCAAGTAGTTTTGCCCCCCACACTAGTATGCATACTTGATACGAAGGTTTTCGGGGGTTGCCGTGACTGATCCAACCCTGGATGATGTTCTTTCCTTTCATCCTGGCAGTTGTGACACTCCTGCTTTCTATCCTTTACAAGCCGTCTGAATTTAACACAGATGCGCTATTAGAACGGACTGTGTCGCCTCCACGCGTCCTCCTATTAACTGCTCATCCTGACGACGAATGCTTTTTCTTTGCGCCAACAATTCTGGCGCTTCGGCGAAGTAGCTTAAGTCCTGAAATCTTCTCCTTATGCTTATCCAGCGGAAACGCTGATGGTATCGGGGAACAACGAAAGGGGGAGCTTGTGCGCAGCTTAGACATCCTCGGAGTTGAGAAGGATAACCGTTGGATTATTGAACATCCGTGCGTCATCCCGTTACATAGAGTTCATAAGAGTTTGACAAGTTTCTTTAGACAGTTGCAAGATAACATAACGCAGCAGTGGGATGCAGAGATTATTGCTCAAGTCCTTCAACCATTCGTGATCGAGCACCACATAACTTCTGTCAGAAACCAAAACCACTTTCATCGATGTAGTGTGCTACTAACCGTTATTTTATGGCAGGTCTTGACTTTTGACATCAAGGGCATATCTTTGCATCCCAATCACTTTTCGCTCCCATTGGGTGTATCATACCTCATCAAATCTCTGTCATCTTCCTCACATATATCTGTGCCACGTCTCTTCAGTTTGGTCACAGTGCCGGTCCTTCCCAAATATGCCGGGCTGCCGTCTGCAATTCTTGCTCGCATTGGCATCGTCTCTCAAGCTTTTTTAGCCTTTGAGCCTACGGTAGATTCACTTCCCGTTTTCATTTCAGGGATCCCGGACTACCTCACAACTGCAAGGGCCATTTTAGCACATGACTCGCAGATGGTGTGGTTTCGCTATTTGTACATGACGTTTTCGAGGTATATGTGGGTCAACGAATGGGTCGAGTTCAAGTCTGAGAATGTGTAGGGCAAGATCTACTTAATACTACCATGCCAGGGTCTAGGTCAGAGTAATCTAGAAGACAAGTAGGCCAGAGTTCAAAATACATCATGCTGGGCTACAAACGTACTGAAGATATCGTGTTCGAAAATACTTATGTCGGACACAAAAAGCTATCCACAGTCCTGCTAATATATGATCATGGCATAACTCACCATGCTTTCTCAATTTGTTCTTGTTTGTTGCATTTCAGATTTTCGGTTTGCCTTGTTGAGTTGCCAAACGCCTGGGCCGCCAGAGTCGAGTGCACTATGACACGTTTCAGTGCCGCCGTCAGCGACAGTAGCGATGATGAACACGATGTACATATGGTTCAGGACTTCAAGAAGTCCCCGGTGCGGTCGCCACCCAAACTACTGGAAAACCAGAATGCCAAAGCTGGTTCAGATGAGGACATAGGAGTTGACCAAGAATCAGATGAAGAAACCTCAGAAGAAGATAGCTCGTCGGACATGCAGGAGGACGACCTGGCCCCCGCTCGCTCAAGACTGACGCGCAATCACGTTTTGACGGCGGATTCGGATGACGAAACTGAGGACGGGTCGGAGAGTACAAGTTCGCGCTCTGCTTCGTCTAGTGAATCCGATGTGGACGTGTCGGCTCAACGCGAAGATGCTTCGGTGATACCATGGGCTAGACAAGTCGGTGTGGATGCGCAGAAGATGCACGTCATGCAGACTTCGCTATTTCGAATCCCTGAGGAGGCCGTGGCAATTAAAGCTATGAACCGTGCAACGCGACCTCAATTCAAGTTGCCGCTTACAGTCAGGCGAAAACATAGTCGCGACTCCATCGGAGATGGGCTGCGGATGGACTCACAGGAGGTCTGTCGCGTACCTTGTCTCAGCACAAGTCTTCAAATTAATTCCATGTTTTCCAGAGGGCATCATTTGCGCATGACATAGAACCACCAGCTTACCGACCGTCTAGAAAATATGCTCGAGTGGAAATTTCGGCCTCTGCTGTGGCAGGCTGTGAAGATGGTCTGGTAGATGCTGGTTTGGCGTTTGGTCGTTCCTTCCGAGTAGGCTGGGGACCAGGTGGTACTTTAGTCCACCTTGGACGACTCTCTGCTCCGTCGAGTCAAATGTAAGCCTTCGTCCATCTTCTTGCAATAATAATGTTCAGCTGTGGACGGTGTATTATGACAGTGACACTTCTGCGAATTCTTCAGTTATCACGAAGACAATCGTACCGCTCTTTGCACGTTCTCATAAAGAGGCCAACGTCCGGCTTTCACGTCTGCTGCAACACCACTTGAGCAAAACACCAATTGTTAAAGACGAAAGTGGAATCCCTTTCGCCGATCCAACGGCCGAACTTGATTTTTCTTCTTTTGTGTCCCTGTATCCTTCCTCCGACCACTCCGATGAACAGTCTCTTTTCCGACTTGGTCGCGCGTTATTTGACAGCATCGACTTACACCTCGCACCGGAAATGACTGTTGACGTGCGCAATCGGATATCTGCAGTGCGCCGGAAGGCTGCCCTGTCAGATTGGCTTGAGGAAGCTGTCGGCTATCTCGTAGATGCTGATCTCAAGAAACATTCCTCTGGCGACTCTGCTGCGTGCATTTACACACTCCTTACAGGCAACCAAATAGAAAAAGCTTGCGAAGCAGCCATGGACAACGGCTACATCAAACTTGCAACTCTCATATCACAGGCTTCGGGCGACTTCGAGTTCAGGGAGGACTTGATGGAACAAATTCAGCTTTGGCGGGAACAGCGGATAGACGTACACATCGGGGAGAGCACGCGCAAAATTTACGCCTTACTCGCCGGAATACTAGATGTTGTGGAAGGGTCAAAAGCTAGTAGTCTAGAGCATTGTCCGGACGTTGACCCTATCAAGGGTCTAGACTGGAAGCGCACATTCGGTTTACATCTGTGGTTCTCTGAGCCGATGGACGCACCAATATCACAGGTCTTCGAGTCCTACAATCGATCACGACAAGAATCGCCTTCTCGTGTCGCCCCTCCACTCCCATCATACCTCGAGCACTCATCAGAATCGTTGCCATTCAATGTTCCTACCCCATCGCCTTCCGACGCTCTCTTTTCTTTAATTCGCCTACATGCGGACCCTACATGCTCATTATCGCAGGCCCTCTCCCCACTCTCATTCGGGCCTTCACCAGGCGATTACTCACTCTCGTGGCATTTGTATATCATCTTATCACGGTGTATGCGTATCCGTGACTTCGCCGATCGTGCGGATCTGGGAAATCGCAGGGACGCCATGGATGATGATAATGAACAAGATCAACATGAAGGCCATAGTCCAAGTGCTGACCTGCTTGCGAGCAGCTATGCACACCAACTGGAGCAGCTTGGCATGCTCCAGGAGGCTGTTTTTGTACTTTTACACATTGAAGGATCTGCAGGGTGAGAACACGTTGTCAATCTGTATGTCTTGGCTACTCACGGTGATGGCAGTCGTGAAAAGGCAATAAAAGACCTTCTTCACCGCTCTGCCGATAAACTGGACGAGTGGATGTGTAGCGGCATCCTTGGAAGCCTCAAGATCCCTGTGGCTTGGGTGAATGAAGCAAGAGTCAGCATTTTATTATTCTCCTCATTCAAGCACTCACCCTTTCGCATAGGCTGTGTGTGCTATTTATGAAGGCAAAGTTTTCGAGGCCTACCAATTGTACTTGAATGCAGGATTGTATCAGCAGGCTCACGACCTTGCTGTTGTTGAGCTTGCACCTGAAGCAGTCATCCGGCAAGATCTTGATCTGCTTGTATCATTATTTGAAAGAATTGCCAATCAGACTGTCGATGGATGGCATACTCGGGGCAAGGTAACGTCATTTCGTTTTCCGCTCCACCCATTTATCTGAAACTTGGAAACTTGTGGCCTGACTAGGTCTATATGGACTATGCTCATGCCATGACACGCATTCCCGAGCTGCACGCTTCGCTGACAGAGTCAGCAGTGCCAGACACAGTTGAGGAGCAGGAGTTGGATAATTTCACCCGTACTGTGCCCCGCCTTATCAACGTTTTGCCCGATGTGTTGTCCAATCCATCCGACCCACGACACAAAGTTGCACTAGCCGAGATGATTTCTGGGCTGACAGCCGTGCTTGATATAGTGAGGCCCTTGGCACTGGTGTGTCTCTTCTTTTTTTGTTCTGCTGACTAGGAAGCTGAGCATTGATCCTTGTCGCAGTCGCAGTCACAAATAAAGTTGACCGCAATCGACGAGGCAACCAAGCTACGCCACATACAAACAACATTCTTTGAAAAATATATGAGGTCAATTCAGGCCTCGTGATTCCTGTTTTGCCGGAAAACTGCTTCTTCGCGGTTTATCGTTGTATCTAACTGTTGTGAATACCTTTCCTTCCCGTATTGTATCTATGCATTGATTGAAGTGCGGACCTGCTTGTTCATAATATTATTCAAAAATATTCGTGTGATTCTAGTTCAAATCTGTTTCACTGAAAGGGCGCGCTTAATTTAAGACCTGTTTTAGGTTGACTTCGGAGTTCGTCTCTTCTGTCAATAATGCTGTCCTTAGCCATAGAGACTGGTAATGCGCACCATGATACGGACTTACGTATCAGGTGAATCAAATACTTAATGTCCCTGAAAAATGGTATTGCCTTAAACTCAATCTAGGCTATCCGATCATATGCGCGCTATCACGAACTGAGCCGGGAACAACTTCCAAAAACTTTCGGAGTCACGACTTGCGCGTACCAGTGGCTACTCTACTCTGGCTAACCTTCTACCAGCCTAGTTTGTGCCGTTACACGCCTATGAATGGCCCCAGCCGGATCCCAATACGCATGACGCGTCGAATTTAATCTTGTTCATACAAGTCTAATTGGCCGATGGTTCCGAAACTTCACAGAGCTTTCAAATGCGGACTTGGTAATTCAGTCCCTTTGCCTTTGAAATCATACAAAGCAGTGTCGGTAACCTCGCGGCCTTGACATGCACGAGCCTCTAAAGGGGTGTAGTAGTGCCTCCGAGTCTCATAGTAGGGCTCCGTGCGTCACGGTCAATTTCAGCGACCACAAGGCACTTACTCGGATCTTGAAACACAAGTATCAACCAGTGCGACTAAATATCATCACAATTTGCTTGCTCTAACTGTTTGTTTGTGGTGATGCTATCAGACAAAATTGGGCAGCTTACTGAATTTTGAAATTTATATTTGGCCATCTACGCTATTGGTGGGCTAGATCACGGTCAATAACGCGATGACAGAGAGGTTCGCCGCGGACCGGAAGGAGCTGCGCGGAATGATTACTGCGCTGAACCTCCTTCTGGAGTACCGGGAGGACTCGTATGATTCTGTTTCATATAGGAGCTGTCACACCTCGGTACTAAATTGATTGCGGGTCCTCCGACCATTGAGCTGAAGGGTCCCACTTGCCCTAAACTCATTCTGTCACCAGTGCAAGTCGATTCAATAGGAATAAACATTAATTTATGGATGTTCTAAATAATAAATACCAGCCATCTATACGACATCTATGTTTGTCCGTGTGCCATGCAATCTAAAACACCGTTTCAGTCTATGTTCTTCCCGCACTGCAATAAAATTGTGGCCAGCACGCCAAGCTCCAGGAGCCCAAGCTGTACCGCATGGGGCGTCAATTCAAGTGTCACAACGTCGTGTGTCTTCGATACTCGGGCGAGTACGTCATACGAGCCCGGAATAGATAGCTAGTCGGTAGCATAGCACCCGGATCAGCTATGGTTGCGCGGTGGATAATATCTAACGTACCTGCAGAAATCTGTCATGTGGTCTCCAGGAGTAGCCAACGCCGTTGTGGACCATGAATCGGTGACTACCGGATTTTACATGAATGACCCCCGCATTCAAAAATTAAATTAAATCAAACACACCTCCTGTCCGTCGAGAGTCTAAGCCAGTGGCCCATGGGCTGTTTTGCGACCAGAGAACGCACCTCGACTGTGGGGTGGTCCCGCCACTCCAACAGCGCGATATTCGAGCCCTGTGAATCCTTCAGCACGGTGTGGCCCCCGTCCGTCACGACACGGAAATACGTCTCGTTGCGCGGTCCAACCACCATGCAGTTCAAGATTGTAGGGCTCAACGACGTGAACTTGAGTGTGATCGCGCCCGCAAGCGTTGAGGGCACAGAGGGGTAGGGGAGGGCGCCGAAGATGGACGGCGGGGGGACGCTGGAATCCCAGGTCGACTGACCGTTTCCTGCGTTCCATGCATCTTGCGCTGTGAATGGGTTACTTCCGTACATGGCTGCGGATGTGAACAGGGAAACGGCTGAGCGAATGAAGAACTTGTGTGTTGACAGATTGAATGGACTTGAAGCAGCTCCATTCTTGATATACGATCCAAGGCATAAATGCGATGCATGAGAGGGGCATGACACACTGCTCACTGCAATGTACTAATTCGCATTACACAACTGAACGCACTGGTGGACCAGCAACAGAAAGGTTGTCACATGGAAAATAATGCCAAGGTAGGAGTGTGTCAGCATACTATGCAAATCCGGGAGGCAACCTGCCTGACGTGACCGCAGGTCAGTTATGGTACACCGCGGTGACATCTGACATGGCTACGAAGGATGTGCTTGTGCAGAGGTGCCGAGCGTCGAGGTGCTATATGCAGTACATACTGTCATCATTGGTCGGGAGTTGCATGTGATATGCAGTGCTGGACGTAGTAAGGTCAAGGCACACCGACTCACCTAGGCGCGTACACCGTAGTTAACGGACAATAGATTCTTGCGACTCAAAGTCGACTGCCCTGTAGCAAGTGTGTTTTAAATATCCGCGTGTAGTTGGAAGTTTGAGAAATAGCATCCGTACCTCGTCGGGAAGGCATCAAAACATTATCAATATTACAAGGCCACAACATTCCCAAACACGTCTCATCCAGAAACGTCTCAAGTTGGTAGTTGACGTTGAACGTTGACTCGGAACGTTGCGCGCTACTCCCGTCCATAGTGACGATGTCCTACTAACCATTCGCAATCAGAGTTTGAAGGAGGTCGTTAATAATGACATTCCTCACTGACCCGTTGCAAGACAACAATTTAATTTTAAAGTTGGACTTATTAATGACCAGTGCAGCTCAACAAATTGCCAAGCTGAGCACCACGCCACGAGTCTCACGACAATGACGGTCCTTCATGTGATAACTAGTGAAAATAACTTGCATGCAGTAAACCGCAGTAAACTCGAGGGCGGAAGAACAACTTGACATGAACATGCAGACCAGTATCAGACTGAGACGGATTCCTGGACGATTTATCGTTCATTTGATACAAACAAGCGAAAGGGGGGATACTAAAAACATAGACATGCAATGATGTACAACGGATGTTGATGCACTTTCATACAGCCGACCAATACAACTCATGTGTACCGCTTAGAGAAGTAAATGGACACCGTACTACGTGGCATACCTGCAATAAATAGATGAGATGAGATCATACTGAATATTGTTGACACATACTTCCTTGTCCACTCCCGAGCTGTTGCTTCGTAGCGGGTACGATCAGTCTTATACAGATGGGCGATATCATGCACCAGAGGATCATCGGGATTGGGGTCCGTCAACATCGAACAAATCGAAAGTAACACTGTATGAAGCACGATATAGGCCACAATAATGAGAATATAGCATATTTGCACACCTTTTGATATAGTCAACGCTGGCGACCACTGATCCCTCAAAATATCCAAACAAATGGATCCATTGGCATTGATGTTAGGGTGATAGATCTTCGTCCTGAAGCTGACTTTGGGTGGCTTGAAGGGGTAATCGGTTGGGAACGTAATTGTTAGGAAGAAGACCCCGCCCGAGTACGGTGAGTCGGTCTATCACAAATGGCACGAGCGCTAGATCAGCAATAGAACCGAGATTAAGAGTAAGATGTCGTACAGGGCCCATGATTGTTGCTTGCCATGAGAACATGTTGTCGCCTACAGGACCTGCACTGCAGGATGAGGGTGGGTCACGTCCGAGGTCAATCAATTCCTGTGCGCCACATGTCAGAATTGAGCGCGAGCATCGCCACAGGAACACAAGTAGCAACACACGGACCTTGTTGATGCGCTTCAAGGCCATGGCAGCGAGTTGTTATACAAGATTCGAAACTGCAGCAACAAGCCAGAACGAATCGCCGAGAGATCGACCAGAATCGCACACGATCAGAGGATATGATTAAGACATGGGTATAGACGCGGGATGATTGGCAACGATATCAAGACAATGAGTATGAACAAGGCATGAATAGTGAGAAAGATAAATTGCCCGTGAAAACTAGAAGAGGACTTACAGATGAGTTTGTATGACGATGAGCGGGAATGCGGTGGTGGTAAAGGGCAAGTAACAAGACCAGGAGATTGTGGCTATTTATGATGTTTGTATCCTGTTTGGTCCGGTCGCTGACAAAAGCAGCGCGTATCTTTCGAGACCTGGAATCTCTCTGGCACAATTCTATGATAACCGTTTAACGGATTAAACCCCCGGCCGGGCCCCAAGTTCCGTTATTGTCGTGTTAATCCAACGAGTACTATGGGTTACCCATAGTAGAGGTTTTGACACCAGACACAGTCGATCTCGAGCGCGAAAAGACCCACAAAGTGAGCATGTGAATATTAATAGAGTTATAGGTAGTTTGCTGTGTAGGCTATATACTACTACAGTCGGCTACTCCAGCCCAGCTGCCAGTGCTTTCAGACCTCGGGCAACGCTCTTTGCTAGAAAACCAAGAACGCCTCGACAGCACTAGTAGAGGTCAGCGGCCGAGTAAATTTGAAATGGGCGCTCGCTACCCTCAACCCTTTGACTGATGAGTCACACCCCAGGTACTCGACCAGATAACACTTAACTTGCCTCAATTTAAGATTTTAAATACAATTTCAAGATCGCTTGATGTTATTAAATATACAATGTATCCAAGTCCCCTGTGATAACGCCTGAACAAATGGAAAAACTAACATACTTACCAACCCCGCACAATCTCCTCATTCCTCGTCTTCATCATCACTGATGACCAACACCGTTTCCTCGCACGAAGGCCAAGAAAATCTAGTCGTCACAGCCGGAGCCTTGCTCGGCACACCCACCGAATCCATCTCCATCAATCTGCATCGCAGCTCAGCCCCACATTGTCCCTAATGTTCGAACTTCACATACCTGCTCCACTCACGAACAGCGCACATGATATTTTCTTTTTCTTCCTTGCTCTGCGCCTGGCTGAGCTCCGCAATAAGCTCCTTGCTCCGTGTAATGTACTGTTCAAGCTTCTGCTGCTTCTGAAACATCTCCTGTCGTGTATTCAAGGGCACCGCGGGTTTGAACGGCGTCGGTTTGATGCTTTCTATTGTCTCGGAAATAAACGTGACAGCAAGTTCTTCCAAGCTCCTACTCGAAAATCAGTGTCGATAAAATTCTAAAAAAAGGCAGAACAAACGTTGCTGACGAGACGGTGGGACTGGGTTGCGCAATGGCAACCTCACCGTTGACAGCAGATGGCGCAGGGGGGAGTGTTGCAGGACCAGTGGACATGGGTGAGGTAGTTGCGCCACGAGCATTCGCCTTGTTCTGCTTACTTTCATGAACGAGCCTTCGCAAGTTCATTTCATGTGCGATCTTGTCCACCGATGGTTCGTGTGCCGACGGTTCGTTTGGCAAGGGTACTGGTAGTCGTGAGGGGAAACAGGAGTCGGTGGAAGTACATGTGAGAGAATTGACCATGTTGAAATTTTCTATATTTTGTGTGAATGCACTGGATTCAATATTTTCTTCGAATTCCTTTTGGGGTGCGAGTGAAATGACCTTGGCTGAGTGCGAATGTTCTGCTGATTCGTCGGCAGATGTTTCTGTAGACAAGAGAGACGATGATGGGTTAGAATGTAAAGTGGAATTGGAACAGATGGGCTGCTGGTCGAAAGATATTGACGAGGAGATCGTTAAAACTTCTGCAGATTTTCTGTCGTGTTGTGCGGCCTCCGAATTCAATGCAGGAAGTGGACTATTGTCCGCTGAAATAAGAGCCACAGCACAATCCAAGTCCACATCCGTAGACCTAGGAGTGTCCACCTTTGCACTTTTTTCTCCACAGATTTCACTTGCCGATAGCAAATCGCCGGACATGCCGCTCGTCACTATTGGCGAGGACATTTCCACATCCTCCCCTCGGTCGTCGTGAGATATGACGAGCTGAGTGGAGTGTAGCCGTGAAGATGCAATGGACAAATGATCCTCGTCATCGTCCCCTTGAATAAAATGACCAACCCCAACACCATCCTGCGAGCCACTAGACACCTCAAAACGCACGGAAGAATCATCGAGCGAGAACCGACGTCCACGAGGGGCTGGTACATCGATGGATGCCTCTTCCCGCTCAGTAGATGGTACGCGCCCTTGTTCGTCGACAATGGTATCTTCACTCGCTGCAACTTGTACGCCACTCGAACCTGCCTGAGGATTCGGCTCAACCAGCTGCTTCCGCTGCAGCTTCTTCTTTTGCTTCTTGCTCAACTGAACAATCGGCTCGTTTATCTTTCTGCTTCCATCCTCCACTTCGCCCTCCTCGATCTCGCCAACGCCAGCGTTAGAGCCCACCCCCGTAACCCTATACCACCATGCCCGAATCGCATGTTTCCCCTTCCCCTTCAGCTGCTTACTCTGAAATGCCTTCCGTGCAGACGCAGAATCCACAAATTCCACCAGTGACTTCCCATTCTTCGTATCCACATCAACGCACACGGGCTCTGCTTCCCCTGCATTCACCGCCCACTTGTGCACCCACGACGGGTTACGGAAGCGCGTTGGGATGCTGTCTAGCACGAGTGTACATGAAGGGTTCGGCTGCGAGGCGAGGTGCTTCGCATACGTCCCTGTCTTACTGTTTGGGTCTGCCTCCGGTGCATGTCCGATATGGAGGAGCTTGGGCTTCCGCATCCGCTCTGCGAGCAACTTCTTGGAGGAAGGCGGTTCAGGCGTTGAAGTTTCCGAGCGATCGTGGTCGTGGTCGTGGTCAGGATCGGTGGCCGATATAGCTTGATATCCGTTGGACTGGCTGCTACCAGCAGCAATCGTGGATGCATCAGTAACCACAGGAGCAAGCCCACTGGGCGATGTCGGACCCGTAGTACCTCCAGCTGCCGCGGCGTATGGGTCGGCAGAAGCAGGTGCTGATGCTGGTGCATACCCAGCAGGAGGGGTCGGGACGGGTACGTATGTATATGCTCCCGGGTTCGAATAGTCAGGATATGCTATGAAATAGGTGGGTGCAGGTGGAGGTGGTGCAACAGTCACCATCCCATACTGCGTGTGCCACGGCTCGGATGGTTCTGCCCCAGTATAATATGGAACCGGCGCGCCTGAGAATGCAGGGTTGTATATGGCGCTTTGCGATTGTTGTTGCTGCATTTGCGGAAACGCAGATTGTGGGGCAGGCAGGATGGCAGTGGTCTGCCCGTCAGGGTAACTGTTAACTGGTTGTGTTTGTATCTGAGGATAACCAGGCTGCGGTATAGGAGATCCATTGCTTGTAAGTTGCTGCTGCTGTTGCTGCATGGCACGTGGTGCAGTTGGCGGAGACCGTGGTGCAATGGGTGGAGTTTTAGGAGCCAGGGTCGGTGACCGAGCCTGAGCTTGAGATGCGAGCCAGCTACGAGGTCCTTTAGGGGGAGGCGCAGCAGGCAATGGAGGACTATATGGAATATTTGACCTAGGACCTTGAGGAAGTGAAGGCACCCGCACCGGGCTTGGTGATGGCTTCGGAGGCGATGGGGCGGTAATGCGTTCCCGTTCTTTGCCTTTCCTACTTGAGGCGAGCGCTGCCCAAGGCCCTTGGCTAATATTCGCGGGGCCAGTCGGGGCAGCGAGCGATTTGGGTTGCAATGGACAATTCTGCTGGGACCTAAAACCTCGCGGAGGAGCTCCAAACGTATGCTGTTCCTTTCTCCGTTTCTTATTTAGCTTACCATCACCTTTCCTCGGTGACCAGCCAGTTGCGTAAAGCTGGGGTCGCTGGAACCCAATACCGCTGTCCACCCGTTTGCGTTTCTGAGCAACCTCAAGGCACACAGGCTCCACTCGACCTAGAGCGAAGACCATCTGGGTGAGTGGAGGACACGCGCTACAACGGCACTTACCGTCGAGGCCGCGCCCTAGACCGCGGCCTGGGCAATAGCCCATGTTCAGGGCCATGGCGTAGCCCTTGCTCGCCGTGGAAAACTCCTCTGAATTACCATCTGGTGGAGTGCGCAGCTGATCATTCTGTTCACTGTCAACAGAATCCGAATCAACTCGCAGCTGGAGGTCTATCATAGCTTCGTCCTCATCGTCTGAGATGACGATGGGAGAACTGATAGAACCAACACCTTGAGCGACCATGGTACGGTCGGTGGCCTGAGGGGTAGATGAATTGTTTGGTGGTCGGAAACCAAGATGTATCGAACTAAGAAACGTTCTGAGAGTCGATCTCATGGGTTCGTTTAAAGTCCGCTACAGTGAAGGATGCACAAGCTCGATGGCGAGCTCACAAAATGCAGATAACATGCAAGAAACACGTTGTTTGGAATTTTACAATTACTACAGTCAGCCGCAAGAAGGACCTCCGAAAACGTGATTTCCATTCGGATTACAGTAACTGATCGGCTTAAGGCTCCGTCAGACAGCCGCAAGGCAGCTAAAAATGCGCGAGGATGCAACAGTGCTGTGCAAGTCGAACCAGCGACCAAGGGTATTTCAATACACTACTTGTGCTTGCCTTCCCCACCTTGGTCTCTTTGTATCAGCCCCACTCCTACAATCACGCCATCTGCGAGAACATCAGCCACTTTACGGCCTTCTTTGGCATGGTGCTCTGCTTGTTTAATAAATTCGGCCTTCACAGCCTTAGCGTGCGCAATCTGCACAAAAAGGACATGAATTTAAATACGGCAGATAGCAGGAATACTCACCTCTTTCGTGTGGTGGAGGCACTCTAGGTAATCATCCGCCTGCAGACGGCATTGACTAGGCACGTCAGCTTCAGCATAGCACTGTGAATATCAACTGTAAGAAGTCAATTTCTAGAATGGGTATTCTCGGCTATTACTTTCGAGAATTCTTGCCAGTAGGCAAAACACCGCGAACGGCCTGGACACGACATTGTTCAGCATTGAACATGACCAGCAGTAAATAGTCGCACCTCCAGTGTAACTGAAACCTGACTGTGTGCAAATAAGACATTAGTGAAAAAGCTTGTCATTACCAGGCAGACACATACCGCCATCGAACTTGGGGAGGAGAAACGAGCGTGACGCGAATGGATCCCGGGTCACGGTCACAAGCACTAATATGAAGACGTGACAGAAGTCACAAACCTTCATTATTGCACTGCCACACTCCGTACTAAAACACCCTCTTTGTCTCAATCCATACAATAACGCCAAGAGCAATGGCTGATCAAGCGGAACTTGTCTTTGTCAGGAGCTTTGTAAAAGTCATTGGAGCTCAGCCTATCGTGTACAGTGACGACTACAATCAACCTCCACAGAATTCACTAAAGAAGGTCCCTATCTTACCAGTGCGTGTTAGACTCGAGGATCGTGTTTCATGGCATGTTCTTACGCGAAATTTGTTTCAGGTTGAGCTCCCCCCTGTTCCAGAACGTAAAGGAGAACCTTCTGCACCGCCAGGTAGATGTCATCTCCACGTTATCACTGATGGTCATCTCACCAGAGATCGCTAGCCGCATCAATCAGTATTACGTTCAAGTCAACAAAGCCTCCGCAGTCGTTCACGCTTGCTGTGCAGCCAACAGATACTGTATCCGAAGTTAAAGCCTTGCTTGCTTCTCAACCGAACGCACCGCCCGCAGAAGCACAGCGGCTTTTACTCAAAGGAAAGGCACTTGCTGACGCAAAGCTCCTTAAGGAATACGGTGTGAAAGAAGGAGACACTATAAATTTAATGCTTAAACCCGGGTTTGAGTGGGATCCTACTAAATCTCCATCCCCACCCAACACTTCGCCAGTAAAGATGAAATATTCCAATCTTCCCGAAATACAAACACCGCAACCGAAACTGGCAACAGGTCATAGGCATACACGCACGCCCTCCATCGTATTGTCGCCATCACCATCAATTGTGTCTCTCGAGCCCGAGGTCAAACCTCACGACATTGATCTGACTCTTGACACGTCTCTGTTACCCACCGCTTCAATATCGCGCGCAGCGCGGTCAAGTTATCAGACTGTTATCTCCGAGCCACCATTTTGGGATCGCCTGTACTCTTACTTGAGGTGAGTAAATGATTGTGTTATGCGCAGTTCGTACCTAAACATATATCATCAGAACGGAATTCAGTAACGATAGTGATGCACTCATCGCTTTTGAGGACTTCCTCCGGGCAAGCAAGGGAGGGCTGACAGCCAGTGAAATCGCGAAAATCCGTGATCATGTAGGCGTTGTCGGAATGGCGGGCACGTAGAGTAATGAGGATCTTTCGAAAAGTTAGTTGGGCTTCCACATTGCACACTTGTCTTCATAATTCGCCTCTGTCGCGGCTTGCCATAAATGAATTAGCTGGAATTCACGCAACGATGGAAACATGCCAGATTGCCAGAAAAGGTAATTTTCTGTGACCTATTGAATATTTGTCTTGACAATATCAATGAATATTTCCCTCCTCCGGAATATTTGCTGTTCTAGCTAGCTTCGCCCTTTCGAGTCAACAAGAATTGTTCCGCGGACTTGTAGAATGTGAACTTCCCGCCCGTATGATAGTAATTGCCTTTCAAAAGTCTGCCCGCCCGCAGCGTAAGTACGTTCGTGTCCGAGTCGCGCCCAAAAGTATTTAAAGCCGCCAACCTGCATAACTTGTATGCACAGATGTCATGATTTGATACATATGTTCATGTGTATGCTGCGGATACATAGCCGTGAATCCGTGATTACGGGATAATGGTGATGTCATTACGCTGAGTGACAAATCCCTGATGTCGTGATTATATAATCCAGGCGCGCCAAGGCTCGTAGACTCGTGACCAGTCCGAGACGTCTATGATCATGAGGCAACTTTCCATGTATGGCTCTAGACTTTTGATGCTTACTAGCCACTCCAAACCCCTGACTGCGGCATCTTCTTCCCCACGACCATCATCTCATTCATTGCTCCACCGCATACGAACAATGTCATCTACAAAAGACGTATCGAGCCAGAGTGACATTGGTAAACTGAGGGCAGAGTCAGACGGCTCCTTCAAAAGAGCTCCATCAAGCTTCAGGAACTTTATCAGTAACGATGGTAAATTCCCGCCGGAGAAAGGTAAATCACGAAAACATATTTATTTTATTGACAAACTCAGTTGATTTACAGGAAGATACCATCTCTATATATCTTATGCATGCCGTCAGTGATAGGATTGACGCAGTCTCATTTTGACTGAACATTCCTCAGCTTGGGCTACGAGAACTCTTATCACTCGGAAACTGAAAGGACTTGAAGATTTCATTCGTCAGTTCCAACCAGTTTTGTGCACTTCACGAGTTTATGCCACCTTTTTGCAGCTTTTTCTGCGGTGTCCCCTCACATGGGTGCGCAAGGCTGGCCATTCAAGAATGCAGATCCGAGTTGGGAGGATGCAGATAACGACCCAGAACACCCAAATTTCCAGCATGTCAAAGATCTTTACTTACTTGCTGATCCGAACTATGGCGGAAGGTATGTCTATTCCCCTCCCATTTACCACTGCTTGTTACATCGTAATCAGATTTACAGTACCAGTGCTGTGGGACAAGAAGCTCAACACTGTTGTCAACAACGAAAGCTCTGAAATCATTCGCATATTCAACACCGCCTTTAATCACTTGCTTCCTGCTGATAAAGCAGCGATTGATATCTATCCTGAAGCACACCGCCAGGAGATCGATAGTATCAACGAGTGGGTGTATGACACCGTAAACAGTGCGTCTGAGTCTGTGCGTGGAGCTTGTCTTAATGACATCGTGCACTGCAGATGGTGTGTACAAATCTGGGTTTGCACAATCCCAATCCGCGTATGAGAACGCCGTTCATGCTCTATTCAAATCTCTCGACCGACTCGAGGAGATACTCAAAGGCAAGGATTACCTCGTAGGCAACATCCTCACCGAAGCGGATATCAGGTTATTCGTTACTACCGTACGTTCGATCTTAAACGCCCGTTCTGAAACTTACTGCTCCGTTCCAGACCCGCTTTGATCCCGTGTACGTAGGCCACTTCAAATGCAACCTGCGCGACATCCGTCACGGGTACCCTAACATTAACCTGTGAGGTGTCTTCCATCTTTTTAGGATGTTTGACAGACTCATTTTCCACAGTTGGATGAGGAAGTTGTACTGGAACAACGATGCCTTCAAGTCGAGCACCAAGTTCGATCACATCAAAGAACATTACTACTGGTCCCAGACAATAGTGCGTTGTGCTGTAGGCTCTTAAGCGCTCTCATACTCACACACAGCAGGTCAACCCCTCCAGGATAGTTGCCGTTGGCCCAGTCCCAGACATCGAGCCTCTGTAAAGTTTTATTGTAACTGTAGTTCTAAAGAAAGATTTCATCTAGCACACGACAAAGTCCATGTATTCCAAGAGTATCCCTGTATGTATCCTACACCTTTGGTTGGCCAATACGAAGTGATAGACGATAAGTAAGACAGGCGAATAAGAAATGTGAGACACAACTGACATCGCTAGTTCAAGCTTTCAACCAGCATCACTATAGTAAAGTGTCAATTGGCAAATGTTCTAAAAAGTCACAATGACGCCCATAGAGAACCCTATCACAATTGTCGAAACAATGATAGCCAAGCGTTGACAGCCTGCAGGGGTCGCGGTCGGTAGAGCAGCTGAAGAACCCGTCGCGTTTGCGCCGGAGGACGATCCAGATTTGAAGGCACCCTGTGCAAAAAGAGGACATTGTTGTGAGCCATTCTGACCACCTAATACAGAGGATGATTGTGATGCAGGGGAAGATGTAAGGGTAGGTGCGGAAGAGGAGGAAGTGGCGGAGGAGAAGGAGGAGGAGGAGGAAGGAGGAGGAGAAGAAGGGGAGAATGGAGAATTTATAGATGACGAAGTTTGAAAAGACAAAGTTTGGAGGGATGGAGTTTGAAGGGGCGAAGAAATCGTTGGACGAAACAAAGAAGAATTTGGAAGAGAGTATGAGTGTGCACTTGCAGAACTCAACGAAGGACTTGAATACGAGTAAAGCGACGAAGAACGCGATAAAAGCGTGGAACTTGAAATGTCCGGTGAAATTGAAGTGAGCGTCACAGACGCTGGCACATCTGAATATGTGATAATCGTGACGGAAGAAGTACAAAGATCACTAAAGCACGAGTGATGATGAAAGTGGGAAGTGTGATGAGTACCCACAGTTGCTGTTGCTGATGCTGTGCTGGCTTTGGATGTGATTCCTCCGGTCAAAACGCCCTGGCCGTTACTGATTGTGCTGTAGAAAGTGCAACTGGAAGAAGAGGGTATGGGATGCGCAGGTGGTGTGATGGGCTCCCCTTGGTAAAATGTGGACGTCCCATAGACACCCATAGGCTTCGTAAATGCTTAGCTAGACAAATGTGCGTGAAATGGGATTGACACTAACCTCAGCTGAGTCACCCAAACACTGCTCAAACACTCCCGGAGAATAATTCCCAGGCATATTCCACTCGCACCCCATAACATCATAAATATGCTGACACATTGTCGGTGCATCTACCGCGGGCTTGCAAGCGCGGAAGCAGAATTGATCATCCGCCACAAAATTCTGGGTACGCAAAGAACTCAATTAGAACGCTGTGGCGGTCTTTCCGAGCAATCGGTAAATTACCGTCCACTCGTGAATTTGCTCCAACGTGCCGAATGCGCTAGAGAACACAAGACCGCCGATAGGATTGCCGTTACCGTCTGCACCGTGAGGGTCAAGCTCGCCGCCACTGTCGCCGGCAGGAATGTTGATGTTTGTAAGATTGCCGACGCCTGAGTTCACGTTGTTGCTGTGGATCTAGTTTGTACTATAAAATATACTCACCTGTGACCTGGACGTAGTCTGGAGTGACCACGACGTGCGCACCAGTGATGGAACCGTCTGGGATCAGTCGTGTTCCGTACCCGCTCTGAGAGAAAATTACTACGTCACTTAGGAGACTGAATATAGTGGCAAATCACCTGCATGCACCATGCTACTTCGATTTGCTGTGAAGGTTACAGGTTCTTTCTTCGCGGTCACTGGACAAAAAAGTGAAGGCATGTACCTCGGTGTTCCCGATGACCGAGTCAGGGCCTGGCTGAGGAGGTCCCCAGATACACCAATCCTGAACAGTGTTGACTGGCGATATGCTAAGTCAAGGTTAAGGATGCTTATCGGCGATTGGCGGCGCACCATAAGCATTCTGGCACTCCGACGTCTGACTGTAGCCAGAGGTGCAGTTGTTGTAACCTGCCTGCCCCTGCTCGCTTTGATAGGGAGCGTTTGAAGGCAAATAAGTTGCCGAATAAGTAGGACTTTGAGCATAGCCTGACAGGACCAAAGACAGTGCCACGAATGAGACGGAATGAAGCATGGGGGCGACACTCCTGACGAACAAACGTTGATATGCGGAAGAGAAGGGAAAGGGAGAAATTTTGGGAGTGTTGTCCTGCAGGCACGGTCATAAAACGCCTGCATTTCACCTATACCGTAACTGCGCAGGGGCATCTTTGAAATGCATCACGTTTAGGCATGTTCTTTACACGACGTGAGACAGGCGAAGCACGTACATGACCGAGTGACATCATGAACATCCAATCAAGTTCAACCTTGAATTAGTCATTATCTGGCGCGCGGCTTGTGATCTGAGCTAGATAAAAAGATTGTTGTTGAGCAGTAGATCTGACTATCATTGAAGGCGCTCAATTGTCAAAGAAAGGATCCGGATCGACTCGGTCGACGTCGATGGGTAGGAACACAGATGGTTGTACGTTCGACTTCTTGCACTTACATATGTCTTCTTGGCCTAACGTTGTGCAGGGCCCAGGCTGTGAACGTTCTTCCATATACCACTTTAGGCTAGTAGCATCGTACCCATGGCTTGATTTTTACTCGGTGAATATCCTTGAGGCGAGCTTGAGGAGTACAACTAGGTTGGAGGTGATGTAGCGAGTGACAGTGGCAGGAAACCAGAAAGAGTTGCTAGAAATTGGACTCTCGGGAGTCGGCGCTAACTTGAAGTTTATGACTGGAACGGCGTGCAAGCGCCCCTGCAGTAGATCTATCTTCTTCCGGTCGGACGTTGACGTTGACGTTCGCATGAGAAGTGGGAGCATAACCCATTTTCAAATGCGATCACTGAAGGTAGTACGACTGACTACTGAGTCGGCAGAATTTGCTGCCTCACAAATTGGTTGCTACATAGTCACATTAAGGCCGATTTCGCAGTCCGCTGCACCCTGGTTGCTCCAAGTAGACGAACTGAGTCTGGTTAGCCTGGCAATATATGATTGCCGGTTGTTCCATTTAATTATTCCACTGCGGATGGTCATCATGATTTGATTTTTAATGAACTGGAGGTACTTGCTTCAAGAGAGAGCCTCTGAGGGAGTTTAGGGTAGCTCGGGGGAGCTACGACGAGAACGTACGTCGAGTCTGTATATAACTGCAGAGGGTCACGAGCCTATGCGCACAGAGACCTCGAGTTCATATTCGCTACCGTGACTTGTAAGATCCGTCGGTACTATTATATACATATCATATCATATTAATGTCATAAATTATAAAAGACATTCTCGTGTCAATAGGGTCCTTTATTCCTCTCCTTGACGAGGCTTAGTACTTCAGAAACATGTCGTCCAATCTGCTCAACGCCATTAAATGCCTCGTCCCCATTCATTTTGAAGACCTCAACTATCTTTCGGCTCTCCTGCTAATTCCAGTACCAATCTTATTGGCCCATGTCATCCCTTATCTCAGGGATCCTTACAACCAGCGGAGCATACAGGGTCCATTCCTTGCCCGCTTTTCGGATTTTTGGCTGGGTTGGGTAGCAAGCCAAGGTCATCGCTCAGACGTCATACATCAGTTGCACAACAAACACGGTAGCATCTGACCCACTTGATCCCACATGAACTCATATTCCTGCCCATAGGAACTTTTGTGCGTCTTGCACCAAACCACGTCTCCATTTCCGACCCGGACGCGCTACAAATTGTATATGCCCATGGTAACGGCAGCCTGAAATCCAACTTCTACGACGCCTTCGTCTCCATTCACCGTGGTTTGTTCAATACCAGGGACCGCGCTGACCATGCTCGTAAGCGTAAGATTGTCTCTCACGTCTTTTCGCAAAAGAATGTCTTGGAGTTCGAACCTTCTATCCGTCTCTATGTCAGCCAGCTCATGAACCAGTGGGACCGTTTATTCGACGAAGCCCTCAAAAACAAATCTGGCACCGAGGGAGAAGGTGGTTGGTTCGGTAAGGGAGGTCGTTTGTGGCTTGATTGCCTTCCGTGTATGTATCCATCTCTCAATTTCCACTAGCATTAATTTGTGTCGTGTCAGGGTACAACTATCTGGCGTTTGATATCATCGGCGACTTGGCGTTCGGTTCACCGTTTGGAATGATCCTGAACGCCAAAGACTCCGCGCCTGTTGCTGTTTCACAGAAAGATGTCATGAAATCCTACGGGTCGCAGAATGAGTGTGCATACGTCGATATTCCTGCCGTCCAGATTCTCAACGATCGCGGAGAGTTCTCGGCTTCTATGGGCGTTCTACCTCCCACGTGGCGACCCTGGGTTCGTCTGCTTCCCTGGTACCGCAAGGGTGGAATAGCTGTCAAGAATTTGGCTGGTCTTGCAGTCGCCGCTGTCGCCAAACGTTTTACAACTCCGACCGACCGCGTTGACCTCTTGAGTAAGCTGCAAGAGGGACGTGATGATGAGGGAAATCTCATGGGCAGAGAAGAGCTCACCGCAGAGGCCCTCACTCAGCTCATCGCCGGTTCCGACACTACTTCCAAGTAAGTCTTCTAGCCAATCATGGTCAATCATCTTCCCCATTCAGCTCAGCTCGTCATGTGCCATCACATATTACCTTGCTGCCAATCCTTCTGTACAGCTCAAGCTCCAGAAAGAGCTTGACGACGCCCTCGGCAGTGAAGATGAATACGTTTCCACATACGAACAAGTCAAACGCCTACCTTATCTGGAAGCTGTTATCAATGAAGCCTTGCGTATGCATTCGACATCTTCCATGGGTCTTCCTCGTGTAGCTCCTGAAGGCGGTTTGACTATCCAAGGCATTCATTTCCCGCAGGGTGCCGTTTTGAGCGTTCCAAGTTACACGATCCATAGGGACACCAAAGTGTGGGGAGAAGACGCGGATGTATTCCGTCCAGAGAGGTGGTTTGAGCATGATAGTGCCACTTTGCAAAAAGCTTTCAATCCGTTTTCCTATGGGCCCAGGTACATGACGTTTAATGCCACGCGATCACTGGCCTGCTGATGTTGACCCTAAACCTCAGAGCATGTGTGGGACGCAACCTTGCGTCCATGGAGCTATTAATTATCATATCTTCCATTCTCCGCCGCTACCAATTCGTCCTGGCAGATCCGGATAAAGCGGTATGTTCCTTCCATGCCGGTCATCTCACACGAACTAACTGTAATGAATTAGTTTGACACACGGGAGGGCTTCCTGCGAAAGCCGGTGGAGTGCTGGGTGGGAATCAAGCGTCGGCAGGGATGAAAGGCAGAGTAATCACGCTCTGTTTTGAGTTTATCCGCGACTCTTTATTTGCTGTTGTTCTGTTGTTTCCTTGTACAAGTGCGGCTGTAATTGGGCTTCTTCCACGGTACACTATGACCGAACCAAAGTTTCAGTGGTTTTCACGGACTCTGAGATCTGATTTGCTGGTTCTATTCTTGTTTTGTCGGTCCACTATTACCTTGATAACGACATTGGAATGGAGTATAGATATATCACGGACCCCCTTCTACTATCACACTCGTTCCCTGTTCAGCATCGGTCTCAGGACCTGCATTCGTGCAGATCCTTATATAACTGAGCCTATAGTATATCTTGAGCACATCATATCTAAGCCCGCCTCAAGGCTGCGTGCAGTGCCCCACTTTATCTGACTGATAGCCTCGCGCCATGCGAAGGCAGCACCATGTCCTCAACGCGTAGTCAAACAAGCACGTCCCCACAACATTCTAGCACCAACAATTCTAACAACAATAATCAAATTATGAGTAATATTTTCGGCGCAAATGAATCGCCATCGCTGGTAGTTGCGTTTCTGGCGATCGGGCTGTTTATGGTGGTCATGGCAGCTTTGTTTGGATGGAGAAGGATGCGTAGAGGGAGTCTCGTGGTCCAACCTGCCAGGCCAGTTCGCGTTCGCGTTCGCCCAGGGAAGAGACCGATCGCGATAGGAGAGAAACCCACACTTTGGGATATGTGGACGAGAAGAGACTCGGAGGTGACGATCGATTTAAAATGGGAAAATATAACGGTGCGTCAGGCTCCGCAGTCGGCGTCGAAACATGGCGCTGAGATCTGCTATTGGCTCGTGGATGACTAGCCCTTTTGCGCCACGCGCGTGTTCTGTCGGAAAGAAAAGCCTCCTCGGCCGGTCTTGATGAAAGCCACCACTGTCGAGCCTCGAAATCCGCCCCGTTCATCGTTTGTGATGACTCGGATCTCGGCTTTTAGAGAGCACTTCCGACTTATTCGGAGGCCGAGTCCTCCTCCTACACCTCCGCCCCCGCCAGAGCCACAAGCTTATGAACTTGATGATATGTCTGAACGGCCGGAGGGCTCGTTCGTCGTGATGGCCTTCACAATTTCTATGCCGTCGCCTAGTACTAGTACTAGGAAGCGCGACAACGCCACGAGCTCCGAAGTATCAGACCGGGTGTCTACGCCAGAGCTGCTCCATGATACAGAGTTGGGAGAGTATTGCATCGGGTCGGTGGAGGTGTCGTGTAGTGAAGATAGGTGATGGGGAGTGGCAAGCAGAGTGCAGAGTACTGGGCTGTTTGGTCTTATATTTGGATGCCTGATCACATGTATAATTTATGTGCATGATGTATGACACTTACCTACCTCTGTCATAGCTGTAGGGCTTATTGTTTCTATAATACTGGTTAGTACGGACATTAAGTGGGATTTAGTAGAACTTGCCCTGTGAAAATGGCGGCCGTTGAAGGTTGCATATATTACATGAGTTGTCTTCGTGTCTTGAAGGTGCTGGTGAAGGCTGTGAAGGCTCACTGGCAAGCGCTGAAGTGCTGACGGGCCGAATAGCATAATAGCCCAGCTTCAGAATCAGAGAACGAGTGCAGCCGAGAAACAAATCACATTTATGTAATTTCCTGATCATACCAGTGCGTCAACAAACTACAGTAACAGTAACAGTAACAGTACTACTTCAACGTTCAACGTTGACTCGGGTAACGATAGAGGGCTATAAGTACAAAGGATATAAACATATGTAGAGCTCGAAAGTGATACACGCGCACGATAACGCATAAGTAGATCAGATACACGATGCTGGGACACTAACAACACACACCTGACGAGTCGAGGAGGGGTCTGATATAGTAAAATAGAACTGTGGGTCAACAAATTAGTTCATAAGTGATTCTCCATTTTTCAATGCGCCACATTCTCATCAGCACTGCTGAGAGAACATACTACTAGCTAGTAGTAGGCACGGGGTCTAAAATCGCGTGACAGCGTGAGGACCACCTGCCACTGCTCTCTCCTCCTGACCAACGAGGTAAGTCCAGCAAACATGGTCGTTGAGAGCAGACAATCTACTCTGCGCACACCCGCTAAGCGTGTGTACTCAGGGTCTGAAGACGCCGCGCAGCGCGCGCGGTGTATATCTTCAATACGGCTGCGCTGCTTGAGCGACATGCCCTCCCACTCATACGTCCGCAGAAGCCCGTGGAGCGTCTCATAAATCGCTTCTAACACATCTTGCACTGTCACCCCAGTTGGGTTACGGGCTATTATCTCCCATCCAGGGGACAGTAAGTCACAGACAAGTTGCAACTTTGGGATAGGGGGATTAGTTGCAAATTGTGACAGGTGGGATGACAATAGAGGCATGTTTGCTACTTCTGCATAATGCATTGGATTGTAGCGCACATCCCATTCTATGGGGACTTGTACATGATAGCGCTCCCCACTGGGAGAACCAATAAAGAGGGGGTTGAGCTTGACACCGTGCGTGCGAGTTATGGATCTAGCCATGGTGGGTGAAATGTGAAGGGAGGTTTGAAAGGTTGCGGGAGGACAGAAGTAAGAATACAAGTTTTATACCTGATGAAATATCCAATAACTGTCATTGATGCCTTGCGGCAGTGATGTTTAGGGCCCCACCGTAGAATACAGTTCAGACCCCGCAGTCGATACCAACAAAAGAAAACTTACTTGCCTCATCGAAGAACGCGCCGCATATTTGGCTAAAAAGAGGCGACGCGTATGCGCCTTGTTAAGTTTGATGTCTCCGTATACCAGAAAGAGACATGGTTATCAATGTTAACACGGCGTTCTGCCTATAATCACATCAGCCTCAACACGTTGTGATGTTGATTGTGTGAAATAGTGACGACAGGTTGCGGGGAAGAGGGGGAAGAACATGCTGTATTGCTATGGGGGTAAGGCGGTGAAAAGATAGTTTGTGACCTTCTAGAAAGTGATGTCGGGCATAAGCCGAGCGGAGCGGAGACACAAATTCTCCGTGAATGTAAGACTTCGTAAATGTTAGATCCTGGCGCGTAGCCGTTTGACATGTGGAAGAAGATAAACCGAATCCAGATACAGTTGAGGAAGATGCACGTATGTATCACGGGTATATCGGCTTATGTCGGGCAAAACACACAAGGACGGTAGGACAGAGGAGTGAGTCACTGGGGCGCGGGTCCGATGAGTTGTGGCTCCAAAAACACGAGGCTTTTGTGGAGAGATAAGTTGTATTAAGGCGTACTATGAATGGAATGCAGGGAGGCGTCGTTTCCAAACAGGGGGAGGCGCGATCACGGACTGGACGGAATGCCCACATATCAAGTGAATTTGGGACGGAGTTGCCTTCCGAGGCCCAGTTCAAGAGGACACGCAACCCTGGATAGACAATACTTGTTGGCAGGACCTATCGGATGATACCGACTTGCTGTATGTTCTAGCCGGCGAGGACGTAAGTATCATAATTACTAAGGCTGTCAGACCAAAAAAAAAGATGTGATTTGGTGGTGGCTCAACGTACGTCGACCCATGTATCTGTGCGAGTAACGGACCAGTGGCTCGCCTCATGTTTCGAGTATTGCAAAGTAGACGAAGCGCAGTCCAGAATAACAAAGAGTCCAAGACTATAATAGTGCAATAATTAATATACCCTGGTAAGGCACGTCAAAGAAAGATAGCACGAAACACGTAGCAGTCGTAAAAATCAGAACAAGCGTCACAGCTACTGCGAGTCCAAGTCATGATAGTACACGTTCGATGTCCCAATAACGATCTCATACAATGGCTGGTACTTCTTCAATCCCACACCTTTCGACGAAGGTGATAACAAATCTGGCGGTCGCGGCATGGCTATCAAGACCGAAACTTGGAGAAGAGATCTATCCAGCGGGAGCTCCATCTTCGAATGACTCAGATGTGGGGGATCAGTCACTTTAACTAGGGTGGGAGGAGAAAAGAGATAGGTTATCTCAGGTGGTATGCGGTTGATAACCTGACGTTTCCAGAAAGAAGGTCTCGGTGTTTGGCGGTCCAGTGGCGGTGGCAACGGAATGTCGTACTTTTCCGTTGCTAATGGCTATGAAGGTGAGACAGGATCAGACGGACCTAGGCACTAACGAGAAATGGGCGCTACCTGTGTGTCCCTCCATTGCGAACAGTCCTGACCTAGCAAAACCTCTACATCCCACAGTAGAGGCTTCTGCATACGCCTCCTCTGCAAGGGGATATCGGTATCAACCCGCAACATCTCATCAATCATCTGACGCCGTATGACCAGACGATGCCATACGAGTCCACTAATCATGAATAAGGCGAAGAGTGACAATACACTGACAAGAAAGCCAAAGAGTAGAGATGAACCGCTATTCGATGTGTTTCCATTGCTTGTCGACGTCGAGCTGGGAGCGTATGATAACGTCGATGAAAGCAACGAGGAGTATTGGCTCGTTGACGACGCAGTCATGGTTTCCTTCAACGACGACACCTAAGCGTGGGGGGCATTCCCAAGGCAAACGGATGCATAAGTATGTAACACATTACGGTGTCGAACGTGAGCACGACAGTTCCAGAAAGCAACTTTTTTTGTCTCACTAATCGACTCACGTGACATGTCGTAACTGACTGGAAGGACAAAAAGAACAGGCAGCGTAATAGAATACAACAGGGTAAATGATATTGTTTGCAACTTACAATATTGCTGTAAAAATAAGATAAAAATGAAACTTTTCAAACGTCCATCACCAGTTGAGATCTGGAGCGAAAATGCCAGTAAACCTGAATGGTCCTAAAATACACCAAAACCCACACACCGTGTTGAAGCACAGCTCTTGCCCGTTCTCTCCTTCGGACATCATCCAGAATTCCCATAACGTGTCTGTCTAGCATGTCGACGTATGGCTTGAGACTTGTATGCTCCCAATCTGAATCAAAATATGAGTGAAAACAACGGGTACAGTGACAAGTGCACTCACTTGCACCCTCGCCTGCCTTGTCGAGCTCTTGAAGGAGCTGCATGACTGTGGGAACTGCATTGGGGTCAAAATTTTCCACACGGTTCGGGTCAACGGGGACGCAGACTCGGCCAGTTTTAGGATGCACACAGAATGGTGCTTTGAGAAGATGATTTCGGTGCTTGGATACTTCGGCATCCAGGCGTGGATATGTATATTGCAGAATGATGTCTTCTAGAGCGGCTAGATTTCGGGCCTATGAAGCGTCAGGAATGGCATGGATAGTGAGAGTAAAGTACATACACCTGTACCCTTCACCTCAGCCTTCAGCTCGTCCCATTTCTTCGACGATTCGATACCGGGCTGTTTCTCCCACCGCTCCTCGAGAGTCTCGACAATTTTCTTGTCCGGAACCAGTTTAAGCAGCGTTCGCCAGCCGTCCTCGGACAGGAAGCATTCTTGGTTATCCAACAATGGATACCACATCCTACTCCCTTCATCGCGCGCATGCCACAGAGAAGGTGGCAAATCTCCTGGGTGGCTCTTCGTGCCTATGCCCCTTACATTCACCTTCTTCGCCATCTCCTTACCTCCTTCTATCACAGTAAGCGCCCCAACTACAGCTCTACGTAGTTCGTCCGTAAGCCCCATGGCCTCGTCGTCGCTGATCCACAAATGGATGCCGCGACGGCCCGAGTATACCCATAACAAATGATGATATCCAAATTGCGTGCGCAAGGCTGAGTCAAGGACGCGCACAGCGTTGGCGATGAATGCCCAGCAGCGTTTACATATTCCCGCTGATGTGCAGCATGTGCGCACGCCATCATAATCAGTCATATCGATATCGAACACCAACTCGCGCTTTAACGGGGTGAAGAGCTTCCCAGATTTGACAGACCGCGCCAATTTCCGCTCGTTTGGCTGGCATGTTGTCAGCATAAGTGCCAGGCAGATTGAAAGACAGCTTACCCGAGATGAGTACATGGGCCCGATCTCGAAACGCGTCGGATTGAGTGCGCACACCTGCTTTTTGAGTTCTTCTGCATTCGAAAAACAGTTATAACGTAGATACACGTCTCCCTGGAGAGTAAATGCGAATTCGCGGTTTGTAAACAAATCTTTTGGTGCGTGTTCCTGGTTGAGCCATGTGAAGATAGATTTGAAAGGGTACAGCATGCGGTAAAACTGGAGCATCACTTCCGGAGATGTCTCTGCAGAGTCGGCCATCGTTGAACGAAGGAATAGCAACTAAGTGTTATGTTGCTATCAATCAACGTGTACAATGTTAACCTTCCAGAGCAATTTGAGTGACACAAAGCACGTGAGGAAACGTCACGCGCGCAAGTCACACACTGTGCTACGGGACACTGAAACTTGTAGTCTGGAAACAAAACACCAGATGGACATGAAACTGGTATATACCGTATCAGTGAAAATTCTGGGTATTTCACATCTAATTTTTTCAGTACGCAACATATATAACGTCTTGCATATCATATGGACTGGCTACAAATCTCGAAACAAACGGATCAATTCAATACGACTTATGTGCACACTGCACTTCACATGCGAGAGACCGAGCAATCAACATAGATGACAATGTTAAATTTGTAACAGGCAGAAGTGAATATCCCTCATTACGATCGGAATGTGCATTCAGATTGAATCGTCCGGCGTTCAGTGCAGGCTTCCATGTCACATGTGCATACATAACAAGCTAAAGATCAAATGTCCAAGAACAGGTTGGATTTCATTGTCATTCTACCATCTTCTAGTATGTCACTGACAGGAATCGGGATTAGACTCGTTGGATCGAACCGAAGGTGTTGAGTGGCAAGTGTCTGCGGCCCTTGACGGCATAGTATGTGTTATGAATCTCCAAGTTGCAACAACTTAGGGTCACAACATAAACGACATTCCTTGGAACCCTATCAGTAGCCCTAAGAAAGATTTTAAAATGTTGTGGTGGCCCCCAGGGAAATGTACTGACCTATATGAATCCTTCAAAACAACAACTACCCCCATGTACCCAAAATTTGCCATTCGAGCAGATTAGAGCTTCTACTGGAATATTGTGAGGGCATATAAGATAATACCGACTAAACGTCGTGTGCAATACAGATAGAGGCATGCACGGTGGTATCGCTTGCCGAATTAAAGATGGCAGCATGAGTCCTAGGTTCATTTGCGCCTCGTTCCAATAAGGAAGGGGAGTCCGTAGAAAGACATCAGAGCCCCGTCGACTGAAGGGTATAATACGATTCAGCACAATAAAAGGGACGACGAGCATTGAGCATCAAGGACAGAGAGAAGAGGCTAGCCGAGAAGATATCCTATGTGCCAGTCTAAAGTCGCGGTAGGTGGAGCCTGTCCATCTAGGCCTAGGCTACATTCGAAGCTCCTTGAAGAACTGACCCCGCCAGAAGTTGGAGAATTTTTTGTTGGATTAGCGTACGTGCGTGGCAAGTGCGTCCATATTATCAACTCTTCCACGTGCACTTCCGGGCGTGTCTGTGGCTGAGTTTGACCTTACCATTGAATGCCATCACTGATCTTGCACTGATCAATAATGTCTGTCTCTGAAGTGCAGACACGGCAGGATGACTTGAAATTCACAGAAGATATGCAGAGCGTGGAGGTTGTCGACGAAGAGCCCGGAGACGATACGAACTCAGGTGCGATGACCAAGAAACGGAAAGAGAAGGAACCGCAGCGCGAGCGCGAGCTGGGAAAGTCAATCTTACCATTTTCAAGAGTGCAAAAGATAATCAAAGCGGACAAGGTAGTTGTCAATGGATCCTACCCAGATGGCGTATAGCGTCATGCAGCATTTCAGGAACTTCCAATAGTCGCGCGCGACGCGACTTTCTTAATCTCACTTGCCACCGAGGAGTTCATCAGAAGACTTTCAGAGGCATGCCAGAAGCTCGCGGAGCGGGAGAAGCGAACAACTGTGCAACAGAAGGACGTCGGTACGTCTGGAGCGTGCTGTGTCAGTACTTCATTTCTCAGTTTCATTCTCTCGCAGCAAGTGTAGTGCGGCGAGCAGATGAATTTATGTTCCTCGAGGGTACGTTCTTCAAGGGTTTAATCATCTCCTCTTTTCATAGCGTCGCATGCAGAGATCATCGCTTTTCAACGCACGGAACCTCCACAAAAACGCAAACCTAAAGCATTACAGGATGCAGAGAGCCAGAGTGAACCAACGATGCTCGATAAGTTTGTCACTAGAGGAGAGGAGAGTCAGGAACAGGGCGCTGTTGCAGAACCACCCAAATACAAGCAATAGTACGTTAGGCATCTAGATTTTCTGAGCTTTTTGCTAATTCTTCTCGCCAGTAAAAGCAAGGAAATTCTATCGGACACAGACGACGAGGAGATGTCATGATACCGGTAGATTTCTCAGTATTTGTCTATGTTACTTTCGTTCGCGTTGGGCTCCTGTCGAGTCACCCTCGCCAATGTTGTCATAGACGAAGATAGGACAATGTATGCAGGATAAATGCGTAATCTATGAGGGTAAGAATCCTCGGCCCGATTCTTTTTGAAGACATGACTACCCAGGAATGGCTGATGAAGGTAAGTACATTCCCTCACTTTTTAGATAATCACATGGTCGAGGAGGTTTGTGTAAGTGTGATTCCTTACAACTAATGCAGTACTTGACTACTGTTTCTCAAAAGCACGGGTGACCACCAGGGCCGTGTAGCCTCTCGTGTGGGTGTTTCGGAGCGATCTCCATCACCGCATCACTCAAACGCTATGCGTGTCTTCCGTGGTCACAACCAAACAAGTTCGCACTCACACCGTGCACTGTCCATTGACACGCTCAGCGATTACCGTTCTCATCACTGATTTACATCTATATATACTATACGATGATCCTTTCCTTCTCAGGACCTTCTCATATTGCTGCTCATTTTATTTCTTCTCTCCCTTTCTGTCTCCCTTTCGCAAAATTACAACTATCTTTCCTACTGTAAACCATATAGAATGTCTATCGTACTTACCCCTTACTGGTCACCGGATGAGGGCATCCAGAAGCTCAAGATAGAAGCTCGGGGTGCGTTTGGTCTACTCCATCGATATCCATACCTCATACCGAATTTTCACTGCCTTTAGCTAAAGCTCCAGCTGCGCCAGGCCTCGCGCCACCAGTTTTCAGTATGAAAGCTCAGTTGGATCGTACCCTTCTCCAATTACGCTCCAGGACATCCCCTATCGAGAAATATACGTTCCTTGCGCAAGTCAAGCAAGCAGATGTCGAGGCCTTTTACAAGCTATGTCTCGAGTACATGCCAGTATGAGACAAGTGGTGTCAGAATCTTTGGAAAACACAATTAACTGTTTATACTCAGGAGATCATACCTATAATCTACACACCAACTGTCGGTGATGCATGCCTACAGTACTCAAAAATTTACAGGAACCGCGAGGGTTTGGTAATGAATACAAATACCTCATGAGTCTTCTTGGCTTAATGGGTGCTGCAGTTCATCTCTCTCAAGGACAAAGGCAGAATTGGGAACATTCTGCGCAACTGGCCCCTTGCAAACGAGGCTCGGATCAGCGTCGTCACGGATGGTTCGTGTCATCTAATTTGGTTGGATGATCAGTGCTTAATAATATGCACCAGGTTCACGAATACTTGGGCTTGGTGACCTTGGTGCAAATGGGATGCCCATTGCCGTTGGCAAACTCTCTCTTTACGTCGCCTGTGCTGGGTGCGTCCACCCCAGTCTTATTCTTGTAACCGCCTGACCATTGATTTTAGTATCCGCCCATCGTCCACTTTCCCCATCACGCTTGACCTTGGAACTGACAATTCCTCTAATCTTTCCGACCCCTTGTATCTCGGGCTGCGCCAACGCCGGCCCCTTGATGCGGAATATGATGCCTTCATGGATGAGTTTATCACCGAGATGGGACGTGTCCACCCCAAAGTTTTGGTGCAATTCGAGGTCCGTTGACATTCTTCAACTTTTCCATTTTAGAAACAAACAATCTTGTGGGCAATAGGATTTTTCCACCGACCATGCATTTTCCTACCTTGAACGTTTTCGTAATAGACTCCCACTGTTCAATGACGATATCCAAGGTACAGGTGCTGTTGTCCTTGCAGGGCTCCTTTCCGCTGCACGACTGGTTCCCGTCCCGCGCAACGAACATAGAATCTTGCTGTTTGGCGCCGGCAGCGCCAGTGTAGGAGTTGCTAAGCAGCTTATGAGCTTTTTTACAATTACTGGGATGAGCGAGGAAGCAGCCAGGAGTCAAATCTGGCTCGTGGATTCGAAGGGACTCGTTTACGTCGGCAGGGAAGAGGTTGCTGACCACAAAATGTGTATGCCCCCTTTTCTTCGGAGGATGGTTCACACCTAACAGGCTATGCCATAGATTTCGCAAGGAGGCATTACACAGGTATTCCAATGAAGGACCTTACAGAAATTGTCAAGTATGTGAAGCCAACTGCGCTCCTTGGTCTCTCGACAATCGCGGTATGATTCAAACATATATTCTGTATTCATTGTCACGCTCACTCTCTTTCAGGGTGCCTTTACCCCGGAAGTCATCCGTCAGATGTCGCAGAACACGCCTCGCCCTATCATCTTCCCTCTCTCCAACCCTGTCCAACTCTCAGAGTGCACGTTCACTGAGGCTCTCATACACAGCAACGGCACCGCAATTTTCGCAAGTGGCTCGCCATTTGGAAGCGAGGTCATTGGTGGCGTCAGGAGGGAACCAGGCCAGGGTAATAATATGTACATCTTCCCTGGTAGGTTCTCTCTCTCGTTCTATGCCTGTATCTGAGCTGGACTGCTGTATCTCAGGGCTTGGTTTGGGTGCGATACTGTGCCGCGCCAAGAGCGTGACAGATAGTATGGTACAAGCGGCTGCATTCGGATTAGCGGGTTCTCTTTCGTGGGATGAACGGGCACTAGAGCTCGTGTACCCTCGTGTCGAGCGCATCAGGGAGATCAGTGCACATATTGCTGTCAAGGTGATACGGGCAGCGCAGCAGGCGGTATGTATAGCTACCTTATGATCCTCGACAGTATTCAAAAGCTTATAACGCATTTTCAGGGCGTGGACAACTCGACGGATCTGAAAAGAATGAATGATACAGTCTTGTTAGAGTTTGTCAAGGGCAAGATGTGGAACCCTTGAATGTTCAAAGAAACTGTAGTGATTAGTGTCCTGTGAAAAAATGTCAGGACGGTCTTCGGGTTAGTCAGTAGCTTGCGAATTTAACAACACGAAACACAATAATTGTAGTTGCGGTCACGATTTCAATGCGCTCCCAGTCAAACGTTGCTTTGTGCACTTGCCTCGCGACCGATGGTGCGACCGGATTTTACAATAACAGCAGCTTGGAGAGCTTATTGGTCCACGATCAGCCACTGGTGGGGTGAAATCTAACGCCCATGATGGTGAACTTGGCAAGCTCAGCTGATCGATCCTCCCGAAGAATTCCCTTCAGTTATCTCATAGACAAGAGAAGCTCTTCTCGAGTCTGCTCGGTACAGGTGATCGAGACGTTTCACCGTGGATAGTGACGGATGTTGAGTTCGCCCTCACAAGTGGTAACCGCGACAGTTTGCGTACATTTTCAAGTGTCCCATGTACAGCAAGTGTATTTTGTTGCTAAGTTCCGTATTAACTTATCGTCCACTGATCAGGTTATAATACTAATGAACGAAACGAAACTGGTGGCAGGCTTGTTGAGAGGATCCGTTACAAATCTCACCAGTTTTCCATAGCCTCGAATAATCCAATGGAAAACTGCTCTTCTCCATGAACCAATCCAACTCAAAATGCTGATCTAGATCTATGACGAAGATAAGTAAGGAGATAACACAATTGAATGAGATATACTCCAGGGCGGATCTCAAAAAACGTTCTGTAGGAGTCTGGAGGACTCCGGAGAGACCATGCTATTAGGGAGTTGATGGAAATACATACATCAATTTCGGGTATCATCGATCACCGCATTTGATCATGAGAATTTCATAGTATTCGTGCCACAGAATAGGGACTGCCCGACAGTCCAGACGACAAACCTGTAAACTAGTCATAAGAATCAGTCGAATACCTAGTAGGCCAAACTCACCAAACGCAACTAGGATGTCCGAGTCTGGTGCATCGATCGGAATTCGTACATGGTCAATCACTTACTACTGTGATACAAAACTCTCAGGTTCGTCAGTCTTCCCTCAAGGCTTCAGATCATCATGCCAATATCAGGCCGGGGAGATGGAGATTTGATGCCCAATCAGATTAATGACGTTTATTATTGGGATATCTGTAAACCTACCAACATAAACGTCTGCGTATTGCACAAGCCTAATCAGATTAGCCGAACCACTGCTCCAATTTCGGAATTTTCGCGCCTACAGTAAAATTGTCACTGCCAATAATAAATCTTTCGGAATGTTCGCAAATAACAGATATGCCTAGTGTAGCTGTTTGGACAGTGGTGATGTTCAGCTAGGTATGAAGGTTGGCACCTGCGAATGAAATCAAATTACCTTGGAAAAAGGAATTGGGGCGAACCGATCTTGAGTCTGCTGGGTGCGTGTTTTTCTAGGCTCCCTTGAGGATGTTCTATATTGAATAATGACATCACCAGCTACTTGAACAGCAGACCCAGGGGCCCATGTCACCCCTCGCAGGGACAGGACGCCCGTGAGAAATCGGAGTGTGCGTCCGGTGTGGGTTGAGTCATGAAGAATGCTGGATATGATCGCGACGGTTGTATGAAAACTAGTGACTCTAGGAGGCTAGCCGAGCAGGGATAAGATTTAGTTAAGGGACTGTGGAGTGGACGAAGCAAGGAGGAACCATGAGAAATTCGGGTCAAGCCTGAGAGTGAAAGGATGTAATTTCCAGAAAAGGAGAATGACGTAGGGCTGGTGGCGCTGGGGGCCCTACCCTGTTTTTGTTCGTGTGGAGCATTCCGTGTAAAATGAGCGAAACAGATCCAAGCGCGCAGCTCAGAAACGTTTAACAGGTTTTTCTTGTTCCTAATTTACAATACTCTGATCTTGTCGCAGGTCGAGCTCACTGTTCTCTACGTCCTCCAGCATACTTGCTAATCTGGAAAAACACCGTGACTTCAGCACCATCAATTTTGTAGCAACCGACGCGTTACGCGAGCGATAAAGCCGCGACGCATCGCGAAGCCCATACCCCAACATAAATAAAGCCAAGCCAACGATACCCTTGCAGCCGTACTAGCGCCTTCCGCTCCAGATGGCGTCAGCGACGCCTCTTTCTGTGCGTTGATCCACTTACTCTTCCCTTCCTCTATCGTCTAGGTGCTAATGCCTTTTTTATCTCTTTTTCCTCTTCACTTATCGCAACAGGATTTCTCTCCTCCTCGCCTGATACATCCTTCCGAGTTCCCGGGCCCCACAAATGATGATATTGAGGCTGTCATTCAAATGGCCACATCATCTAGGCAATCTCAGGATTCCCGTCAGCTAGCCCCCCTACGAGATACCCGCGCTCAGTTGTTCGTTGGAAATGTATGGTCGTCTGTAGACCCTCCTGAGTGCTGATCAGCCCTGACCAGATATTGCAGCTCCCGTATCGTGTCCGTTGGCAAGACCTCAAGGATCTTTTTCGTCGCGCAGGCACTGTCTTGCGTGCTGATGTATCATTAGGGCCTGACAATCGCTCACGAGGCTATGGTACTGTCCTTCTGGCCACCGCAGAGGATGCGGGAAGGGCAATTGACATGTTAAATGGATTTTGCTGGCAAACCAGGGTCCTGGAGGTGCGCCCCGACAGGCTTGGCGCAAGTGTCGATGAAATGGGCAGCAGCCTCGCAATCCGAGGCGCAAATGGGCACCCCTCAGGGTTCCCATCTTCAGGCAATCCACATGATGAAATCACATCTGGACAGGATGTGGTGGGTGGCACTGGAATGAAAACCCTATTTGTGGGTAACGTGAGTCTGTCAATCTTCTTGCTTGATTTTTCCCCTCCTTCATTGATACTCCTCCCATTATGGATTATCACGTGAGATTCGAGTTTGTGCAAGTAACCTTCTACCATTACCATCTCTGTATATTTCTTTCCTGGCCTATATTTTACATGTGGTGCCGCAAGCGTCTATTTGCTCATATTTCTTCCACCCCAGCTTCCCTTCCATATCCAATGGCAGGATTTGAAGGACCTGTTTCGTGCAGCTGGTGCTGTTGCTCGAGCAGATGTTACCGTTGGGCCCGATGGGCGCTCCCGCGGGTTCGGAACAGTCAGCTTTGTCACAGAAGATGGTGCTGAGCGAGCATGTAGGATGTTTGATGGGTGCGTGGCTGCCTTCTTCATGATGTACCATGCGCCTTCCGAGTTTCTTATACATCCCTATCTTGTTCACATTTTGATCATGAAATATTTTTTGCTGTGAGCGATGTGGCGTGTCGCGGCATTACACACGATTGGAACCCTTCGATGCCTTCGTGTTCTGTTAATCGATTTCGGCTCATGTGCTGACTATTCGTGATCCATTCCAGGTATGAATTCAATGGACGACCATTGAAGGTCCACTACGATAAATTCTCGCCGTCCGCAGCCTCGATACCTCATGTTGGCGTACAAATACCAGTCCCATCCACTCTATCACAGTATGATACTCTTGGATCCCACTTGCAATCCCTACAACTGGAGTCCCATCAGTTGGGACGCCAACAAAATGAACATCTATCTCAGCTCACACTCGATGGGCTGTTGCATTCGCAGCTGGATTCTCTGATGCACCCCCCATTAGATCCACTTCGACGTGCTGATCGAGATCCCATAACATCATCTCAGCTGGAAGTCCTGTTAGCTCGCTCTATTGCGTCATCAGGTTCTCTATCCTCCGACCTTTCTCTCGGTTCAAGTCCCCTTACCTCCGCCCCCCTCACTTCGCCCTCACCTGCACTCCTGCATACTCAGTCCCTTGCACCGTCAGCAGCCCATTCACTAGCACCTACGCCCACCCATCCACATTCATTGACAAGTTCACCTCATCTAGGGTTCTCAAATAATAGTTCGACAAACTTCGCTCCCCTTAGTCTATCTCTGGGTGCCGACGCCCTTGCCATCAAGTTGCCCCCACACTCGGGTGTTGCCGATTCCCTCAGCTTGAAGCTAAACACGGACATGAAACTCGGAAGCGATAATTATCCGCTATCATCAAATAAATCGCGGACATCAAACTCCAGCTCGCCGCGTCCAAGTGTCTCTGCGGGCTCTTCGCAAGCGCAAAGCTATACCACAACGAGTTCATCAGGGTCATCACGACCAAGCTTTAGTACAACATCATCATTGACTGATGGTACGAACTTCTCACAGCGGCTGTCGTTTGGCGCATCGCAATCCCAGCGACCGTCCTTCAGCTCTTCGACATCTCAGCGGCCCACCTTTAGCTCCACACCTCAGCGCCCGTCTTTTAGCAGTGGTTCTGCGCGGCGCCCTACATTCAGTGCGAGCTCGCTATTGAACGAGCCGTTCTTTGATGACGAACGAGAGGGGCAGGGGTCTGTGGGTCATCCTGTTAGTATGGGCACGTCGCGGGAGAACTCGGGCTCGAGCTCGAGCTCGACATTTTCCCTACCGCATAAACTGACTCGTCCTAAGTCGGACGTAGGCAGTGATACCGCGTCAACGTCCCCTCCGGCGAGCGGGGGATGGCCAAGTATGTCGAGTCCCCGGCAGACCTCGCCTAAATCTGTCGTGCTTGCACATCCGATCCTCAATTCAGACTTGCCGAATAAGTCTCAATCTATGTGGGGCGCTTCAGAGGTCGAACCAAGCCAGGGATCCACACCAGCCAAGTTTGAGGGGTCAGGAAACACCAACGTCACCGCGACCGCACTTGGATCTCTGGGTTTGCGAAGGTCCAAGGCGCTAGCTTCCAAGGCTGCAGAGAAAAACAAAATATCTTCGCTAAATTCGAAGCCTACATCTTCGTCTCCGCAGAAGCAAACATTGCCACAGAAACCGGCATCCTCCCGCCGACAGCCTGGACCTATTGCGCTGCCTCCTCCATGTACATTTACACTCCCACATCCACCGGTACTATCCCCATACCCTCCACCCCACCCACAGAGTCCAATGTATCACGCTGGCTATGCACCATCTCATCCCATGAGCCCGTTGCATCATCCTGGTGTGCGCAGCCCTATACATCACCCCACGATCAGCCCGCTCCATTCCCCTTACCATATGCACTATGGTGTCATAACACCACACGGCCTGCCTCCCATTACTCCAAGCATGCCGCCATTTACATTCTTGCAGCCAACAAATGGGCACGCTAATACCACAGAGCAGCAGAGTTCAAATGATGGGAGTTACCGGGGTCAGGCAGCGGAAGGCCAAACTGAGGCTCCCCTGCCATCATCTCCATACCACCTCCCGCCGCATTCCCAAGTTCCGTACTCGTCACACCTGCCTTCGCACATGTTCTCCCCCGGAATTCCTCTTTCACCTGGGATCATGGTGCCTGTATCCACCGGATACCCGTCATCAGTGACGATGGTGCCGTTGACGCCTGGTGGGGTGCCGATGACGCCTGGCGTGACGATGACACCTGGTGCGTTTTGGCCGCAGGCACCGTGGATAAACCCAGCTCCGGGAGCCCCCGTGCATGCAGACGAGCAATGGCACAATCATGGCCATCCCCCTAATTCTGGGGGCGATTATTTCCCTCCGCAGAGTGGACCGGCTGATGATACAGGTTACTTCCCACCCGTCTGCGGCATTGCAAAAGAGATCTTTAGAGAGGGAAGCGAATTTCATTCGAGTGAGCAAGAGGGAGAGAGCCAGTCGAGGGCTTCCTCGTCTTGCGCAGGGATGGTTTCTCCTGCGCTTCAATCGACGCAGGAGGGAGAGCGTGTTGACAGCGACCGCGGGCACAGGGAAGCGCGACGGACAGTGTCACCCCAGCCAAATCGGTTTACGACAACGGAAGGGGGCCATGTACCCCGCAGGGCGGGCCTAACTCATCGGCCAGAATCAGATCCAACCAACGGGAAGAGACAGAGCTGATACGGGGTTCTCATTTATTTGTAGGTTGCAGGTCGGGGCAGGGTCTCATTTGTTTTTGCATTGTAGTACAATCTTTAGCATCATACCTACCGGAACATCTGTGCATACCTATATATTTTCTTGATTGTTGAGAACGTTTCCTAATTCATGTCCCTAGTACTTCGTAATTAGATAAAGTTTGTCTTTCTATAACGGCCATCGCCAGGAACTGTTACTGCCCCTTACCGCCATCGATCGTGTGTGCGATTGAAAACCGTTATGACCACCTTAGTTTATCGTTGATCTCGCGTCGACGCAAACTGATATGTTGACATTGACGTGTCTTGTATTCCAATCCGATACTATTACACACTTGGTCCGCACATTCATTCCACGGGTCCAGGGTTCAGCGCTACGTTCCACAAATCGATCTCGCATTGACACCCCTCCCTGAAGATTCTAGTCAACTTCTCATAGGGAATGTCCTTCCAGCTCTCATAGTTAGTCTTGAAGAAATCTATGCAGAGACGACGTCAATGGTTGGATAGAGTTATACAGCGCATCGATCCCTTACTGATTTGTTGAATCGTGGACTTGCGGTGCTTGGCGTTATCGACAGCCCAGATGTTGTACCATGCAGTATCTGGAAACATCGTCAGATCAGTTTGGAGGCTCGCGCACTACTGGAAGAAAATACTAACCTTTGTGTAAAGCATTCGCTTGAAGGTCACTAGCGATCGCATAGTACGACTAACGATCGAGTCCGAGTCAGCCTCGACTGTTATGAATTGACCTCATATCCCTTCACGAACCTGAATACCGGGGACTTGGGCGAGCAAAGAGACTACCCAGTTCTGATCCTCCGCAGTGTCAGAGATGAACTTTGAGTATTTTTCAGTTGCCTCTTCCCTCCTGGCAGAGAAGACTACAGTGTCTGGGATGTTCAGCTGATCGGGATCGGTGCAAGTTTTGAGGGCGTTTGGAGCCCACTGCGTCAGCGTGTTGTTGAGAGTTGAGGTCAATTTCCCATATATCGTTGGGTTGGGAGCTTTTGCAGCGCGATCGGCGTTGTATGCTATGAGTTGCACGCAGTAGAAGAAATCTTGCTGCGCGTTACAGAGTGATGAGCCACAGCTTGAAACATCAACAGATATTAAGTAACATACAATCATGTACCATTTGAAACCATGGAGAACGTGCTTGCTGTCTGCATCTGCAACACGCATGTCCTCGACAAACTGGTTGTGAAGCAACTGGTTCCAAATGTCTTGGTTGTCCCGAATGAGACGATTGACGAGGTCCCTGTAAATGTGAAATGAGTATGGTGAGCCTATATACAGTGGGAAGACATGCTCTTGGGGGATATCATCATTAAGACATGCATCGGGTGGGCCATCATGGCTAAGGTCTTGCGCAGGAACATCATGGTTGGCCGCTGACTCGTTGAGACGGTGGTTTGCTTGGGTGGGGTATTCTGCCATGGTGTTACAGTTCTTGGGGAATGGATTGAAAGCGAAAATTCCTAGGCCATTTATACGGGCATGAAGCGAATAATTCGCTACTATCTATCAGAGGTTAGGCTATCTTGAATCTGACCATCAGATGATCTGGATAGATATGAAGTTCAAGACCACCGGATAAGTCGTGAAATCCGAGATGAAAACTAGCACGAGGTGTCTGCAAGCTGGGAAGCCTGTCATTTAGGGAGCGAATGCATAGCCGGCATCGGGGTATGGGGAGACCGTAAGCCGGCGTTGATCACATTTTACGTCTGTTTGACACACAGGGAGCATGTTCCTGTTCAATGAACCGAATATGAGATCGTAACACATCACGGGGTATCTATTACTCGCGGAAGCTCGAGTAGCCAGAGGGCCAGATCACCCGAGTATGGCATCCAAGTTACTAAAGTCTGGGATCGTGAGCCGAAGGGCGGGGTTCTAGTACTTCGTAATAGCGGGGATTAACGTGCCTTTTGTCCAAGGAGGCGAACGAACGATGTGATGATCACCTCGTGCCCAAGCCAGAAGCAAGGACAGCATTTGATATCGGTCTTATTCAATAGATTTGATTGGCTTTTCATAAGGGATAGAACTAGTATGTAAGATCCTGATGTTGCAGACTCACCGATACACGGTGTACAGCCTACAGGGAGCAAATACAATGGGTGAGTCCGGGACGGCCCGTGCGCGCGCGCCAATTGCACTCACTTGCCCAAAACTCCACTGTGACCCCACAAGCATTCATGTATCCACCGGTTGGTTTGGCATCGTCGAGTAAGGTCTGAGACACAGATCCCTCCTGAGCATTGGATGAGGGGTACTTACTAGTGACAGATATTCAAGAGGAGTCCGAGTCGGTCTTCGAGTTGGAGTTGAAGCTACATACTCAGGTTTCAAGGCATCCGACGTCACTGAAGGTCTAAGCCATGAAGCATACCAATGGCTTGCAGTCACGGTACTCAACTTCAAGCATATACTACATATCGATGGTCACTTCTAGGGACACTCGCCGTGGAGTTCACTATTGATTACTTGAAAAGTTCGCGCACTTGGCAAGTTCCAAATCGAAGAGTAGATTAAAATAATGTAAATGGTACATCTACAATACAACAGCGCATGCTGTCCAGCGAGATAACAGTAGAACAGTCAAGTATAAGCCTACTTCGCCGATGAGCTCGAGAACTGCAGGTGCAACAGATGAGTAAGATAGCCGCGATATGAAGGTGAAAGAACTGACCTTGGTGACACTCTTGGTGCCTTCCGAGATGGCGTGTTTGGCAAGTTCACCAGGCAGAATAAGTCGTACAGATGTTTGGATCTCCCGAGAAGATATTGTCGATTTTTTGGAGTAAGCAGCGAGTTCTGGATGGAAGAGGTTAGGAATGATAAAAAGACAATGAGAGAGTACATACTGGATGCTTCCGTTGCGATGCGCTCGAAGATGTCGTTGACAAATGAGTTCAAGATGGCCATTGCCTTGTTGGAGATACCGGTATCAGGGTGCACCTGCCTCAACACTGCAACGAGAGTCAGATCTGGAACTGTAAGAAATGTTAATAGTACGCACCCTTGTAAATGTAACTGGAGTAGGTCTCCTTGCGGACTTTACGGCGCTTCTTCTTTTCACCATCAGCCCCGGCAGCAGCAGCAGCAGAAGTCTTTGTAGCCTTCTTAGCCTTGTCTGTCGTCTTTGCAGGTGCCTTTGAGGCAGCGGTGGAAGCAGGGGCCTTTGAGGCGGTGGAGACTGGTTTAGGTGCCATTTGATGAAGAGGTAGTGTGAATGTGGATGATTATCTGACAGATTTGGTTCGGGCGTTTGTATTTATCGTTTGTGACGCGTGTGGTCTTATTTGGTACCAGATCAACGCGTCCACATTTCTTTGTTGATTGTTGAACCTTATTGAATAAAATCACGTGTTGCCAGTATAAATACAGCTGTCCATTGATCCCGGCTCCCCTATTGCGTTCCCGTCCTCCGTCGTTGTACATACACACTCTCACAACACACTTCAATCTAACTATCATGTCTGGCAAAGTCGGCGGAAAGGCAAAGTCTGGTGGCAAAGCCTCTGGTGAATCATCATCCAAGTCTCAATCCCGTTCAGCCAAAGCCGGTCTTCAATTCCCCGTCGGTCGTGTTCACCGTCTCTTGAAGAAGGGAAACTACGCACAGCGTGTTGGTGCTGGCGCACCTGGTAAGGCCTTCACTGAATTCAATCACTCAGTAGTTCATTCTAACTTGGTGGAAAAGTCTACCTTGCAGCGGTACTAGAGTATCTGGCCGCTGAGATTCTCGAGCTTGCCGGTAACGCAGCACGCGACAACAAGAAGCAACGTATCGTTCCTAGACATTTGCAACTCGCCATCCGAAATGACGAAGAGTACGCAAAACATTCTCAGTCATTCCGCAGTGTCTAACTCGCTTTTCTATAGGCTGAACAAACTCCTTGGAGACGTCGTCATTTCACAGGGTGGCGTCGTGCCTTTCATCAACCCCGAACTGCTGCCCAGTAAAAGTGCAAAGGGCAAGAAAGAGAGCCAGGAAGTATAATCTTATTATTCGATTTATTTTCGGTGTTCGGTGTAGGATGTATTTGTATTTTTTATAGTAATCATTTTCTTTTCACTCTGGAATGCATCTCGTTGATACTGTTTTTAATGCGTGAGACGCGTCCGATTTTCGTGGTAGTCACGTGTGCGTGCCTCAGTTTCAGCTTTTTAAACCACGTCCACTACCGCAGTTAACGTTGCTGCTGTTGCAATTTCTTTCTTGTTCTTTCGCGAGTCACAACGAAAGGTCAAAATAACACTGAATTCGCAATGGGAGCCAAAAGATTAGGAAACGTGGACGCAGCTCTCGAGCAGCCTCCACCAAAGCCACAAAATAACTTTACAAAGTGGATAACACGTATAGCTGCATTGTTGCTCCTCGCTGCAACATTCACGTGGCTCGATGGTATCAAGGTCAGTCACTCCTCCAACTCTTCTACCGCACCAAATAACCTCAACCACAGGACCGGTGGTATGTTCTAGAGCCCAAGTTCCTCCATGAGCTTGCGCAAGAAGCCATCTCCGTCTCTCCGAATGACCCCCAAGGCATGATCAACCACATTCTTACTAACCTCACCTCTACGCACCCACAACTCGACTCCCCTGCTATCTCCCTCAACATGAACGCCTCTGAGTGGGTATTCAGCAATGCTGGAGGCGCAATGGGCGCAATGTACATCATCCACGCGTCCATCACTGAGTACCTCATTATTTTCGGTACCCCTCTAGGCACGGAAGGACACACGGGGTTGCACACCGCAGATGACTATTTCCATATCTTAGTCGGCGAACAGTGGGCGTTCAAACCAGGTGCACTGGAGATGGAGAGGTACGGCCCTGGGGATGTGCATTTCCTTCCCAGGGGTACGGCGAAGCAATACAAGATGCATGAGGGGTGCTTCGCGCTTGAGTATGCTCGGGGTACGTGGCACTTTGGGATAGCCTTGTTGTTTTGTCTCAATTTTTTCTTTCTCTTTTTTCAGGCTGGATCCCGTTGATGATGCCCTTCGGTCTCGCGGACACATTCACGTCTACCCTAGATCTTCCGACGTTATACCACACTGTCCGCATCACGGGCCGAGAGATGATTAAGAACTTGCTTGTTGGCAAGATATGATTGATCTAAGCTATATGAGACACGTTGGTTTCTGACGACACCTGTGATATGTTATAATACCCCTAGCCAGAAATCTTGCGCTGGCCGTTTTACCACGCAGTAATGCCATTTACTAGGAACTTTGCTCATCCCTGCTGTTTGATGGCATAATTGTCCGAGCCCTCGGTATCCGTGAGAGAGAGAGGTATAGAGCAAGATGACTACACTGCCACTGTATCAGGGTAATAGTATTTATAACAACTCGATGCACAAAGGGAGGGTAAAAATCCATGATTAAAGACTCGTAAAACTAACGCAGACGACAGCGATACAACATGGTAGAACTACACCAATCTGAATGAAGACCGTCCTCTGCTCGAGCGGTACTTTCCTCTTCATGGAGCACGTAGCATGGTTCTCCATGATGTCGAGCAGCGTCACAGATTTGTCTCTGAAAAAACGTGAATAGTAAGGCTGCTCGTGCTCATGCTCATCGAGTTCGGACATGGGCTGGAAGAAATGTGCAGAGTGGAGAAAAGGCGCGAGACGCTGTCGAATAATCGTTAGCCATCGACGCAGTCCTTTACGAATGGGAATATGCACACCACATAGCACTGGTCGCAGATTTGAGCGCTTCGACTACACAGCAATGAAGCTGTGAAGCAAGCATGAGGATAACACATGGAACATGGCTTTAAAAACGGCATGAATAAACGACTGCTCGACTTCCTCAACTCCCAACCATAGTACACCCATGGATGCCAGCTAAAGCTGACGACATGCTTAACAGCGAGGATCTGTTTTCAAAAGCTGTCTTGTGTGAGAGGGTTAGATATTGAATCCTGTAAGTAGACTGTCTCGTGAGTAATGGATTGTACGGTTATTACAAACATCATATTGGAAATGAAGATAGGCTCCTGGACTCAACAGCAACCATTGTCGTTGCTGGATAACCTAGCGACTATGTCTTCCTCCATCAGTAAGACACCAGTGACCACGCCACAGCAGACTATGCGAGGTCACACTGACTTGGGCGGTGGTGTGCACTTGCCTGGCGGCCGACACATCATCACGTGTTCGTCGGATGGCTCACTCCGCCTATGGGACCCAAAGAGTGGCGTACAGATAGGCGAGGACTGGCAACATGAGGATAACGTAGGATTGCGAGCCATGGCATTGTCTCCAAACGGCAAGACAGTTGCATGCGGAAGCAATGACTGGAAAGTTAGGTTGTGGGACATCGAGACGAGGAAGGTCATTGCCAAATGGTGGAGGCTGATGGCTCTAATGGTGCCGTCGACATCTACTACCACGTTGTCAAAGGCGTCGTTCTACTGCCTCTGAAAGCTCGTGGAGAGCTCTGTGACGGTGTTCATTGTCTAGAGGACAGAGGTCAAGCACGACAATGCTACGAAGGTAGGTGCCCTCTGGACAAAGTGGTGATAGCTTGCAGGACAGTTGCGCGGATTCCTGGAAATAGACGACAGTGCCCTCCTTGCTATAGCGCCAGGCCAGCGCTTCTGGAGGTGATGGATGGATAACGGATGATCGAGGTGGCCCTGCGGACGCAATGCAAGGGCTTGGCGGAAGAGAGAAGAGATAGAGTCGATGTTTTAAAGATCATTTTGGATATAGCCTTTGAGGCAGGCTCACGCAAGGTTGGTGAGAGCCTCTGCACGATCAGGATGGCCGATCGGATATTGATCCAGGACCAACTAAAAATGCTGTATGGCGTCATTTAGGTGAGGGACCATTGCCCGCACCCGTGTCTCCAGTAATTTCACATTCAACGATGGACTACAGCAGGTGTTCCGTCAAAAAAAGCCAACAACGTAGGCTGATGTCACTCACATCAAGCAGTGCACTGTCCTGATTGTTGTGAGCATGCGGAACAGCGGCCTTCAATGTGAGGGAAGGGTGAACACCACAAACAAACGGGAAGGAGTTGTCTACGAGATGCATGAGTGAGAAGGAGGTTGCTCACCGAAAGGCTCATTTCCATGATTGAGTAGCGCATCCCACGATGTTTCAAGTTTGCCAACGACTTCTCCATTACCCAGCATCCGATCGATTCCGATGGCTAATTTCTAGCGCCTACTTGAGTCAAGATTGACGGATATGTAGGTGGCTGCGGCAGTGCGGCTACGCGCTCAGAGGGCACTTGCAAATTTTCTTCGTTGGTGATAGGAAAAGCGTGCATGGGGTTATGGGGACGTAAATGTAGTTGTTGAGAAGTTCAGGTCATGCTGCACTGGTATTTCCATGGCAGTTAGATGCTTGTATGATTGCACCAAGCGCTAAGGCTAAAGATCACCAACTAGCATTATCGGAGTGAAAGCATGTGCTAGAGAAGTGGACGACGTCAAGGTCAGCAGTCTTAAAGTCCCCCGCCACCCATCCTAACAGTATCCAAAACGGCCCTCACCAACTCATTCCATAACCGTCTCACAATCGAATCGCCGCGTGCTTCCGATAATCTCCTCCGTACCAAGTCCGCAGGTGTCTCTAGGCGCCGCCGTCTCCGAAGGATCAAAGACAATAGGGGAATTAGGAAGAACAAAACCGATAGAGTAGCTATTCTGTTTGCGGTGAAATAGTGTTTGAAATAAGATCGAATGAGTGCTAGGGAGGTTGGGGGCTGTGCAGTCGTGATATTGTGGTCGACTGGAGGAAGATGGGAGATGCGAACAGCACTGGCACTTGAACTTCCTCGGGGCATGCTTTGGTTGTGGCGGTGGCGAGGGGATCTAGTTACCGTGACGTCTGAAACTGCAGAGGTGGAGGATGCGGATTGTTGGCGGGCAAGTTTTGGACGAGGGGAAGCTGGGACTGCGGTGCGGGTGGATGTGGTGGATATAGAGGAGGAGGAAGATGCTGGGGATAGAGAACGGAGAGGAGGTATTGGTATAGGGGAGGGAGGAGGCTCGGGTTTTGGCGTCTCCCGCTTTGTACTCTCTAGCGCTTGAGCATGTTGAGCCTCAAGAGCCAAATGAAGTTCCTGGATATATCGTGTTCAGTACAACACAAGAATCATGAACTTAAACTCACGCGTCTTTTGTCAGACGAGAGCTCATTCTCATATGACAGAAATTCTTTGACGTATTCCCACTCGCCCAGACGAGGCAAGACATGCAAGCAGTAGAGTTCCAGAACTTTGTGATACGGCTCACCTGTGGAAGGTGCGAAATCATATTGGCCGCGTTTCGACAACCAGTCCTCCGTGATCTCGCGACCAATATTTGGACAATCTAGCTTGATGCTGGATGCTATGAGTGTGATGACGACTTGGTGCGGAAGGAATGCGGAGCTAGGCTTTTGATACAGCGATGAAGGAGTAAACAAAGCGAGAGATCGAGCATACAAATTGGAAATAAATGATTGGGGAGACGAGAGTAGGGATTCTCGGAGTGGCTGTGGTAAATCAACGAGGTCTGGAGTAGAAGAGAAGACGGTGGTCTCGAGGGTGATGCGAAGGATGTCCCACTTTCTCCGGTGGACATCTAGGGGATCAGGCGAGGGCGCGAGCGGAGGTGGGAGGAGCGCGAATGCAGTGCTTAATAGTGTGAATGTGGTTGCGACATCTCGGTGAAGGAATGCTCTTGCTGCACGGTTGTACAGTGATTGTAACGTTGCCTCTGTCGTCGACGAACTTTTGCCGGTCGGTTTATGTAGCTTGACCGACGTCGAGACAATCGTTGTTGCCATCGTTGTCGTAGCGGTCGGCATCGGCGAAACTCACAAAAATCGCTCAGCCTAGATATTACCATACATAGCGGTGTCAACACTCTAGCGCGCACGTGGCGTCGACTGGAAATCGCTCCGTTCTTACAATATGTAGATAGATAGCTAATGCCCAGTAGCCTAGGCAGCCAATTGAAATCGTTCAATCAAGTGACGCGTGTTGAACGTGCACATAACAACCCACTCCACTGAAGCGCACACACATTGGAGTGGGGAATCTTATGTGACATGTGATGATTCGTCGATCCGAGACTGACTGGCTTCGGGCCTAGGCGTGGGTGACATGGATGCTGAAATGATTGCCGCATCGTCATAAAAAGATAATTATGTCAGTTGTCTCTTAGAGCCAAGTTTGGGCAAGGGGATCGCAACAACGCGTCCTTCTAGCATATCAATGAAAGGCCTCTGCGTAGACATACAATTCATGCACCCTTTCCCTCCATCACTGCCTCTACCAGCTCTCCGATCCATCGCTCGAACACCTCCTGTGCCATCACACCCTTTTCGTCGAAGAAGGCCGAGTACTCTTTGGATTCGTGTGTTCGGCCCTTTGCAAGTAGTGATTTCCCCCCTGATGTAGACTGCACGTAATTAATGGAAAGCGAGTATGATGGTGAGTTCGTGGGGCTCGGCTTGAGAGATAATTTAGAGGACGGCACTGGGAGGGTGCCCGAGGAGATCGTTATCCGTTCTGTTATTATCTGACGAGAAATAAGCGCAGTGAAGGATATCATAATTGTTTCAGACTCACTCTCTTTGAAAAGGTTTTCCGTCGACCGACAAATATGGTATCGCCCTCCACGAAGTAGGAGTATAATGTCTGAAGGGAGGTGAGGACCAGGTAGCTGTAATGCGGGAGGATTTTCAATAAAATGGATCGTGATGTTTCATAATGAACACTTACAGTATGAACCCAACCCAGACTCCTGGCTTCGACTTTTCGAAGTCAATTTTCCACCCATAAAGTCCCGTAGCTACTGCTGTGAATACGCCTGCCCATCCCAAAGCCAGCCGCACATCGGTATGAAGATGTATTTGTTTAAACAAAACGGGTCTCGATAAGTACTGCGATGGCGAGTGATGTGAGCATTTTTTCATAGTTACAATATTAAAACTACGCACTCGTTTAAGGGCATCATCACATGCGTTCTTGAGCTCAGACGCGCTGTAGTTGTTGACCTTGATAATCTCGCGTTCCTCCGGAGAGATAGTGATGCTTAATGGACCAGGTGGTTTTTCTGGAGAGGAAGCAACTGAACTTGGACGACGCTCTGGTGTTGAAGGTGTTGGTGAAAGTCCTCTGGCATTCTTTCGGGGTGCCATGGTGGTGCTGGAGAAGGAAAAGGCGTGTGTACGGTGCTAAGCACTGCAGTTGTATGCATAAGAAGGACGTGTCACTGTACATGTGTGGGAAAATACTTCTTCAAGTAGCGATTGCTGGCAGTGGGAGTGCTAGGCCCATAACAAGACTCTTCAGAAAATGTCTCGGTAATTCCGCGTTGTGCTTGAGATACGAGGACTATGGCGCCATCTTCTATCGCCATCCTGGGTGGTGGTCTCACTGGCCTTTCCGCCGCTTTTCACCTTTCACGTCGGTTTCCAGCAGCTCAGATCACTCTGCTGAACAAGGACATCCACTTTGGCGGATGGGTTCGTTCTAGGCGCGCTAGAATCACCCTTAAAGACGGTCGCGAGACCAGCGTGCTTTTGGAGGCTGGCCCGCGCACTCTTAGACCAAATTCAAAGAGTGTTCTCGAATTGGTGGGTAATAGGCTAGTCTAATACAACTTCCGTGAGGACCTTCTCATCGGGCACGTCCCAGACTAGATTAACCTTCTGGACCTATCGCCGTCTCTTTTAACTGTCCCGAAATCATCACCAGCTGCTCGGAATCGCTTTTTGCATCTACCTGGCACAAAGGGCCTTCTGTGCATTCCTTCATCTCCGCTCAGCATTCTTACTTCCGGGCTCTCACCTAAGTCTTCTTCTTTGCATTCTCCCCTTGGCCATATCCTTCTTTCAGCTGTCGCACGAGAGCCATTTCGCCCATGGAACAGACCCCTAATGATCGAGGACGAATCGGTCGACGAATTCTTGAGTAGGCGTTTCGGGAGCGAATTTGCAAGGATTTTCGGAAGTGCACTCGTGCACGGTATTTATGCAGCGGACTCTCGAGAATTGAGCGTCCGCACAGCGTTCCCATCGCTTTGGGATGCCGAGGAACGCGGTCGTGGCTCTTTGGTAACTGGGTTTCTTCGGCCGTCCAGAGCTTCAGCGACAGCAGAGGTCAATGACCTCCCATATCAGCTAGGGAACGTAGATGAGCAGATGCGTGGAGTATCTGTGTATTCGTTCTCGCAAGGTATCGGTGTGTTGGTAGATGCACTCTTGCGAGAGTTGAGAACGCGCCGGAACGTGCGCCTACTTAGCGGGGTGTCAGCGACGGGACTACGGATGAATCCGAGAACTGCACAATTCGAAGTACGTATGCACTTTGAATAGGTAGTCTTTTGTTAATAATTATTTGTGCCCAGATAACGACCTCGTCTTGCGAGACGCTGCGCGCAACACACACTGTCTCAGCTGTGCCTCTCCCGAGCTTGAAAGGGCTCATCTCACCCAAGACGCCATTGCCACACCTGACTGCAAATCCTTATTCGTCGGTGACGGTCGTAAACCTCGTGTTCCTGGCGTCTCCGGGACATGTACTGCATCCTGTGGGATTCGGGTACCTCGTGCCCCGAGCATCGTCTAGACATGCAGAAAACGCGATTCTGGGGTGCGTTTTCGACTCCTCGTCAATGTCGACACAAGAAGCGCCGTGGAGCGCGGATATTGTGAAAATGACTGCGATGCTCCGCGAGCCTGTGGCTTCAATTCCTCGCCTTGTAGATATGCTCTCTGAGCAGTTAGGTGTGCGTCTGCCCGATCCGCTCATTGTGAGGGTGCATGACAACGCACATTGCATCCCCCTGCTGCGTGTGGGGCATCTCCAGCGGATGCAGGAGTTGAGCGAGGTGCTTCGGGGAGAACCGTGGAGCAGTAAGCTAGAGGTGATCGGCGCCGGCGTGGGGGGCGTGAGCGTTGGTGATTGCGTCGAGGCTGGGAGGCGGGCGGGTAGGAGTTGGGCATAGGGTTCATTCATCGCCCTTTGGACTGCAATAATTGCTGTATGACTTCTACATCAGGAGTGCGAGCTGGACGTTGAATGGTTCCGGACCTGCCACACCTTTCATAACTACCGCATACGTGTCCTTGTCATGTCACGATTACTGCCACTGACATTACTCACTTTGACATATAGTTGTGGTTGGAACCAATAAGAGCCAAGCGCCTGCACAGCGATTCTCTCGGAAAGGGCTGACCGTGCAACTACAAGGCTCGATATTTTTGACACTCATTATATCGGATAAGGCAGGGGCGACATCCCATACATCCATAGCGCAAAAAAGCACCTCTATGGACCTATTCCTGCAGATGGCTGTACTCTTGTTTTCTTTTCGTAAACTCACGCATGATGATTGGGCGGCTAACTTGAAGGCTATGATGCGTTCGGAAGAGGATCTTCAGCCAAGATTGCGCAGCCCCCAGGGCTAGAAGTTCGATTCGAACGGACTCTTCTCAAGTGTGTTCCCCTCATAACGACCCCTTATATAGCTTGATACTGGATATCTGGACAATTACGACACCCATCACTTTTTTATCCACCTTGCGCTGCACCTTCTCAGCCAGGGTTGTGCTCAATCTATTTTTCATCAGAACGCCTTGATATACACATACCATGGAATATCGTCCGTGTGCGTAGAACCTGCTGCTTTCTTTTCCCGTTAGTGTTGGGCTGACCGCGTTTTATGTCATAGTTGACTCGTCTCCGCCCATTCCGGACCCTTCATCTGCGCCTTTCCCGTCATTTTCTATGCCCATGCCTGAGATTTATGTGCAAATGCCTAGCGCCGAAGTACCGTATGGACAGCCGTATGCCTCTGAGTACTCATACGCCTCTGAGGCCCCATACACCCCCGAGCCCCCATATGCTTCTGAGCATCTCGCCTCTGAGCAACCATACACCCCCGACTACCCATATCCATTCCAACAGTCTCAGCAACCATATGGTGTCCCTCCTCACGTGTCAGTGCCATTTGATAGCGTTGATCTGCCACCTGAGCCATGGGTCCCAGAGGTACCGGAGCAGTCGGACGGGGAGGAAGTTGACCCCATAACTGAGCCTATCTGCATTCCTACCCCTGAGCATGTGCAGACAGGAGCATCTGTTTCACGCAGGCCATCGCGCTTACAGCGTTTGGCTTCCTTCCTAGGACTAAAGCCCAAGGAATCGACAGTCTCTCGTCATTCCTGAATTCATAACCCTAGGTCTTACTTTGGCATGAATCGTCGTGGCCTTCAGCATATTCAGTCGCATATCGTCCTAGACGCCTAGAGTTCATACGTGCATTTATCGCTAGATTAATCTCGCAGTTAGATTGCTAGGTATATGTCATACAAGCAGTCCGCTCGCCTGCGGACAATCCATTTTGATTTGTTACAATTACAAACAATTGTAAACTCTTTCGTGGTTCGACGCTGACCATAGTGTTCTAATATCCCGACCATTCCGCACTCTCGATGCTGCAGTGTATAGCTGACCATGCGCAAATACATCCATGGAAAGGTCGAGCACCGCCCGTCGCAGAGTTAGACCCTGCGAGCCATTGAACGTCGTCGCGTATGCGCGGAAGACAGTGAATCTCGCCTGTCTGAATGCCCATGATGCCGTGGAAGGTGCTGGTGCAGCTTGACGTCATGGTAGGGTTGAAGATTAGGAACGTTGGACCTCCGCACGCCATAAAGTATGGAGCGAGAAAGGGGTCGAGCGATCGATCAAGCCGGGATGGAAGAGATACAGAGATTCCGTAATGAACAATACGTGTGCACTCAGGCTCAAGTGGAGCGCGCACATGGCGTCGACACCATATTGGAAATCGCTCCGTTCTTATAATATGTAGATGCACATGTTTCAAGCGGACGTGAGCGACTACGTCCACAAACTGGGGGGCTGGTAGCAGAAAAGAACATAGATCATGTCAACATCGAGTACACTCGCCATGTATCCATGGAACTTGCGCAACCCCAATCTGATATTCTCGCAGCATACCGTCTGGGCTAGTAGACTGACACGAAGGACCCCCTCCATGGTTCCAACATTTGAAGGCGGGAGAAGGCATAGAGATCATCACAGCGACTTTTACAGCTTCTGGGTGATTCTCAGTCTCATCTTCTGTGGGCTTTTCGGATGCCGCTGATCTATGATGAGTGCGTGAGCGTCGTCGTGGCCACATATGGAAGTTTAAAGGATGTGCGAGAAGAAATGCAGGTCGTCTTCGCGGAGGTAAAGGTAAGGACGAAGAAGACTGGGAATCATCGGGAAGAAGCCGTGCCGCAGTAGAATGATCTGCAAGTACTTCTGACTCAGCTACTGCAAATTGACGTGCAGACCGAGAGCGGCATGCGTGGATGAGAGATACGTATACAGGCTGTTGAAAGCGATTATCGGACACAAAAGGCAACAGAACACTGGTGCATACCTGAATACTCGACCATTCAAACTGACCCGCACCCAAGGCTTCCTTGGTCGATGCAGGAGGGCGGCTCAGCCAAGCATCCCACAAAACCGGAGGTACCAACTTCTTTCGTCGACCGCCCCTTCCGTCCAGCTGCTCTGTCGTATCCCAGGATGTACCGAGAAACGCGCCAGACCGGCAACGAACAAAACAGCACGAAATGATGATGAACAGGGAAACAACTGATATGAGGAGAAAGCCAAAGGAATAGGCTGAAATCGCAACGCCAGGCGATGAGCTGGAGCGGATGTCTGTGGGTGTGGAAGTGACAGACGTGGAAGAAGACATAAGATAGGGGACCCAGACCAAGCACGAATTCTTCTCTGTACTCACGATTTACTAAGATAGGGCGAGACCTTTGCATGCACTAGCGATCATGACACATGCATCTGTCCCCCGAAGTTCGTCAACCACCACTGTATATGTCGCTTAGTAATAGGAATGTTGGCACTGCCATCAACATGTACTACTAAGTGACATTTCCTGCGTACTACTTCAAGCTTCAAGCTCCATGACAGCAAGTACTGTCGTCCAGGCTTTCCATCTCCCCTATCTCGAGTTCCTTGTATACATCGTGAGTCATATCAAGACACCTAAGTGACTCTTAATCCCCAAGTGATCTGTACCGGATCAGCGGCTGGACATGGTACATATTATTGACTTTTCCCGCCATTAGCGAAGGGCTTAGAACAATATCCTTTTCGTGTATTTGGATAGATTAATGCACTACGAGGACTGAATAGAACGCATAGACCCATGTACTGCCAGTGCTTGACTTCTGTCAAATGACACACTCAATCCTTCGTATTGTCTGGGCAGTGATGGCAACAGAACTGCTACTTGAAATTAATGCAAGGCTCCAGTAAGAGAACGGTGGACATAACCAACAGCTATGTCACGATAAGAAGAGCGATTAATCGGTACTTGCAGACGAATGCTCACCAATACATGGGGCATGATGTTGTGTATCGCGGGTTTATGCATCTGGTTTTGCTGTCGTAAGGAGACATTTCTTGGGCCTGGGTTTTACACCATTCTTCTTAGCTGCAACTCTTGCTTTTGCCCTTTGTTCTTTTGCAGCTTTCATATCTTTGGGCGCAGTGGTGCGGAGTTGTTTGATATGAGTGGGAATCAAGCATTTCGGAGAATTAGGCTGGACTGGAGGCACAAGCCAAGGTGCGCTGATTACAGGTACAGATTTAAGCATATCGCGAAAAATCGGTAAATACGGGGCATCATCCTATTGAAGGCATCAGAAGTAAGGATCCTGACATCTGAAACACTTACATGAACGGCTATTACGGCCGCTCTTTTCAGACCAAGCGCCTGCGCAAGTGCGGACTCTGAGCCCTTTGGTAGGACGATCAATTTCAGGGGCTGTCGAGCTTCTAGAGGGTTAGATCCGGGGCGTGTAGAGTTGCATCCTGCCACAAGGTGAGGGATGTGATCCAATAAGATCGGAGGATTAACGTCGGCACGGCACACAAAGACCGCAGAAACGGGAGAAATGTCGGGGACTACTGGATTGGCATGAGAGGTGGTAGTGAGTGTAACCGAGTGTCGGACAGACTTCAACTGCGATTCCAGTCTCCTTGTCACTTCGTTAATGCCGATGGTCATGTGGCCCGACGGAGCAAGTTTACTAACGGCCGGAGATGGTGAAGGAGTGGAACCCACGGCACATGCAGAGGGTTTTGAACATACTATCGAGTCTAGGCTCGGGTTTGTTCCTTCCACTGAATCTGCAATTTCCGAGCGGGGTAGAGCTTTCCTAGTGTATGCCTTGAAAGATTTTCGATTTCCGCTCCTTGCCGCACTTTCCAAAGTGGTTACGAGTGTCGCGAGGAACAAGTTTTGCGCGTTTGATGGGATTGAGGGCCTAGTGTAGGATGTTAGACGCGTTGGAAGTTTGGAAGGGACCAAAACAAACCATTGTATTCGGAATGGATTTTCAAGGACACTTTTATAAACGTCTTTTCGCTCTGCGGTTGCCCGTGCCTTTGCACGATTTGATGCATGAGTGTAGCTCCGAGCTGCTTTATCCGACATATATTGGTCCTAAAGGCAGTTTACAATACTTACGTGACAATGGTTTGTTTGGCTTTGTATCAATAGGGCCGCATTGGCTTCTGCCGAGCCAACACAACATGATATACAAAATCTGATCATCCGCTCTCGCGACAGAACTAGACCCAGGCTTCGACTCGAACAGAGATGACCCTTACTACGTGCTGGAAACGATGTGATCGAGTGGGAAGTATCAGACGTATCAGAATGAATGGGATCTGTTGTAAGTACTTCACGATTCTCATATACCTTGAAATTTCATGGTTTAATTTTCACGTAGGTGAAATCGAGCAGTGACGTATCACAAAATCATCAAATCGAGTCTGAGATGCCCTACACATGCAAGTACTCGTGAACTTCCATGTTATTCGGACAAGCTAGAACGGGAGACGTTCCGCTGAAAAGCATTGGTGCACTGGTTTAAAATGTACTATCAGTGGTTTCCTGTGAACGCTATCCTCTGTCCTGTTTCGGCCACGTTATCACCGCTTCGCAACATAATTCTCGTTGGAACATTTTGAACTTTTCGCATGGTATCTTGCCCAACTTCAAAGTTAGCGTCTGTCATCTCACTACCTCCTCCATTGTCAAAGAATGATATTGGACACTCTATGCATGATTAATGGAACCCAACCACACAACACATCAGTGCTACTGGGTCGCACTCGCGGAGTCCAATGAGGGGAGGCTGCACCGTTGCAGGCTATGCTAAATGTCGAAACCTACAGGTCAATAAACAAGGATTCAAAAGAAAAAGTGTCGATACCGTTCCATGGAAACGTCTTGTAAGAGATGAAAACGCATTTACCTGTAGCGAGATCTAAAGTGTGCTCATAGCAATCGACGTTCCCCGGATCTTGCGACATTTCTTTGGGTACGACTACGGGTACTTGAATATAGCACGGGCCGTAGGTTTATCGTACTTATTATGGCATAGATAACAGTTTCTTCACGATCTAGCGTTCGTCCCTTGAATCGACATAGCAGCCGCATCCCCCTTGCATCAATGTCAGTACGTTGGAATACGTGGAGGGCGTTATTGGCACGTGCCCGAGTGTTTCACAACTGCCCCTGGCAGAATTTCTCGATACCATTCATCAAATATACTTTGTCTCATATGTTTTACAACCAGAGCCACGGCAATCACCGTTCACCGAATGCTAGCATGTCGAGCTATTGTCTACCACTAGGCAAGTGCCTTTGGACTTTCTTTTACCAAAGGATGATCATAGGTGAGAATCCATTATGTTTCATGTCGGCATTTACTTCTCCTACACGGCGATACGTTTTAACGTTTGCTAGCCCTCACTGCCACCCTGAGCTCTTTCTGCATTCGCAACGTTAGGATAACCTCACAACGTAGTCTGGCAGGCGCAGTTATGGATATAAAGCTCGAGAACACTCCTTCATACCCAATCATTCTTCCAACCTCAGAATCCTTACACAAGATATGCCTGGCTTGAATTCATCTGTTCGACGCTTTGATCGCACCAACATCCCAGGAGATGTCTGGGGTGTTCTACGGGACAGGGACAACGCTGCTCGCGCAAATCTGATCCTTCCACATGCCGAAAAGGTTTCCGGTCACCAAGAGTTCCTACCCGGTTCCGAGCAGCTTTGGCTGGTCTACTCGGAGCCTGCAACCTCTGACATCAGATTTATACTATCCTGCACGGAGGGACCATTGGGCAAATACCCTATTTTTATTATTCCCGTAGCCCCCATTCAATTGGCCCCCGAACTCCTCCAAGGCCCCATGGAGGCGTTCTGCGAAGCGCTTCTGAACGAGGTTGACTTTAGAAGGCAGAGGGTCTTTTCTGTCTTTTCTGTTGAACCAGTCTCCATAGCTTTTGCTAGCGCATGGGAGAAAATCGCAGAGATCAAGTGCATTAATAAACCATACTACGATGCATTTTTTTCGGCGTGTACTCCTGGGACGTTCAAGTTGGTCCGCGATGGCCCTCAACCAGTGGATGATGACATTGAACTACGTCTTGCTGTGCCACAGGATGCCGGCAAGATTTCTGATTTGTGTAAGGAATTTTCCGAGACCTCGGTATGTCCGCTGCACCACTCCCTTTTAAGCGGACATTCATTGATGAGAATCTGTAGCGTCCATTCGTTCTCTCTGACGAACAAGCTTCTAAAGAGGCTAGGCTCATGATTGAAAACGAGCAAGTCTGGGTATACGAGGTCAAAGAGGGAGATGGAGAAACTGATATCGCGAGTATTGTCGCTGCCACGCGGCAGTCACACACTGTTGCTGCCATCACAAAGGTCTACACGCCAGAGAAGTGGCAGCGTCAAGGACGTGCTGAAAGGTTGGTTCGCCGTGTCTGTAGAGAGTACGAACTATCATCTATGAAATTGTACTGTGATGCTAACTTCTGCTCGACCAGGTTGTTGAAGAAGCATGAGCAAGTTGTGTTATACGTTGGCGCTAACAATGACGCTCAGAAGTTGTACAATCGAGTGGGCTTCCAAGGGACTTCTGGACCTGAGCGTTGGCTTGAAATTGGTTTTGATGAAGCCGAAGTTGAACTCGGTCACTGGTAGATTTTAGTATATTCTGATTTGCTCTGCTTGTTCCCCACGTTCATCTGACATTTTACGTCTCGTCTGTAGCATAGCCCTTTTGTCTACCTGTCCCACACTATATCGTTAGCGTTTTGATTAGTGTACACAAGTTGTTTACGTAGATCTTGAAGCTTAACATTTCGATGAATGCTGAATGTAATTGAATCATTACATAACTACTGGTCTCCTTGATTGAGTTACTAGCCAGTCAAAGACTTGCCACGTAGTCTAAGGGCACGATTGGGCGCGCTTCGCAACGAGAATTCAAAGGAGGATTAGTTAAAATTGGCTTCAGCGGATTCGTTGTCATTGCAAGTATTTTCCTTCCAGAGCACATCTCCAATATTTGGTTCTAATGAAATTGTGTACATTGGAGTTGGCACACAATATTTCGAATTGGCTTTGGTGTTTAGAGATATCTTGTACACGTGTACACGTCATCGACATTTACAGCGCACCAGCAGGTGGGAGCGTCGTGGATGCCGTTTGCTTCTCAAGGTGAATTACACAGTCACTCGCCGAAAAGCTATCCCACACATCCAAAAGTAGTAACGTGTGACAAACCTGTTCGAAATGTCGTTAACATGGTTTTCTCGCCATATATTGTTGACCAATTTAATATTTAACTATTCGATCTATCACACGAGGTGTGTGACATGCCTGTATTTAAAAGCTTCAGGGTATTATAAAGATAGTGTAGGTACATTGGAAACCGGAGCTATTACGAGTATCACATTGATTTATCTTGAATATATTGCATGCCACACCTCACACGGATATGTTGTCCCATCTTGTATAGATATCGAGTTCAGTAAGTCATATCTACCTCTGGCCAGGACCGGTCAGACATAGACTCATATATTCAGGGTAGCTAGTTGCCAGCTTACCAGCACCATACCAGTCACATCAAATACACATTTTGCAAGGCGGTAAATGTATGTCAAGCAGTCAAAACAATTATATTATCGGCGTGCTAGTTACAATAATGATTCAGAACGAGTGATACGTGTGTCAAGCGGGAGTGAGGAGCTGGCATATTCACTACCAAAGTAGATCGGTCTGAATTTTCGTCTGCCACTGGGGATTGGTGCTGGAAAGCAGCTTCAGAACGGTCCTCTTCCCCGGGAATTCAGCGAGGTCCTGCTGGAAATATTCGACCAAGATGCTTCCCAACAATGAGTAACCACGTGCAGAGTGAAGTATTAGCAATGAACTTACTTTCTGATGATATTCTCAACCGGTGTTCCGTCATTGAGTTCCTCTGCCTCTGCCTTTCCCATTTTGCGAACGCCCTCGAGCGAGGCATCCACAAACCTCCAAAATTTGGTTGACATGAAGATAGTGCACTTTCCATGGCCACCAAATCCCGAATCATTGGGGTCGAGTTCATACGTTTCCGCCGTGCCAGACACATTTCCTTCCAGGCCGTCCTCCTCCTCATCTCCATCATGGTTAACATCGACATCGGGTCCATCATCTCCAGCCTCTGCTCTATTTATGCTGCCTTCAATGCTTCCGATACTGTCTGCACCGTTCTCCTGGACTTGATTAGCATCACCTTCGGCTATGGGGTCTTGGTCGAAGTCGTCCAATCCAACATCAATGCCAAGTGCATCACCAACCTTGACATGAAGGTCTCGGTGGAGGGACGGAAGGAGCGATGGGGAATAGATATCCTTTAGAGGTATGGTCTTGTAGTTACCGGTGCCGATAAGAAAGATACGCAAGCAACGGCGCTGCCAGTGGAATCTCATCGTCAGAATGAGCAGTCAGGAGAGTAAGACCATACCAAAAACACATATCTATTCCAATGTGACGCATCAACTTCTAGGCAACCATGGGCGAGTGATCTCGCAGTGTCTATGATACTCGAGCGTTTTAGGATCGACGACATCAGCTGAATCAGTCTAAGCTTGGCTTTTTCTGTGAGGTATTTTGACACTTACCTTAGTCTTTATATTGCTGCGGATGCAAGAAAGTGCTTCGCTGACAAGTTTTGATAATTGTGCGGTGAGCTCGATGTCTTCAAACAGGAACTTTGGGACCTTGAATATCTCGCTATTTTTCTCGATAAATTCCTGTCATCCTGTTCAGCTGCTACATTCCTACGTAAGGATATTGAAGGTACCATGACGTGTTCAAGCGTGTCATTGATGTATGCGGTGAGATTAGGCGATAATACACATGCTGTGAGGCGGTTGTGAAGACCTGACTGTGTCATGCTTGATCAGTATGAAGTTGACGACAGAATAGTACAGTTAGACGCAAGTACCTTGAAATCTTTTGATTCTATTAGTTCTTTGATTTCCGCGAGGAGAGATTTTCTGTTCGCTGCACTCAACATCATCAAGGTGGCCTTAATATCAATGAGCATATAGGCAATTCCTCCAGTCTAACGATTCATCAGAAATGATTCATAATAGCATTGAGAGAAAACTTGCATCAATGAATTCAACGAGGTGCTCCTCATCAACACCTTTCTCTTCAGCAACTTTCCTTGCGTACAACTTGAGTCGCTTTGTGAGTCCAGGCGTAAATATCGATGGGTCATTACAGTCGGTGCTAGAAGATCTCCGGCGACGCAAGCTAGCACTAATAGGCTCATCCAGGGATTCATCTGGTGAAGCGAACCGAGAGGCAACAACAGTTTGACCTTGAGAAGCTTGATTAATAGTGACGGTCTGGGAAAGTGGTGAACGAGCACGACCGATGTCTCCTATGGATCCAGACACTGAAGGAGGTCGAGAGGCATTCTGGATAGAAGTCGAACGACTCCTGCCTCGAGGCACAGCGGTGGGTGGTGCTAACAGACCATTTGTTGAGCGTGGGGTTCCTGTGCTTCTCGAACCTGAACTGGTCCGCACAGGATAGTGCTGGAGCATCATGATGTTGCCTGGACATGGATGCACTGCGCAGGAGCAACTCACTGTTCTGCTCAACGCTGACCAACGGAGGTTTGGGCTCAGTGGCTGATCGAATAAAGCCTCGCTTCTTCGCTTGCGTCCGAGTTGGCAATTGCGTCATACCCAAATATTCTTCACAAGATCTTTGGTGCGCTCAGGCCTATGAAAGCAGCAGAAAAGAGTATCAAACAATAAAGAGGATATATTCTTGGAATAAGGGCTGGGTGGAAAAAGGGGCTTGGAGAGGGATGAAGAGATAATCACTAAGTATATTATCTGAGTGGTACTTCTTGGTGCAGCAAAAGTGAGAATATTTGTGGCAGGCCTTCATCTAATCACACAAAATTGAGTGCAGCCAGACACCAAATCTGAAATGGGGAACCGCCAGATACCCAACTTGAATGGCTTGAAGGTCTTTGTGCGACTGTAAGTAGAAGTCGCGCACTGCAGGATTGTAAGTAGAAGTCGCGCGCTGCAGGATTGTAAGTAGAAGTCGTGCGCTGCAGGATTGTAAGTAGAAGTCGCGCACTGTGGGATTAGCGACTCACTGATCGGCAACAAATTCTGTGGGATACCTTTGGAGTTCATATCCCACCGGGATACATCATACCAAACTGAGGGTGGTGATGCTGACTCTGCAGATATCGAACCTGAGATTCTTGGGGAGGATAATGAGGCGATGGGAAGCGGCCTGCAACATTATGTGGTGAATAGTGTGTGGGAGACATCAGAGGTTGAAACTGGTGCGATGGTGGGGCACGAGAAGAGCTGGGGAGTCCAGAGATAGAGCTGGTATCATGAGATTGCCAGAGCTGTGGATGTGCAGGAGGGAAGTGAGGCGTCAATGTCATGTAGTGATTTGGGGCCTGCACTGCAGGCAGTGGATCCATTGGGGCCTCTTGCACGTTTTGTGTTTGCTGACGAGTTGGGTGAACATATTTGGCAGGTAGAGGCGCAGGGGCATATGATTGAGACGGAAGATATGACTGTGGGGGAGGGCGATACAACTGAGATGGTGATTGGTGAAATGGAGGTGAGGAGCGTAAGGGGGGAAGAGCATGAATTGGCAGGGGCGGAGGGAAAGACTGATGTGGAGGATGGTGTGGTTGGGGTGCAGGTGAGTAAAAATGTTGCGAAGGACCTCCCATTGATGGCGCAGAGACAGTTTGATGTTGCTGCAATGCTCCTGAATCTTGCTGAGTGGGTGCTGTCCCCTTCTTTCCTTGCGTACTCGGACCATGTGCGCTCGCTTTTGCTGTTTTTGCCTTGGCTTTGCATGCAGGCTTCCGCAGTTTGGTTGGAGCACGATCAAAGGCAGAAGGTGGCGCTAAAGATGGTTGAGCAGCCACACCCTCACCACTATCTGCTAGTTGGGACGTATCTCCACCTTTCTTCGCTGTTCTCTTGTCTCGTAGTTGGTGTATGGCCATGGCACGAACTTCAGCTACATTGGTAACCCGAAGCGGTGTCTCACGAAGTGTATCTGGAACAACACGTTGGATGTGATCGTAGTTATGAATGGAATAGACATTGAGAAAAAAGTTTGGCATTGACTCATGCTTGACTGTGGCCTTTGTTTGAGAGGTGTCTATCCGTTCTTGATGTACAGACTGTCGACGGATGTCCGTGCACTGCGAATCGAGGCAATTATGTTGAATATTGATGGTGCAAATAATGTCCTGTGAGGTGATCCAAGTCTTGAACAATTAGCTTGTATATAAAACACATGACGTACTATACTGGTTGAAACCATCTCATTATCAGTAAGATCAATGCATGGGAGGTGGAGAGACGGGTGGAGAGCAGCTCTGAATGTGAAGAGCTGGAGTGCGACATGATCTGTCGTTTGACTGTCCTGGGATGATACAAGAATCTCGCGAATACATCCAATATACAACTGGAAGCAGCATCACAGCTGTGTCCATGAGTAGCCATCACGACAAAAGGAAAAGAAGATACTAGCTCACCTGCCTGTCCACTGGTTGTCAGAAAATAACATGACTATTCAAGCGTGCACATTCTCCTTCACTCGTCACAACTGATTTACCCTGATAATACACGATTCCAGGTTGAACGGTCCCAAGAATCTTCGCGCAGCGAGTGGTTTTCCATGGGACTGTGTTTTTTCGCACTGACTTTGCTATTGCAGTGGGAGAAGTGGTTTCAATTTTGCCCGAACCTGTACATCATTAGTGGCGATATAGCGATAGCACATACCATGGGACTTACCGGGTATCGGAGGACTATGACTCGAGTTTGGTATGCCTAGAAGCCTCGCTTGTTCAGGATGTTCATCAAGATAGCATAGGACCTTTTCCCCCGCACAAACCCATTTCTTGACTCTGGAATCATACCAGTATCCACCGGTAGCGATATGTTTGACCGTGTCCTGGTGAGAAAAAATCTTGCAAGTATCCCTACTTGGCGCCTGTCAGTTGCTGTAGATGCACGATAACCGGAAGACATGATTGAATGATTCGTATCGCTCAGTTGAAAAAACAATCGCAGGGCCGAAACGACGAATGTACGCTGGAAGATGGACGAGAAAATGGAACTTTGGCTTGCTAATCAAAATACTCGGTGCGCATTGTGTCGTAACATTCAAAAAATCTTCAATGGTTCGAGATAGCGTTGCCTTTGTCACAAAGGTATCAGACACGCCTTTTGGATAGAACATGAATTGAACTCACGAGATATGTTTCTGTGTCCGTGAATCTTGTGTGCCAGACCAGTACAATGAGTTCGCCAATCACTGTCCATGCATTAAGGACCGTCAGAGGAACGAGGTCGTGGATAATGAATGGCATAACTTGCGCCAAACTTTTAAAATGCTTGCCGATTAAACTGCCTTTATAGTGGCAAATATAGTCTGCATTTAGACAGGGCACATTCAGGCCGTCCTTGTCAATGGATTCGAGCCAGTACTGAAAAATGTGGAGGAACTTTGCTTTTTCGAGGAGAAACACTGTCTGCCCCTAGAAGTACTTGACAATGCCCAGGAGTATTGTATGAAGGATTTCCGTTGGGGTATCCATATGAATATCTAACCCTATATGAAGCTGAGAGCGAGAGATCTACAGCAACCAAAAAAAACTCACCATCCATTCCCAGTAGGGGATTGGTAGTATCATTGAGGTGTCCACCTTTCAAGAGTTCCTCGAATTCTTTCCGAAGCGCAGCTTCAACTTCACTTTCAGGCAGAGCTGGAGATCCTGGTATGCGTTTTCGAAGCTTCTTGCCAAGTTCGACCAACGCACTGAGAATTGAACCCGAAGCTGAATCTCGCACACCAGTCGACGAAACAGAATTCTGGATTTTTGTCGTGGCGCCTGATCTGAAGGCAGTTTCAAACTGTTGTCGAATCTCTTGACTCGTCTTCTCGGGGGTCTGTATATTACCTGACTGCAAGCACTATAAGTCATATGGAAGATACGGAAAGGACTTTCATACCATAAAAATGCTGTTGTAGCCAGCCTCGGATTCCTTGTACTCTTTCATTCCGCCAACATCGCACGTCCTGCAGAAATAGTTGCAGTTGAGCCCCGCGTGGCTACACTCTTCAGCTTGCATGGGATTGTCTCCAGCGAGAAATAATGCATACGGAATGAGCATAACTTCCTCGTTGAACTTGCAATCCCACACCATGACACCAGATCGTGCTGCGTCACTACATGCATTCAACGATACTAGCATACAAATGACAAGTAGAATAACATACGATATGGATTCCTTCATTGCTCGCATCAATTCCATGGGTGGTGCGTGAGGGGAGGACGAAACAAATCACACGAAGAATTCTTTTTCGAGCATCTCTCGAGGCAAATTTGTGTTAGACATGTATATAGTGTGGTGTTTGTTCCACTGCTTCGATATGTTGCCTGAAACGTCGTCCATGAAGATGATTAAGGGAATGTTATACACCATTCGACCTTTCGACTTTTCTCGCAGCGGATTGGGTGAAAGTGACGCATATTTAACGGAAGATGCTATGTCATGCTTTAGTCTCATAGTTACTAATGAAAGTAGAACCGAACATATGTGTGAGCCTGCAATCAAGCTCTCCGCAGGTTGCGGCAATATCTCCAAATGATCATACAAACATAGACGTTGGGATAATCTCCTCATTGTCACTTACAATGAACCCGGCCTGATACACATTTGAGCACTAGTACACATTACATAGGTGACCCCGTACCTCTGTCCGTTCAGCAGCTCGACCCAATGCATATAGCACTTTATCTGATTGCTTGCAGTATTCAGTAGTGTCGGTGGGGATGTCAGCAGCAGCCAGAAAGAATCGTTTTGGGATGAAATAGCCTCCTGAAGACTCCTGCAACAGTTCGTCCGTAAAATACACGGTCCTGTCCACCTGAACCGCTGGCGGCGACGGGAGATCGAACAACATTTTACTCCCATTGAATACTTGTGACATCCCCTTTCCGCCATCCTCTGGATAGTCTTGCATCGCAAGACAAGTGAGGGGATTAGCGTAGTCCTATGAATTATGTTAACATCACATCAGTGCAGAGATCCATCCCACAAACTTTTGCAATTGCTCTCGCAACACTGTTGATGTAGAATGTGTTTCCGGAGTGAGATGTGACCTTCTTGGTCGGATCTCCTATGAGATCCTGCAGATGACTCTGACACTTCTTCATCGCGCCGAGTGAGGGAAGGCTTCGCACACCAAGTTCTTTGGCCCAATTCAAGACCGCCTTCTTTTGGACTTCAGAGAACGGAAGCCGTGGGGAGCTAAACAAGAGGGATGTGATGAAATGCTTGATATTGTTAGATATATCATATATATGTGTGCAGCATAAGACCTACTGCTTTCGATGGCCAGGGATACAAGGGATGATCCGGAGAGACGTTGTAGTTAGTGTTTGCAGGTTCAAGAAGCGGATCATCTGCAAATACCGCTAAGTATTGAATTTCAGAGCGCAGGAAAGACATTTCACTTACCAGGAATTTCAATACCGAAGTCAGGCGCGCTGTCGTCAATAAGCTCACACTCCTTGTTGGTGGGAACGATGGGTGTTGAGATGGCAATTTGTCCCGAGGCAACAGATGCCTGCAGTTCAGCAAACAGGTCCGGAAATTCATTATCGAGCTGGAGTGTTCGACTGCTGATGATCTTGTTCCAGAGATCGGCTAATGGATATTCGGAATCCATATCATCTGGCGCTGTTTCGGGCACCATGGGCAGTCCATCAGCTTGTATGTCGATAGGTGTGTCATCCACGTAATCGAAATCGATGCTGAAGTCGTCTTGACCGGTGGGGGGAAGTGAAGGATCAGGATGGCCAGCAGGCATTGCAGCAGAAACACTTGGCTTCCTGGTCTCAGAAAGCTTTTTCTTAAGATTTTCGGCACCACAAATGTGAATATCTTGCTTCACGTGCTTTGCAGCATTGCGGCGTGCCATCACACGATAGACACCACATTTTTTAGGGCACACAGTGCAAAAGACACGATCTGAAGTGTCATCGCAGAATCAAAAGACTGTAGATACCGTAGCATAAATAAATAAGCAATGAATTGATGGGAAAAAAATACACGTACTATGGCCATCAATGATGTCGTCCTTCATGCTGGTCAATTCGTCGAGAACAGTGGGCACTGCGCAGGCACTGGATGTGCCTAGTGCTGCCGTGGTCCGGTTCGGTCTGGTTCGGAGGGTCCTAGACGAGAACCAAGAACCGGACCATAGAGAACCGTTCTCTATGGTCCGGTTCGGTTTTTTGGGGGTCCGAACCCGAACCGAACCAAAAAAAAACTGTAAGAGCACGCAAAAAAACATTGACGAAGTACTAAGTAGTATACATGTTGAGTAACTAATCTAATAACATGGCTGCTCCCCCCCAATTACCATGCGCGAGAGGTATCAGGAGAGTGATTGTGATAACGAGGGGTTGACACAACCAGAAATAGGAAAGCGGCAGCGAAGGATGGCGATCATGAGCATGGGTCGAGGATGGCGGCGAGCAGCAGCAGGAGATGGCAGTGAGCAGCAGCATGAGATGGTGGCGAGCGCGGGTACCATATACAAATAATAAATTTATTAGACACTGAAACAATAAAACACCATGATGCACCTTTGCAGCTGAGAGAACTCCCCATCTAGAGTCGAGTCTACATGCGCTGTGCGTTTGCGCATGGTGCTGGTGGCATTGGATGTGCTAAGCGGGAGGATGCTGAAGGTAGTGAGAGGGCGCTGAACTTGTCAACTTGATGGCGGGAGGGCTCCAAAGGTAGCGAGAGGGTGCCAAAGGAAGTGAGAGGGTACTGGGAGTTGGGTTGGCACGAGAGGTTCGATCCAAAATATGATGCGACCAGTGGGAACGTTACACATACTTGAGCTCCACAAAGCATGCCAGAGAGAACTCACTGAGTAGCCCAAAACTCGAATGAGACCATTGCGCCACCAAGAGCTACATTCCAGAAAACAGGACCAACTTTCCCGGTGGTGTTGTCAACATGTGGCGTGTCCCGTACATGGGTGGCGTGTCCCATACATGGAGTGCCAACTTGTTGGCCTAGCAGAGCGCATTCAGTTGTGAGAATATGCAATGAGACATGCATATCGATTCACCTTTGGATCCGAAAGTAGGTCATCGAGGCAGGCTGTGAGAGACGGAGGGTGAGAGACAGCAGGGTGAGAGACAGTGGGCGAGAGCAGCCAGCGGGTGTGTGAGACAGTGAGCAAGAGACAGTGGGTGAGTGAGACACGGCGAGCGAGCCAGCAAAAGCCAGCCAGAAAGAACAGCAAGCGAGTGAGAGGGGATGCGGTGAGGTGGCGGGCATCAACATAGGCGCAGGTGGTGTGGCGTGTGATGGGTCGTGCGCTGGTAGCGATGGGTGCTGGCCCTCGAGGGAGCCATCAGCATTCAGAGCACAAATACACACCTCTGCAGCATAGCGCAAGACACAATCCCTCCAAAATCCACCTTGACCGCGCCTAACACATCCACCTCCAGTAAAAGGTAGTCTTGCGCAGTGTTGTAGCCAGTCCTCAATGAATAGAACCTCCTGTTATAGAGGTGAGCGGGTGAGAGACTTGAGAGTTTAATTAGTTAGTGCTTACCTTCGAAAAGGCTAAATGTAGCTTGATTAATCAACAACGTGAATCCCGAAGACGACAGTTGTCGAAGTGGAAGTGGATAAGGGTTCAGAATGGTTCGGGAAGGCCGAACCAGAACTGGACCGTTTGGGAAGATCTAGAACCGAGAACCATTTTCCGGTCCGGTTCTGGCTGGCGCGAGAACCATGGACCGAACCGCGGAGAACCGGACCAAAAGTCCGGTTCGAACCATGGTTCTGGACCGGACCGCGGCAGCACTAGATGTGCCAATCACGTGACTGAACACATTCACAATGTTGACAAGTCCAATCTCTCACGTCTCGCTGTTCAAGGTGATTGTCACTTTGTTAACTTCAAAATGAATTCGACGCTATCACTCACCAAAGTTTCAACTCTCTATCCTGGCGTTCATTATAAAGACAACCATGCCTCACTCGAACCAATGTCCTTCATAGTCTGCTTTCCCGGGACATTTCCGAGACAGCTCTTGGAAAGGAGTGATATTGTATGAATCCGTCGTTTTCCACTTTTCTCGAGGCTTGCTCACATGTAAACGCCAGCCTGTTCGCATATCAGTATCTATTGATCAGGAATATGGAACATTCACTACACCGGTCATAGAGGTTGTATCGTCAGACTTGAGTCGCTGCAACAGCATACTACACTGTTCAGGAGACTTGGACAATGTAAGCGCATATGTCATCTATTTAAACATCAACCTATTACTTACATCACGCCAAAGTCGACCTCAGCTATGTCCTATGATGACGACAAACCCACTATATCATTTCTCCCACTCCCACTTTCGTTTGACTACATCAATCCAGCTGATTGGCAAACAGTTTACCGGCAAATTCAGGAATGGCTCACCACAGAAGTTGACACGGAATCGTCACTGTGGACGTGGGGATGTGACGCTTTCTGGCTGGCATTCGTCGCCGCCTATCCGTCCTTTCCAATGGGCAAGTGGTCAATGTGGGATCCTCATATTCCGCTGAAGGGATCATTCATTGAACACTGGTTAGAACGTTCGAATGATAGCAATACTGAGGAGGTTCTGGTCCAGGATGACATAGTGAGTCATATTTGGAACGAATTTTGTAAACACGCGGCGCTCTTCTATCCCCTTCCCCTCATTTCCTCGGCTTGATATTGTAGCGAAATTTTTGTTGTCCGTTTTGTTTTGAGCTAGCCATGATGCCTAATGTCGATACATATTAGTATGTTTAGGCCTATGATGCCATCAGTACATACTCTTTGTTGTAATACTTGTATGCAATGTCATAAGCTTTAACTGGAACAGTTTGAACGATCCCTGCATCGAAAACCGCTGGAAAGATATATTATTTGAAGCTATGGTGCACGATATCTAGATGCTGCGGTCAGAGCCAAAGATCGCGAGCATGTTGATGCGATATGTGCAAGATATCTCATCTCTAAACCTATCACACATAACTCACGCAAAGCTATTCTATATGTAACGCGTGTGATATTTGGATGAACTCTGTGTCATGTACGTGCAATATATGACTGACTTTTACCAGATATCAGAAATATTTCCCTACTGAATACCAGATTTACGACCCTTACGGCGTGAATTTATTATTTGTCTACAAAACTCTTATTACAGCCAGGGTTCTAGGAACAAGTCAGGTCCTCTAAATAGTTTTCTCACAATATCGGTCACGGATAAACCGGCAACTGGTGGTGTAGATGCAAAGAGACATCGGTTGAGGACTTAGATATCGTAGCTCATGACGGTCCATGACCATGGAGGACATGATTCTGCACGCATGCCCTTCGTGAGTAGGTCAATCGGGACGGACATTGAAAGAAGATTGTCTTCGATACACTGTACTGAAGTTTCCTTTGATGATATGCTAGACGGACAATACTGTCTAGAAAAACAACAATTACCCGATACGAGGTGTTAGGTTTCCTCCCGTACTAGCGCTCAGATCATGGGCCGAGGGTACGCAGAGACAAGTCCGGGACAGCCACCCAAATACCCAAATGCATGCAACCGATTCAGTCAAACTGCAGGAGCAATCCAACTCGCTCTACGCTCAAAAAGAAAAAGTTAGAACTGATACACAGCAAAGTTGAGAGAAAGAGGGCGGACTTCACACTGGGAACAAAGTATATTTTAACAGAAAATACGGACAAGCTGGGCTGCACAATGAACATGGAACACTAGATGCATAAGGAATTGAGTACACTGGAAGTCGAACACAACAGAAAGAAAAACGATACGATGTGGTGCTTGCCCGCAATGTGGCGCTGGATCGAGAGGACGGATAGGTTCTTCTATCCCGAACCGCCAGCACCGCTGCTCCCTTTACGAGTCCTGACAACCTTATTTCTCAACGCTCTCTCCTTCAGTTCTTTCTCTCGCTTTTCTAGATCATGCTGCTCAAGACCTCCCTAAAAGTCATCATCAACTTTGGCTGAGCACAAGTCATCAAGAAGGTAAGCATACGTCATCCCTGTCTGCATTATCCCACTTATTTCGCCTAGCCTGACCCTTGATTTTCAGCTCACCTCTGGCATTTTGCGGAAGGGGCTCGTCAGTGATTCTCAGTCTATCAACATCCATACGCGAGGACGAAGGACTACGCCTCGCCGGACGCTTCCCTTTCCCGCCATCACCGGCTTCATCGCGAGTAACCCGTCGTCTTACAGGCGAACGAGAGATGCTGACCCGCCTACGAGGACTCGGACTCCTGCGACGAGCGTATCTCGTCGCAGACCGTGACTGGCTCGAAGCGAGAGAGGGTGAACGCGATAGCTTACGACGCTGAAGCGGGGGACTTCTGCTATTTCTTTCTCGTCCGAATCTTCGTGGAGGCGAACGCGAGTAACTGGGAGACCGTCTCCGTCTCCTTGGTGGCGGAGGCGACAAAGATCGAGATTCAACCGATGGCGAACGTCTGCGGCGGCGAGGAGAAGGAGTCAAGGAGCGTCGGCGACGAAGGGGAGGTGAGCGCGTCCGGGATCTACGGGGCGGAGGGGAGCTTCGGCGGTACACAGGACTGCGAGATCTGGAACGCCTCGGAGAGCGCGAACGTCTGAGGGAAGGAGGCGGAGATCGGGAACTCCTTGCGTCAAATGGAGAGTTCGGAGATGGGGAGCGCCTGCGATGGGGCGGTGGACTACGAGATATCCTGCGACCAGGACGCTATATGATATAAGTCTTGAAGGCTCAAACAAACACTGAATGGACTTACGCCGCCACCACGTCCACCCCAACCGTTGTCTCTGCCTCGGCCACCACCTTCAAATCCGCCTCTGCCTCTGCCCCTACCCCTTCCGCGCCCGCGGCCTGTACGTTCACCTCTTTCCTGGTCTCTTATCTCGTCGAGACGGACCCTCCTGTCTCTCTCACCTATGGCACGCACGTCACCCTCGCGGGCTTTGCGCATTTCCTCTTTTTTCTCCTCCACAAACGTCTGTGGCACGCCTGCGGGATGCTCCTGAGCCTCCAGCAGTAGAGACCAGAGAGCAGTCATGAATGAGGGTGTCGATGCCGTGAGGAAACCTGTCAGGTTTATCTGCATTTTCTTTGGGTCTGGAGTCTAAGGGAAAATGCAATGGAGACGGAAAAGTCTTGGACATGTAAAAGGGCTTACGGTATGATTGGGGTCATCGAGGAGACCCATGGCATACTCGACGACCACTTCATCTTCGAAGCCAACGAGTTCTGTGACTTTTTTGGCGATCCATGGGCGTATGACGTTGAGATTTACTTTTTTGAGGTCCACCTGAGAAACGAGATAGGAATTAGATTTAAAGCACCAGACTTGGGTAGCGCACCTTTTTATCAAACTCTGATGGAAATTTCATAGACTTTAACAACTTCAACTCTTTGTCAGAGAAGCGACGGTCCTGGTCTGCAGAAGTGCCTTTGAAAAATCCTGTTATTCAAGGCGGTAAGCAGGATCTCGGTAAAAGCACTTGGTGAAAGGAAACTTACCTGCGTCGGCCATGACTTGACCAGGGCTTGGTTGATAATTAACTCAAGAGCGAGGAGCGAATATTTGAATGTTTACATACGAGTTTGGAAAAGACCTCCCACGTACCCGGACTCCGGAGCGCGCGCTTAGTCAGCTAGTAAGAAGACGGTACTTTAGTCTTTTATTAAGTCTTACTGCAGCTGCTGGCAACGGTCAAGCTGCTTGAAATTTCATATGATCGCCGCTGTTGTGACAGCTACTGATGTATACGATTTTAACCAACTAACCATCCGCCACTGTTCTAGGTAGTAGCCAAATCAGAGGTTAGATCTGTTGTTTGGGAATTTGCATTACCAGGCTGATTTGCGTTTTGCATTCAGAGTATCTAGTAGTACGTTGGACTAGGTCGATGGGCTCACAGCCCAGGGACTGAGCGTTCGATTTGGTAGAGTCCTGACCAGTTTATTTTCCTCTGCAGCCGAATTCTAGTGACACTAGAAATCAGACATATCAGCAATGCAATTTCAAAGCAGACCAACAGTCTAAAATTCTGTGATTCCCACTCTGTGCTATTTTGCAATATCGCACACTCACCATGATAATCTGCTCTCGGACTGCAGTATGAGACAAGTGTTCGAACTGCCAAAAATCCAATAGTAAGCTGTCTCAGGCTTGTGGACGTTCGGTTCGCTTTCGAAGGCCTCTGACACGCTGTGGTTGGACTGGTATGTCTTTGCGATATGAAACAAGTCACTCATCGGCAGGCTTGGGTATAAAGGAGGCTCAGGCGAGCACTTCCATCTTTAACTCCTCTTCTGTGTTGCACTCCATCCTCGCTCTCATTTTTTCGACGCCGTGCAATTACCTCGCAGTCTTACCTCAAGCCACTTCACGCCGTCATTATGATCGACTATACGAAGGCAATTCCTTTCGTCTTCGTTCTCGCACCTATCCAAGACGCAAGATACGCTACTGGTTTGGCCAGTCCAGCAGCATGTACCTTTTCGGCTCTCGCACAATCCTCTCCTGGTTCCGATACTCCCCACGCCCTCGACGATTCATCCAGCTTGGACGATACAACATCAACTATAAATCAAGATGATACCATGTCACACACCTTCTCATCTTCATTCTCGTGTCGTGTTGTCGAGCTTTTCATCATACTTATCGGTCAAATCGGTTTCCTCGTACATCAATTCCTACGAATCTCAGATGTTGTCGATGTTCTCTCCTCCTCGTTCGCGACTCTCGAGCAGACTACCGACCTCGAAATCACGAACCCCTGTGCCACGATGGAGCTTGTTAAGCAAGATGTCGATTCCGTCAAAGATCAGACTCGTTGCCATGAACAAGTAATAGCCCTCGAGGCTAGAGAATTCGCCACCCTCATCGCTAATCAGCAACGCCAAATTGACGACCTCGGCAAACAACTCCACGAAGAACGCGAATTCTCGAGAGATATTAAGAAAATTCTCAATAAGCTTACTTCTCGTGTCTCGCGGGACAACGAGGAACTTGACGCTTTCCACGGGCGTCTGCACGATGAACTCGCCTGTCAAATTAAGGACCAAATTAAAACGGCGCGAGATGTCATTGACCTTCGCAAGGAACTCGATGTCTTCCACGAACGCCTGCATGGCCAACTCATCTCTCAAGTCAGGGACCAAATCCGAACGGAGAACAATGTTGCCGACCTTCGCAAGGATATCCCGAAGACACTTTCTCTATACCACACGAGGATCTCAGCTCTGGAATCTGCATTATCTCAAGCTAAGCTGCCTCCTTCACTTCAAGACGTTTGCGACTCCAAACCTGCACAAAGCGCTACGTTTGTGGATGCTAGCGCCATTCCACAACGAATTCTTCCTGGCTCCCAACATCTTCCTACACCAACGAGTGCTGCGCCGAAACAAAGGTCAGGTATCTCAATCTCTGCTAGATCTCTTCGGTTCATTGATCGTGAATCAATTTACATTCGTATGTCCTCTCGCTCATCAGTTGCGAAGTCTTATTTAACTGACAGATGCTCCTGCAGAGCCATCCGCACCAGTCGGCTCAAAGGCAGCTGGAGCCCCCATCAAGTTCACCACCCCGAAGGCACTTATGACGGTTGATTCCGTCAGGCGTCCGGTTACTGTTAAGCCTTCGGTTTCTAGGGTCCTGCCGAGCTCAAAGATCCCCACTCCTGGCACGAGGGTGTCATCTGCGCCTAAAGGAGTCCTCTTGAAGAATCCCCCATCCAAAGGTAAGGAGTTCTTGCTGTTACAGTTGACGATTCTAAAGACAAGGCATACATAGACACATCTTGTGATAACCGTCCCCCCCGGGAGTCTGCGACTCTCAAGAAGAGTGGCAGTGCCACCTTGGGCAAGGTGCAGGAGCCTAGAGTTCCTTCTCTCAAGAAGAGCGGCAGTGCTGTCAAGCACAACGCAAAGGTGCCTAAACCTCTGAAGAAGAACAGCAATACTGCCAAGGGCAAGGCGCGGGAACTTAGTCAGTGCTCTTCTCCTTACTCCACTTCTTTCGTCCTCACCCACCCACTCTTTAGGTAACAACCAGGTGTTGCCCCCAACCTCGTCTCCAGTCACTCCCCCTACCAAATTATATGCCCCGGACTCGACGTCCCGGCCCGATGACGTCTCACATGGTATTGCTGGTCAACCCCGGACCCTGTCGTCATCGCCATCCTTGGAAGTTCTGGATGTTGCTGTGCAACTCCACTCGTTGGGCGATCTACGTGATCCGTTGCCTTCTCTAGATTCGATGTCCTGGCTCGACGCCGCATTGGATAGTGTTGCCAGTCAACCCCTGTCATCGTCATCATCTTTGGAAGCTCTGGATGCTGCTGTGCAGTGTCACTCGCTGGGCGATCTAAATGACCCGATGCCTTCCTTGGACTCGATGTCATGGCTTGATGAATGCCACGAAGTTTCAGGTCAACCTCTTCGCCCGTCGTCTTCCACGGAAGCTTGGGATGCGGCTGTGCCGCTTTTATCGCTGGACGAATTGTGCGGGATGATGCCCTCGTTGGACTCGATGTCCTTCCTCGACAATGAAGTTCTTCTTGTCCCTCCCTTCAAGAGTATATATTCTTAGCATTTTCTGGAGGTATTCTGATTTAAATGTTTCCCCGCAGATCTTGACCGGAATAAGGCGCGAAGCATCAATTGTCACCGAGAACCTCTCCACCCGTCATCTTCCATGAAAGCTTTGAATACTGCTGTGCAGCTTTCATCGCTGGATAACTTGTGCGAGACAATGCCTTCGTTGGACTCGATGTCCTTCCTTGACGACGATGCTCTGACGGTCCCTCCCTTCAAGTGTACGTGTTTTTGTACTTTTCCTTTGGATGTATCTTTGATTCGAACGTTCCATAGCTCTTCTCTGGAGCAAGCCTTGAAGCCTACGTGCTTGTTTGGCGTCTCTTCGTATTCTGCATACTTGAGCGCTGTATTCCCCACGCCGATATATCCCATCCATGGCTTCACCGTTAGTTGTATACCCCTCTCATTTACCTCCATTCCTGAGTTGCATCCTATTTTTTCTATCCTATATACCGTTTCTTCTCGTATCGTTCCATTTGCTTGCTCTCAGGCTCCGTCTTTCCATCTATCTCTCTCATTTTCCCTGTACATGATGTTGTGGCTGTTTCTTCCCTATATTTCTTTCTCTTTATAGTATCCTCTATCTCTACACATACGATTTCCTTTCTGCTTTTTACGTCATTTTTCTCGCTGTCTATGATATCGCAGTCCAATATAATACATTTCTGCCGGAAACTGTGACCGTGCATTACGAGACGCGTCGGCTTTTCAAAAGTTGTGTCAAGCTTCCAGGTTGGCACGCTTTTCCCGCGAACTTCATGATAACATTCAGATTCACGTACGCTGGTAACATTCTCGCGCCACTACGGGCGATTTTTGCATTCCCTGGGCTATGACTCGGTGTTACGGTCATAGCCAGAAGAATTTCCCCAGTTCTGCATGCTTGATGAGCCGAGTCCAGTAGCTTGTCACTACGTGGCGAGTCTGCGACACGACTGCTTCAAGTTAGCATCGTCGTGTATGATAAGGCTACTAGTATAGCCTACTATCGCCGATACCAATATCATATGTTCATCCGAGTCACTCCTACTAGTAGGCCTCATACGTCCACAGTTTCTCCATGAAGCTTAAGCATGGCACGACTGCCCAAGACCATTGTATGACTTATTCACGTCAGGGAGGGATAGAACATCCAGTGATTCTACGATGGATTCCGAGATCCCGCGGGCTTTAATGCGCAGAGCAGCTTCTTTCTCCCCCACTCATCACGGACCGAAGTAAGATGAACGTGCGAGTGTGGAGGACGTAGTGCAGTAGGTGGAGTTTTCTTGTTGGTCATAACATCTTCTGATGGTTGAAACCGAGAGTTAATCATCCCGCTATAAGGCGCAGCATGTTTTGATCCTGAATACCAGTTCCCTCCTAGGCTCCACGTGGAAGAACATGCCTCAATCGCCACGTTTAAATCCGATTGAGTCAAAGCAAGAGGGCGAGAACGCTGGATCGGAAGGTCGTGTTGGATTCAGAGGCCTTTTTGAAAATAAATTCATGTGAGCGGTTTAGAGATATGATGCATTGGATATGAATAATAGGATACATTTGTGGCGCAGACTTGGTATATCGTTGTTCTCGACTCTTGGAGGATTCGTGAGTTATTCGTTACAAGATAAACGACCGTTAGTAACGCCGTGCCTTCAACCTCGTCACGTATATTTAACAGCTCTTTGGCTACGATCAGGTGAGTTAGTAAACGTCTTCTTATAGTGGTAGGTAGATGTCTAACTGCGCATCAGGGAGTCGTGAGCAACGTGCTCGCCATTGAGTCTTTTGGAGCGAAGTTCCCAGCGATTTACACGAATGCAACGCTGAAGGTAAGGGCAATATTCCAATAGATATTCAATGTGCCTGTCTGAGTTACACAACTTTTAGGGATGGTTTGTCTCCACGCTTTTGCTCGGTGAGTCAATGTGGCATGCTGCAAACGTCCGTTAGCTGATTCGCATTTCAGCTGCCTGGTTCGGATCTATTGTGAACGGCCCCGTCTGTGACAAAGTGAGACATATCATTTGGCGAGATAGAACAAATTGTGATCGACTATGGCTCAGATCGGGAGAAAGGTAGATATAATATGCAATGTTGTGATCTTTCTTCTTGGTAGTTCACTCCAGGCAGGTGCTACATCTTCCGGTGAGTTCTATCCCGTTCACATTTATCAGCCTTGCTGAAGATTCTTTCTATAGCTTATCTGTTCGCCGGTCGCGCTGTGGCCGGCTTGGCAATCGGTTCTCTGACGCACGTCGTCCCGATGTATCTTGCTGAGATATCTAGTGCCAAAATTCGTGGATCTTTAGTTTCTCTGCAACAACTCTCTATCACATTTGGGGTGAGTGAAACATCCAGCACTGAGTGTATGAATTTGATACCACAAAACGTAGATTCTTGTTAGTTGTGTGTAGCAGTCAACTTTCATATATCTGTATGCGCTCACTTCTGGAAGATTGGCTTGCATATGGTACATCACATATCGGGGGAACTCGATGTGCCCCTCAAATATCATACACCGGGGCGCTTTTGAATGGCAGACCTACATTCGATCCTTACACTGATGTCCCCCCTGGCGGCTGCACTGGTCAAACTCAAGCGTCGTGGAGAATTCCACTTGCGTTCCAAATATTCCCTGCTTTGGTGCGTTGGCTATATCTTCTGCCTCCCACTCATACCTACGGGAGCGCAGTGTCTTGGCATTGGCATGCTCTTCATGCCATACTCGCCCCGTTGGCTCGTTGAGCAAGGTCGCGAGAAGGAGGCTCTGGAGGAGCTGTCGCGTCTTCGCCGGAAGCCCGCTGACAATCATTCGGTCCGCATTGAATTCCTGGAGATCATGGCTGAAGTTCGTTTTGCAAGAGAGGTCATGAAGGCGGCATATCCTAATGCGGGGCCAGTCAGGCAGGTAATCAATAAATACTTGGTATTGATTTCTAGCTGGCCAAAGTCCAAGCGTCTCATTGTTGGTTGCCTTACTATGATGTTCCAACAATTTATGGTGGGTTTTCAAATCAGTCTTTCTTATCATTTGGTGATTTGTGGTTTGCCAGGGTATAAACGTAAGTCGTGGCACATCCTTCTGGAACCAACGTCGCTTACTTTGCTAAAGGCTATCATTTATTACGCGCCTACGAGTAAGCTTCGCGAAAGATTAGAATGATTGACCTTGGAGTTGACTCTTATCCGCAGTTTTCGGCCAGCTGGGCCTCGACCCAAACACTACTTCCCTGTTTGCCACTGGTGTTTATGGAATTGTAAACGTGAGTCCACAGTATGGACAACGTCACATATACTCCTAAATTATTATTATTCAAAGATGCTCGCTACTTTACCTGCTATTGTTTTGCTTGATAGTGTGGGCAGGCGGCCTTTGTTGATGTCTGGTGCCGCTGGATGTTTTACTTGCCTGGCAATTGTGGGTTCTCTTGTTACTGTTTACGGCAAGGATTGGCCAGCACATGCAGCAGCGGCTCGCACAGCCATTGGTAAGTGCACTATGATATAATGACCTACAGAACATCTTAAACTATCTTACAGTCTTCGTGTTTATCTACGATGTCAACTTCTCTTACTCGTGGGCCCCGATTGGATGGGGTGAGTTGCTCGTTTCACCTTCTTCAAGAATTTAATGTATTCGCCAGTAATTCCCAGCGAGATTTTCCCGTTGCACCTCCGGTCCACTGGCATCTCCATTACTACATCCACCACGTGGTTAGCGAACTTGTGCGCGGTTTGATCACCCTGTCTTTTTTGTATTGATATGCTTTAGTGTCATTGGGCTCGTTACGCCAATAATGTTGGATGTGGGGGGGATGGCGTACTTTATCTTTGCTGGATTTTCTCTTGCCGCGTTACTCACAGTTTGTACGTCAAACCCCACAATCGTGTTAAATAATACGCTCAACTCGCTTTACAGTATTCTTCTTCCCAGAGACCAAGGGTCGGGTATGTTTTTTTACGCGCGCACGCCTTGTCGAACATAACTAACAATGTTGTACAGACCTTGGAAGAAACGGATGCCGAGTTTGGTGATAATGCTAATGATAGGGAGCGAGAACACATGGAGCGTATTTGTCGGGAGCTTGGACTGCCCGTCCGGGTGCTTTTGAATGCATAGTAATGAAATTTCGGACTGGCCTAGGTCATGTTTCCATTGAGTCGATTCATCTAACATACTCCTTTTGCCCCTTTCTACCTTCAACGTCATGGCCTCATCATCTTGAAGTATTTCAGTCAAATATCAGGGACTGGCGCGGCCAAGGCGCCGTTACATTCAGCAATATAATATTTTACTGATGCCCTTCCAAGTGCATAATTCAACTAGGTTGTCATAGGGAAGAGTGATGTATATATAGATACATATTTGCAATTGTCACTAATTCGTACGTCCCTCCTCACTAAGCTATGTACCTGAACATAGGCGCCTACAGAAGGTGTCAGCGTATATTTATTCAGAGGCAGATAGTGTTCACCTTATCCGCCAATTTGCTTGTATCCACATTAGCACCTGGTTCCGGACGCCCATACTCGCGATCGCGTTTCGCATTATCGTAGATGTATGACACCCACAGCACTAGCGCGCAAACAGTGGCAAACGCCTCGAGGCCGCAAGATATAGCGAAGCCGGAGCTGCACCAGCGACAATCAATTAACACATGCATACACAGGGCGAGGGGAGAAGGGTGGGACGTACATGTACCTCGGGCCGTCTGTCGAAGGGTATATGTGCGAGCCGAGGATACTCCCGCATTGTCCAATCGCCATGAACATCGGGATGCCCGTCGCTTTCTTGGTCTCAGAGCCGAGATTGTGTGCAACTGTTGAAAACGTGAGCTGTTGTGAGGAGAAGCGTGGTTAAGTGATAAAGAGCGTACACCATGCAATGATTAAGCCAATGGCAGTATATGTCCCGCTCGTGATGCAGAACACGGCGAAGTATCGCACGTGGACATTGTTGGGGACTGTAAGCAAAAGAAGGTAGCCTGAAATGACACATGAGGGATACTTTGAACATAAATCAAACTATGTGCCACGTACCAATAGCACCGACAGCACATGCACCTGCAACCGCTAAGCCACGGTTTTGCATGCGATCGGATGTGTAGGATGTCATACAGAGGACGATGGCAGCCACTGCATATGGCGGTACTGTGAGTAACTGAGCGAGCGCGTTGGCTGGAAAGAAAATATCAACAAAGAATACCTTCCATCAAACCACAAGGTAATACACACTGTACCCAAAAGTCGTGATGATCGTTGGCAAAAATGCCGAAATACTTGCCAGAGCGCAGTTCACGCCAAAGTAAATCATTCCACCGGTGTATATACGCCAATCTAGGAGAGCTATCATGATGTGTTCTGGGGTAGGACAATTCTATGAGCCCTCGCTACATAGTGTGAGGATGGGGAATTGGCTTGCCTTTGTTGATTACAGCACCAATATCCGCGCTCGTGCCCCTGTTCATGCGCTCCATTGCAATTTCTCTTTCTCTCGTATTCAAGTATCTAGTATTCTCCGGTCGGTCAGGGAGCGCGAAGAAAGTCAGAACACCAAGAAGAAGAGCCGGGATTCCCTGGGAACAACCGAATCGTTAGCCAATAAGTCTACAAAGGACAAAGCACATCAAAAAACGGAATAACCCTGACAGGTGTTTTACAGCATTCTAAAAAAGCGCTAGATAGTACCACTCGCATGCCTGCCTCTCAGGGAGAAAGTGCAATGCAAGAGAGGCTAGCACAGCAGACATTGCGCGGTATGGTCCAGGCAAACGGTATTAGTATACCGTCAAAGACCAGGGAGATTTGAAACATCAGCCGAAAATGACAAGATCCCAGAATGTAAAACACCATGACACCCGGCCAGATAAATGCGAGCGGATCAACATCTTAAAATACCACTCGTCCCTTCACCAAACATGGAACACTGGTACTAACCTCAATAAGAAACAGGACTTTCCAGTCCCACTCTCCTCCTACGCCAGCGATATACGGTCCGTACCCCACTTGCTGCACACCGAACGCGATAAGCCCACCGAAAGCACCTGCAACCGCCGCAAAACCGAACCAGTATGCCATGCGCAGGCCCATTTCGGTGCGAGTGTAGAAGAACGCTTGTATGGTTGTGTTAAGAGTCCTGTTTCTCCACGGGTTTATTGAGTGATGCATGACTTACAAAAATAAAGTGGAATTGCAGGGCCAAAGCCAGCTTCAAATATGCCAAGACAAACGCGGGCGGCTATGAGACTTCCAAAGTTGAATGTCGTTGCCTGCAGAAGAAATAGCATGCATCATGAGCAATAGTTCGGGCTCAAAGTTGGCAATAAAGAAGACAGAGGCTGCAAAATGGTTGAATGTGAAAGAAGTCAGGTGGGTATTCAAACAGGGTAGTCGGAAAGGTCTATTTGATCTGCAGATAAAATAAATCAAACATCAAGTCATCAGCACACGTCACTGAATTTACGGCAGAAATTGGCCGCTCTGACGCGCTGGTAAATTACTAGTGTTGATAGATACGTCACAGGAGGAATTGTTCATGAACAAGACGTTCCTAGTAGCTAAGGAATGATCTTAAGAAGAGACAGAATGTATACATAAAGATGAGCAGCAGGATGACTTGCCATTAACGTGGAACATATACCCCATCCAATAGCCGCGCACGCTATCCAATAGGATGGTGGAAACAACTTTGAGGTTATCGTTGCAGGCACTTGAAAAATAATCTGGGAAGTAATAAATCAAAACTAGGGCGATAAAATATAACTGTATTACTCACATACGAAAAGAAAAACGCCGAGTTGACCCAATCATACAGTGTACCAGTAGGGTCGCCACCAAGGTTCTCCTCAGTCAGTCCCTGTAGGCGTGCATTTCCAAGATTCGTGCGATCAAGATCTGATTCACCGTCAGTACAACATGTCAGACGGCTCTCATGATGAAATTTCACCCACAAGCAAAGAGATAGAGCAGGCATGTTATGGGCAGAATCCTACGGTCAAGCTTGCGCACGAGCCTCTTCTCTTCATCAGACGTGGCGATGGGATTATTGCCGCCAGCGTCACTTGTGGATCTGGTTTCCCTCTCATCGGAAGATGGGTGTTTTTCTTCGTCAATCATAGTGGACCGAGGTAGACCAAGGTGACTCGTGCACGTGAGCGAAGTACGTAGCGAGCAGCTTCGCGATATTAAAGATGCTGGCCGAGCGCTCGCAGAAGCGAGAGAACAAGAGGTACATTAGATCCGAAGACTTTGAACGTTTATAATGCACGAGTCAGGTGGACTGCCATGTCATCGGCTGCTAGCTGTTTCTGTACCACGGCAATTCAAACAAAATGGAGGCGCTACAATGATGCCCGGGCCAGCTGATGAGAAGAAATCTCACGCGAAATCGGAATAAGTTTACATAACTTGGTCCGCTGGGCTTTGGCCCCCGCATCAAAGAACTATTCCTGGGTACTATCCCCACAGGGTAATCTTTGTTGGTGAGGCATGGGCGCACGCCGCACGGGCATGATAGCCACCTGCCCCACAGCTTCGGGGTGCTCCTGCGGATATACTGTCATGCGTGTTTGAAGGTGACGTACATCGAACTGTCCAGGTGAAATTGCAAACTCGAGTAGGTGACGATCCGAAGAAGTAGAAGCCTTACTTATGCCAATGAGTACGTATCGCGTGGAGTTACGACACTCATCCAAGGCGATATAGTGTAGTGGTTATCACTCGGGATTCTGACAAGCGCTGATTTCCCGAAACCCAGGTTCGAGCCCTGGTATCGCCTTCACTTTTTACCTTTTTCATTCACCTCATTCATTGAACATGCATGTCTCTACCGATGATCAGTTTGAGGAGGGCCTTCCACGCACGATAGCGACCCAACGACTCCCACGACATTTTTCATTAAAGTCTTTATATTATCACCCTCTGCGATAGACAATCTTCGGGATGAGAAGATGCATATGCTTCAAGTACGTCACGGTCATATGCAAGGTTAATACTACATATAGCGTCGTACTTCTATTATGCCGCTTTGCCATCGACAACATGCAGCATGACCTAAACGTTTGAACTCCCATCTGAGATTCTGAGTCTTACCCGAATCTCATCCACAGTCCCCTCACGTGTCATTGTCCATCACGCCGCCACGCCGCCCCGGGCCATTCTCGATCCTTGTCGTTTTGCTTCATCGCACTATCATGCCCGGTACCTTAGAAGGCCGGTATATCAAACTCGAACGTGACTCGCTTCATACCACCTCCGTTTCTGTTTCGTGATCCTCACTCTGTCTACAGTCATCAGCGGGAGAAATCTTAAAGTTCCCTCCCAGCGCATTCCCGCAGGCATCTACATGTCCATCAATCTCGACTCGAGCAGGCGCTGGAATTCAGCCATAGGAGTCTTATTATCCGACGAATCTACAGTGTGGGCCGATACTGTGACCTTGTACAAGTTCATCGAGACTTTCAGACACAAGTCGAGGACTGATCTTTGGTCTCTAGATCATTAGATACGTCACTTGCATTATCGGTGGAGATCAGGGCCTCCTTCGAGCTCGATCGGATGCTGGGCAATGGAGAAGTCGTTGGAAAACTTGAAACATCATGGGATGCGCTGCTCGATCATAGAATTGAGCCTTTCAGTAAGTGACCTTCTCACTCATGCACACATACTCATATCTCGTAGATATTTCCTTCCCGACCGTTCTTAGTGTTCACCCTTCCCTCACGCTGAAGGCCGCTGTTCTACTTGATAGTGACATTCAGGACAGCGCACTGCTTGACGTGAGTGCTATCAACCTCGACGGTTTTGGCTTTTTGCTGACAGGACACCTCTTGCAGTCCGTCGGTGAATGTGAGATTGCTCGGAACACAGATGCGGGCCATGAACGATTTGCCACATACGTGACAAGCAACACGGTCTCTCACCTGGACGATGCCGTACAACATTTTCAGTCGGTCCTGGACCAGTGTCCGGTCGGCCATCTTGACCGTGCAGCAGCTTTCACTAACCTCGCGTGGGCCCGCCTTCAAGGCTACATTCAAAACGACTCTCAAGACAATATTGACTCTATCACTTCTTTATTTCGCGAAGCCCTTGCATTGCGTCCGCAGGGCCACCCCGATCATCCATTATCCATCTATCACATCCTTCAAGCTTTGATTTGGTGCTACAGCGAGGAGGGCACCACCGTTTATATCCAGGAATCTGCGCAACTGTCCTGCAAGTTATTGCCCCTCTGTCCAGAGGGCACTTTCTTCCATAGGATTGCGGCAGGGGCAAATGGCATCGATTATGTGATTCGTGCATGCAACAATCTTCCAACCGACGCATCTGATGAAGGCATTCACTTTCGACAAGTTGTGCGACCTCTGTACTCTGAGCAGCGAACACCGTCCAAAAGCCCTCTAAGAGCTTTCACAGGCAGTGGAAGGACGCTTCCAAGAACGCGGTAGCATTGATGACCTAGACGAGTGTATACAGCTTCGTCGTGGAGCTGTTTCTCTGTGTCCCCAGGGACATCCTGGACACTATACCTACCTGAATAACTTGGCTTTATCACTCGGTTACCGCTTCAATCACCAAGGCAACTCTCATGACCTCAATGAAGCCATCTCTTTGTACGAAGAAGGGCTGCGCCTGTGCCCCGCCATATCGTGATTTCTCATTGGACAACCTAGGACTTGCCCTCCGCACCCGTTTCACTCAACACAGTGATGCTAACGACATCATGAGAGCCATCAGCCTACATCGCGAGGCACTGACGTTGTGCCCGCCTGGGAATCCATATCGTGAGACCATGCTCCACAACCTTGCTCTCGCTCTCCACGACAGATATGCCAAATTAGATGACAGCGAGGATTTCGACGAGGCCATCGACCTGTACCGGGAATCACTTCAGTTACAGCAGCATGGCCATCCCAGTCGCCATACAACTCTTGACAATTTGAGCTCGGCGCTCCGCTATCGTTTCACGCAAACTCAGAGGAATGGAGATGTCGAGGAGGCCATCCGACTGTGCCAGGAGTCGTTGGAGACCTTGTCTTCACTGCACCCGGATAGATATTTCAGCTACATGGTGTTGCAGGAAGCCTATCTGTCTCGTTACCGAGTGCAACACGACCTTGCCGATTTGTCGCTCGCCGTGGAGAACTTCAGACTTGCATCACGTCACCCCACTCAAGGATTTCCGCACCGCATCAAAGAGGCTATAGACTGGGCTCACCAAGCTGAGGTTTATCGACACGACTCTGCTCTCGAAGCATACCGAATCTGCTTGGAGCTTTTCGACAACCACGTGATGACACGATCAACGATCATCTCACGGCGTGAGGCTGCAACCGCTGTTCGCGATGCACGGTCACTGCCAGTAGATGCAGCCTCGTGTTCCATACGTCGCGAGGATCTGCAACAAGCAGTCGAACTCCTGGAGCAGGGTCGTGGCCAGCAGTGGTCGCTGGCCTCTCGACTCCGGACTCCGCTGGAAGACCTCGAGGTCACAAATTCCAACCTTGCTCACAAGTTCTCGGAACTCAGCAAGCTTCTTTCTGATGCTCAGGGTTCTGCCGGCAGCGCTGACCGAGTTGCTGCTGATCTAGCAGCAATTCAGTACAGGAGACTTCAGGAGCAGTGGGGAGCTGCAGTAGCTGAAATTCGCAATATCCCAGGTTTCTCGCGATTCCTGCTCCCCCCATCGTATACAGAATTGCAAGCGGCAGCACGTCATGGACCAGTCATCATTCTCGTTGCGAGTCGATATTCGTACAGCGCCATCATTGTCCCGACCTCGGGAGAACCACACCATGTTCTCTTCCCGCGCATCACTCTCGCACATCTGGAGAGCTCAAGAGCGACTTTGCCAGGGAGATACGACTTGCATCTTTTATGCGACCAGAGGAGACGAGGAAGGAATTGCAAGTCCTCCTGAGGACAGTATGGGACGAGATCATGCTTCCCATCGTCATCGTCCTCCAGCGGGATCTCAGAGTGACGAGCCGGTCTCGAATCTGGCTGTGTCCAACTGCAACCTTCACTTCTATTCCTCTCCACGCAGCTCACCCCTTTCGAACGAAGGCGGACGGACGTGGGAGGGAACTATGCCTGGAGGACGTTTATATCTGTTCATATACGCCGACACTTTCAGCTCAGATCAGATCTAGACAGATGATGAAGACACATGTAACTACTCCGTCCTTTGTTGCAATCGGACAAAGTGTACCGGATGCGGGGCAAGACGGGGCGCTCTTGGCTATCGACAGCGAGCTCGAGCTCGTCCGCAAGCTCGTCCCTACGACGGCCAAAACTACCACTCTCTCTGGCGATGACGCCACGCGAGCAGGTGCACTCGACGCTTTGCGACGCAACACCTGGGTGCACCTCGCTTGTCATGGGAAACAGGACCGCGAGCAGCCTTACCATTCACGTTTCGCCATGAGAGACGAACCTCTGACGCTGCTCGATATCATGGAGAACGACACTCCGCAAGCTGAGTTCGCATTCTTGTCGGCGTGTCATACCGCGGTTGGCGACGAGGAGACACCTGACGAAGTGATTCACCTCGCAGCTGGACTACAGTTTTCTGGATTCAAGAGCGTCATTGGCACGCTGTGGGTGGTGGACGACGCTGTCGCAAAACACGTTGTCGAAGCTTTCTATGAGAATATGTTCAAGGATGGTGTGATAGACTGCACGAAGGCGGCCTGGGCACTGAACCGTGCTACGTGCTCGGTGAAGACGAAAGTGCCACTCGAGCAGAGGATGGTTTTCATACATATTGGCGTGTAGTTCCATGTCGCATTGCTTTGATCTGGTACGGTTTTACCAGTTGTTTATATGCATTCTCTTTCGTCTACGCTGCACTTGCTAAAGTTGTAGGAATTACCCTGTGTCACGCTCCCGTACTCCAGCGATCTTATTTTCGCTTTCGCAGTCATGTTTGATTGTTTACATTCTTCAGCAAAGTCATCCGTTGCCCGACGATAACGTGTGTATTGGAATGTCCGTGACATCGTTTTCTGTTGACTCTGCTCGAGGACAGGTTGACCTTCATCATTCAGGTCCAGAAGCTTTCTGGAACCTGGTTACCTCCCAACTAAGCACCCCGTGATGCCGCTGACATGAATGCAGTACACTGCGGATCTGTTTCAACTATTCTACATACTCACACAGGCCCCCAAGTTCCGTCGAGTGGTTACTATCAGTGACTATGTGTGTAGGCACTGGTCATCCAAACAAATTGCATATATTGAACATTGGGTGACGCGGCGACAAAAAGTGTGATAATTACAAGATCCGTGCGATGAGCTACTGGTTGTGGAGAGATACACAAAAAAATCGAATGAGTACTGTCCATAGCAAAGCAGTACGACTACCAGTTAAAAGGCACCAAAGAACATATTTTGTACATATTTCTATCCCTAATTCAATTTGACGCTCGGCACAGTATTACATATGGATCCTCTGGTTTATGGACAGCGATGGTGTGTTTAGGTGATTGGGGCGGGACAGAAGGATATGATCTCTTCGTAGAGAAGTTCTTTGAGCTGTTCGCGGCTGATATCGTCCTTGTGCACTGCCGAATACGGTAAATATGCATGCGCGCTTATCAAACATGAGTACTTACGATCGAATTCAAAGAACTCCGGGTCGAGCGGTGGTGCAACTGGTTCGTCATCGGGATCGTGCTGAATCACTAGTAAGCTTGTGCGTTCGAGGAGTAAGAAGTACACATACATATGCTTCGAGGTATGGGTGAGCCAAAGCCTCTTCGACTGTTATGCGTTTCTTAGGATCGAATGTCTGAGAGAAAGGTTTGAGCTACCACTCAAATAGATGAGAAGATCGTGACTTACGAGAGTCTTCGTCAAGAAGTCTACAGCCGAAGGATTGGCGTTGGGGAAGATTTGCGCAAATGGCCGGCGTTTGCGGAAAGGAAGAGCTCGAATATAATCGCGCGATCTGCGTGTGGTAATGGCGTAAAACTCGTCCAGCGTTGGTGTGCCGAGAACATCCAAGATTAAGGTGAGCTGATGGTGGTAGTCTCTGCCGGGGAACAAAGGCTTTCCGGAGAGCATCTCAGCCAAGATGCATCCAACAGACCAGACGTCGATAGCTTTAGTATATTGCTTGAACGTCAGCATGATCTCAGGGGCTCGGTACCACCGTGTAGCGACATATTCGGTCATAAACCCGGTTTCGGTGCCTGATGGTTCGGCGGTCTTTACTGATCGTGCCAGCCCAAAGTCGCAGACCTTGAGATCACAGTTTGCATTAAGGAGGAGATTTGAAGGTTTGAGATCACGGTGGATGACATCAGCAGAATGTAGGGCCTTGAGTGCGCGCAGGGTCTGATAAATGAAATATTGAGCGTGGTCATCTGAGAGGTCTTGGGTTCGGATAACACGGTGCATGTCTGTTTCCATCAGCTCCTGGATCACTGTGTGAAAGTTTGAATGACATGTGGGTTGAATAACGTATTTTTACGCACGATAAACTTCTTTGAAAGCGTCTAGAGAAGGAGGCTTGATAATGTCCAAAATTGAAATGATCTTTAAAGTTATGACTGAGCACGTAAATATAACGAATGGCTAGCAGACACGCTCACATTCTCGCTTACGCCAGCTTCACTGAGGAATTTGAGGAAGTTTTAGTTCTCGGAGTGTCCGCAAGCAGAACATGGAATGATCAAAGGGTGCGATCTTCTTGATGGCAACCTTGCGGCCACTGGGCCGGTGAACAGCTGAACAGACGATACCATATGCGCCCTCGCCTACGACATCGAGAACCTGATACTGAGTACCTATTGAGAGAAAGACATTGTTAAATTGAATGAATGAGTAGCAAGGATGAAGACATACCGACGTTGAATCTAACTTTCCTCGGTGCGGGTGGAGCTTGGGACTGTAGCACCGTGTTTTGATTTTGAGGGTGCTGCAGCTGACAGCTGGAGCCTGCTGGGGGTTTTCAGGCATCTAGAGATAAATGGGAGAAGGAGGGAACGTGGAGGACAAGAAAGACAAGAAAACTATAAGCAAGGCACAAAGTAGTATAATCTTGCGTGCGTTGTGTACGTAGAAGCGGCGTCCAAGTTTAGCAGTGAGTATATATAATAGGAAATAATAACAATTGATTCGTTGCAGAATGAAATAACAATAAGTCCCTGGAAAAGTATGTTCCACTGCATCCCATGATTGCCGCCAAGGCAACCAAGTTCCGACTTCGTTGTCAACTACTTACGACACCCTTTGCTATAGCGATAGCAGCAATGCAGCCTGAGGCGACTTATTCCTAGCAGTCTGGTTCTGATACCAGTGGCTACGACGCCATCGACTACAAATCACTTTGGGCTCTTCCTGGCTTTTTCGCCAAAATGAATTAGAGCTTCTCAGACCTCTTCGTGATGTGTGCTGCGGATGCGAGCACACGCAATGTCTTGATAACCATGGGTGCCGCTGCGGACGCGCCATACCCTGATGGTTTCAAGGTCACCTAGGTTTCGAGGCGATAAAATCGAATGGACCAGGTTCGTGACTATTCTGAGATTCTACTACATGCTCTGTCTGAGATGTCAAGGCTGCCACTGGCTTGATTGGTCTCGAGCCTATTGTCATTCTGTCTAGTTCTTCGCCCTTCTTATAGTGCTCCCTGCCGAGATTATCCTTTTAATTGACTGCCAAATCGCTTAAGAACAAGATTCCATGGGGAGGTTCTAATACCGCACGCGCACAATATGTCTTCCTTCGAACGTATACGATCTTCCAAGTCGCGTCAGTAGTAGAAGACTCCTTCACACTTGCCAATCTTAACCAATAGGCCGGCTCCCAGCATTCACTCTCACTTTCATCTCTTTTTAGATGATTCTCATCCCGTTCAGCACAATTTTCTCAAAGTCTCAAAAACATCCGCTGAAAGACTGAGAAGCAGGACGGCTGTGGAATTGCAGAACATGGCCGAAGTACTCCGACCACAGATGTGTGCAATCAAGTTGTATATTATCACTGATTTAGAGTGAAATCCGCAGCTGAATCCTCCATCGATGCTCCCGCTGACGTTCAATTATCTGAGTCTGCATAGTGTGCATGCTGTGGATGGCAGGACACGCTATGTTTTGATGGTTTAAGGTCACTTAGGTTTTGGAATGATTGGCATCATGACAATAGACTGGTGGACCATGAATATGAATATTCTGGTAAAGGACAGGATATCAGGTGTGAAGGTACTTGGGAATATGTCCTACATCTCCTACAATAGCGTCATGATGAGATGTATAAATTCGACAACAAGACCAGACAACAACGCATATATCTGCACATGTGGTATATATACAAATATATCCTACCATGAAATGAATGAGCAGTGGCAGCGAGCACACCATCCTACTTACTAAGCTCTACCGCACGCCCCCAACGCGCGCCCAAAACATGTCTTCTTTCAAACGTACAATTTCTTTCCACGTACGATCCTCCCATGTCGCGTCACCGGCGTAACCTTCCTCGTCGGTAGTAGAAGAGCGTTTTGTACTACTTGTGTCAATAGATTTACCGTGTGTGCTGGAATCTTGGGAGGCGCGCCTGGTTTGGCTAGCTTCGGAGGATGGGTCGACAACAGTCGCTTGTACGGTGTGGGGAGAAACATCCACGGATGCTCGCTTTTCGGGGAACGGATCTGTGTTTATATTCGCATCAGGTAAGGGGTTGGGGGTTTCGGCGATGTTATGCTTGGTCGTCGAGGGCTCTACAGCGTCCTCACCCACCACAACTTTCCGTTCAGGGTGAGGAGATGGTTTGTGTTCTTCCTTCTCAGTAACAGGCGTATCAACTTTCGATGGGGCCTCATCTTTACTAACTTCAGTCGAAGGCATCGGAATCCCTTCCTTTACTTCGGTCTGTGAAGCAGTGGGGGGCACGGGAACTGCCCTTCGTGCAGGAGCGCGCTTGGGGACGGGTGGAGCACCATTTGGTACAGGTGAAGCAGCCCTGGAAGACGTAAATGGAGAGCCCGTGCGTGGGGGAGCTGGTGAGCCGGCTCTCGATCGACTCGGAGCAATAGGTGTACTGACGCGATGAGGTATCGGCGAAGAGATACGTGAAGGTAAGGGAGCTGGAGAGGCCACACGAGAACGTGGGCGCGGAGGTGGCGATGTAGCACGGAACGCAGGTGACGTGGGTGTCTCTGGCAGGGGAATGGTGTGTGGGGAGGGAGGGCGTTCTGGCTGTGAAGCCGGCGCTTCCGGCTGTGTTATCTTTTGTGGACAAGACAGATCTACGGAAAACGGGCGAGAGGAGGACATCTCATCAACGGGGGTGGTGAACGATTCTTGAGATGTCCCAGCTTCGGAACCGGCTTTTTTGTCAGTGTCGTTTGAAACGGCAGGGCGAGTGTCGATCGAATGGCCACGCCCTTCGCTCCTTTTGGTGAGGGGAGGGGGTGCTTGGACCGGTAGATGGGGAACGGAAGGGTGGGTAGGTGGCGGTGGCGGAAGTTTCCTCGCAATTTTCTTAATTGTTTCCTCGACCTTCTCCTTTTCCTTCTCCTTTTCCTTGTCTTTTTCCTTCTCCTTCTCCTTATCTTTCTCCTTGTCCTTGTTTTCAGTCCAGCCAGTAGCCCTCTCCCCAAATACACTCGCCATTTCCCAAAGCCGCCTGCGCCGAGGAGGCACAGGCGGCTTCTCACCCGCAGGGAGCGTAAATGCACTCGCAGCCGGCGAAGAGTTCCTTTTATTCGACTCTTGGGCATTCTCTATTCCATTGCCATTCGAAATCACGGGCTTCTGATTGAGTATAACAGGCTCCTCCTCCCATATACGCTCCACGATGCATGTGCGGACAAAAGCCCATAGGGAACACGTACTCCGCAGGCGCAGGAGACAGTAATTAGATGTGCATAACGGATAGGGCTGTTGCGTTTGAGTAGAGCTTGTGCGGGTTGCCCCCGTGGGGTGTGCTGGTGGCTTGGATACGGAAAGCGTTGAGGTGGAAGACGAAGAAGTGTGCAGTGGTAGAGAGGCAGGCGCGATAGCTGGGGCAGGGGTGGCAGGTGCCTGACGGAATACGTACACTTGCTCAGGCTGCTCGATATCTGCGTCATGTCCCACATGACTTAATGAGGAGTTGAAAAGTGAATTCTTGAACCAAAGGTTGCCGTTCGTGAGGCGGATATTGTTGCGGCTGCGCGTGAGGGACGCGAGTGGGTGGCTTGGGGGTGTTTCGTGCGATTGGGCGCGCACTATTGCCGTCCCGCAAAGAGCGCATGAAATGGAAACGGGTGTGTTCGTTTGGGAGTGGGGATACAGCTCCTGCACAAGTGATGAGAATGGCACCGGCTCGACAATGAGCATCCCTGTGTGGATCGCTGTTAGAACGTTCCGTCGGGAGAGCCAGTTTAATGAAGGGGCCAGGTCAAGCCGAACGGTCGGTTCTCTAGATCACGATAAACAGATGGATCGGAGAACAAGACGCGTGAGCCACTTACGAATCCTCCGTGAGCAACCGTGCGAGGAAGGGTAGACCCAGAAGTGTGGAGATAACAGGTGAAGTGACCTGTGAAACCCTTAGTCCCCGAAGGTGCGTGACAAACGCAATGAACTCTGCATAGGGGACATGCACGGTCACCAAACGCATTTTCCGTACATCTCCTGGATATTGCTGAGCCAGATGCGCATCCCGCTCGACCCACTTGCCCTTTCCCATACTAAGTCGCGCCTCCTCCGCCTGACGCTCAGCACCCTCTTTGTCAGCCTCCAGAGTCTGCATTTGAGTCTGCATCACTTTGACAGCTTCCTCTGCTCCCTTTAGCGCCTCCTCCGCCTCGCGCACCTTGCGCTCGCTCTTAGCCCGCGCCAATCGTGCTTCTGCGACCATCGTGTTCGCCTGATGAAACAGCGATGCACTAAGATCATCGAGTTCTTTCTCAATATCACTCCTGGCTGTCTCTGCTTGCCCACGCTGCGCAGCTTCTTCCGTTGCACGTTCCATAAGCCTGTTCAGCTCAGCAGTGACATGCTCCTTCTCGACGAGCAGCCCTGTATCGAGCGCAGCGAGATGGTGGGTACGCTCAAGCTCGAGCGATGAGACAGTGATACTCGCATTTCGCAGAGAGCTCTCACAATCGTGTAGCTGATCTTCGAGGTCGGAGACGCGGTCGTAGGACTTGACGAGCTTGCCGTTGAGCTGGGTGACTTGCGAGAAGAGATCGGTGACTTGGGAACGGAGGGATGCGATTATTTGAGCTTGGGCATCTGAGGTATCTTGGTCTTTCTGGTGTTCTTGGTTGAAGAGCTCAGGGTTGATGACTGTTTCGTGCGTTGGCTCCGTCGATGCCATTGACGACGTGCTCAAGACGTGGAGATCGTCAAACTTGACCAAACAAGAATTTTGAAATGACAGTACTAGTGTTGCATAGGGACGAATGCATGATGCATGCCACAATCAAGTACTACATAGTTAAAAACATGCTTTCATATACGTATGTAGAAGCACGAAGTAGCTAAGACGTCACATCGGCGATCAACACAATGAGACCCCCGAATTCATTAACCGAATCACTACCAAAACACGACAGCAAGCAAAACATACGAGTACGAGGGTGATTGTCGCATTATATCACGTCCACCACATGGACAAAAGCAAATGAAATAAGCTTAGGACAACAAGTATACCACGCAGATAAGCACCCCTCACCCCTCCGAACCACCATGCACATGCATTCTTACTGTTTGGGTGGCGGAGGGCCGCCACGACCCCGAGGTCCGCCACGGCCCCGGAATGAACCCCTGGACTCGCCATTAGGCGCACCACCCCTTGGCCGACTGATAGGCCGGTCGCCACGCTCCTTTCTGGTCTCAACGATGATCCGGACGTTGCCCTCAGGGCTATCGAAGCGCAATCCGCCCTCGCCACCAGCGTTGGTGGGAAGCGAGGCGATGATCGCTTTTTTAGCAGCCTCAAGGCTGGTGAACTCGAGGAATGCACAAGCTTTGCTGCGCACGATCTCGACGTCCTTGACAGCGCCAAAGCGGGCCAGAAGGGTTATCAGTTGCTGTTGCGACACGACATCAGTGACACCCTAATAAAAAAAGTAGTGAGTGTGTGTATGGATAGTTATATAAGTAAGGCATACCTTGACAAAGCACTGCGGAGTGGTGAGTGCGTTGGCAGAAGCGATAGGCGAGTGAGGGTGCGAGTGCGAGTGCTCTCTCCGTGGAGCAGGAGAAGGAGCACTACTAGCCGGCGGTGCTGGGGATGCTGCAGAAGCCGGGACCTCAGACATCCCTTTCGACTCAGTGGCTACCTGTGCGCCCCAGCGCTTAGAGTCGGCGGCAGCGAGGCTGGCCCACGTTTTTGGTGCTGCAGGTTTTGGTGCAGGAGCTGGTTGCTGAGGAGCGGGTGCCTGTTCAGGAGCTGGTGGTGGAGCAACCAGAGCAGGAGGTGTGGGCACTGGTGGCGGCGCAACAAGCGGGGGAGGTGCAGGCGCTTGTGGCGGCGCAATCAGAGCAGGAGGTTCAGGCTCTGGCTCAGCTTCAGGAATGGATGGCTCAGGAGTAGGCTCCCGTTTGATCTCAGGCTCGTGATGGAAACCGTTGACCTCAACCGGAGCAAGTTCAGGCTCAGGTGGTGGGGAGATGGGCTCAGGAACCATAGTAGTTGGCTCTTCAACTTCGGGTTCGAGGGCAGGAACAGTAGCAGTAGCAGGAGACGGGATAATTGGCTCGCGAATTGATTCTGGTTCAGGTTCAGAAGGTGCAGTAGATGAAGCTTCAGGTTCGCTGGCATCATCTTCGACGGTCTCCTCCTTGAGGAAGCGGAAGATGTCGTTGAGGACAAAATAACCGTTTGGTTGCTCTGCAAGGAAGAAGGTCTGCACGAACTTGCGCCAAGGGTCGCCATGATTTGACATTTCACCGATGACCTGAATGATGATACCACCATTGGCACTAGACTGGGCGTCGACTGAGTGGATGTAGACCTTGCAATCGTCGAAACCAAGAGAGGTAATCTTGTTATGGATTTCCTACGCTAGTTGTAAGACCTTATAAACGATGGATAGATAAAAATAGTGCATACCTGCTGGCCAAAACATGCCTTGACATCCTCGCCCTCCGTACCATGAATGAAGGTTGAGGTTTTTGTGTAGAAGCAATGCAAACGATTGGGCTGCTTGTTAACAAAAGTGTAATACTGAGGAACAAATTGCCATCCGACTTCAGAAGGAACGACGTTCTGATGAATCTGAGAAGGAGATGAAGTAGCGGAAGAGCTGGTCATTATGAGGGAATGATGCTGAGACTTGTTTTTTTTTTAACCCAAGGACTGAAATTGAACGACTTTACTGACCTGAAGGGAATCAAAAGTGCGTGATAATGGAGTCTAAAGATTACAACGAACAGACGCAAGAAGCCGCGTTTATACTGACGGAGGATGCGAGAGACGGCGTAGACAGAAAAATCACAACAGACTCAATTTTACACCGGTCTTTGCCGAATGCTGACAAATCACGTGGCGTCCCGTTCCCGCGCATTGTCAAGTTTCAGATCACACAACTGCTTCATCGCGGCATAGGACCTTAGGTTAAAGACCATGATGCATGGGACTTTATAAGCCCCGCTTTAAGCCCTCTGATCTAGGCAGGTTATTGACTTCTCATTCATATCTACGGTTAACGTTCACCAGTCATCTGATGGCTTGTCTAGTTTCACCAAGCAAACTAACTTATGCAAACCTGATGTAGTAGTCAAGGGATCTTGCTACAGACGCACCTGAGGCTTCATAATTAATGTCGATTCGGACGTTGTTTATTAGCTCGACGTGTTATCAGAAAGCCATAACGACATAGCCTTATTGCCGGTGACGAACTTTCACTTGGCTGGCTCGTGGCCAAGACTATTCATAAGGGGCAACGGCTCCAGTTTTCTCCACTTCGACATATAAGTAGATAGCGCAGCAGCCATTCAGGTTGGTTGAAGTAATTCCTCATCTTCGCTTAAACGCCGATGCCAGCCAGTATTCTTCTACTGCTCTTTATCCTTGTGTTCTGTTTGTCAAATAATGGTGTGCACGCCTTTGGGGCAGGCAACATTCCTTCGTAAAGCAGCACAGTCCATTCCTTATGTTCTTCTTTCACTCATGATTTGGCAGATATGCATTTGTCGAAGGCAAGGCATTTAGGCATGGTGATATCGTAGGCGGTCTTCAACCTAATCGTTAGGCTGCCGTACTGATCGCCACCCTTTTTAGGAGGATGCGCTTGCAGACCTCGTGAAGAAGGGGGTTGGTGGATTCGCACTTTCCAGTCTCATTGGAAAGGGTCCCAAGTTTGGTGGCCTCGACATTAAGCGCGTATATTTTGGGTGTGTATTTGCAGATGCCAACACGTATTTCTTCGTAATCTAATCCATCAACCGGCATGTAGCAATTGGTTGAGAGATTACAGCCAGGTAAACTAACAACTCTTCTAATGCTTGAAAGTTTGGCAACTCAATGACATTTGACAGGCTGTTGACATCAGTACACTGAAGAAAACGAATCTGCAAGTACGTCATGATAATTATCCTCTCAATTTTCAAAATATCAATCTACGAATTTCCAGACGATCCTCAATTTAGTTATGGTGCTCGGGTTTATGGCATGTGCGGTCGTCGCCCTTAAAACTTGCTCTTATTCTGTTTCAGGCCAATGGATATGCCACTGGGGAATTTGAAGTTACACCAGAGAGACTGGGTGCATATTTACCAGTAAGTGCCCCGCGACATATAAACCACATGGCGTATCAATGCGCACTACACAGACAGAACATATTGATAACCCGAAAGGTTATGGAGAGGGAGAAGATGCACGGCAGTATGACCCCAGACTGCGCGGCCCTGTCCACGTACTTATTGTTTTTGGTTACCTATCACTTACCCTACTCACCTGCTTTATTCTTTCCAGCCTGATGAACTCGCCATCGATCCGCAGACAGGAATGAAAAACTATATCGCAAATGGTTCGTCTCCTCACCTCGATTTTATTTTGACCTCAAGTGACTCATGGGTGTGACAGAAAATGGCCATTGGGATACATCTAAGTCCCTCGTGCGTAGAGTACTCCAGCAGTGCATTTACCTCGGCAGGAAATATAAGAGTTCTGGAGATAACGCGGATCAATACGAGGCGTTTAGGCTCCTCGGACAAGCTGTAAGTTGAACATTCAGTTAAAAATCTCTACCTGTGGCGCATAGATGCACCAAATATGTGCGATGACCGTGCGACATACGTTGTAGCATATAGTCCTGCCCGTCGTCGGTGTCTACTGTTTTGCTATGAACAACTCGCACTGGTTTTATCGCAACACCAATTGATCTATTTGAATAGCTCCACACCCTTGAAGACTTCCCTGCGCACTCTAATTTCTGCGAGCTTGCTCTTGTTTCCATGGGACACGGTGATGTATTTGTGCATACTGGTGATGCCGTACGAGTGCGAGCACATAACGGAAAGATGGTCGCGCCAATCGTTACTGGTGGGTCTTTTCATGCTATGGTATCGTCAGGAATAACCACGCTCACTATGATTTCTGTTCAGGAACGTTTGGATCGAGTGATTTTATTCACAGCCTGCTTGGAGGTATGCACCTATAACCTCTCGTCCTAGTGGCGATTATTGAAACTTACTTTCGTCCAGAGGCTACCGATCACATCGTAAGATTATTGATCTGGGTATACATCAAAAATTCTCATCTTCATTCATTCTCTAGAGTGAAGCTTCTGTCACGGATCTCAATAAAGAGTTTGATCGTGCACGATCTAAATCTAATTCGTCGAGTGCCATACTCCGCGATGCTTTCCTTAAACTTCCTGGTGGAAGTGGTGATAAGATGCGCGGCGATATGGAAGGCATCGAGCGCATGCGCACTGGGATGGAACGTGGGGATAGGCGGCCTGAGGACATGAGCCCGCAAGAGTTGCATAGCGTGCTGTGGAAGATCTTGAGCTTCAGAGATTCTGGTATGCCCTTGATTCGATGCTCCTCACTGATGTCTCACTTTTTCGAAGTCATGAAAGGCATATCGGGGACGTTGGGTGAATTTGATTGTTTACGATAAGCACCCCTGGTACTGATGGATGCTACAGAGAAGATCCCTGGACTGAACTCGATTGTAGAGAAGATTCAAGATTCAATTTCTGGTCGGTTCATAATCGACTCGTTGATGGCTAGGTCATACTGATGACTTCCCAATAGTGTTCGTTTTCACTACTTTGGAGGTAGGGAATTTGCTGAAAATATGTCCTCCCCGCTGTGGTTGCTGATTACTCGGGACATAGCCTTTTTTGAAACCAATCCTGGAGACTGCGACGGCTGGACTATCATCGGCCTCGTCGGAGGTTATCAACAAGCATGATCAATATGAGGTGAGTACTTCCCACTAAGGAAGTATTTGGAGTGTTTGGTTCGCGAGTGCTTCCGTGTCCCTCCGCGTTTTGATCTTGAGTTGCCTCGCTTTCAATCTCTCCAGAACCCGATGTTCGGTTTTTGTCGCATCACTCTTGGCCATCATGCTCGCTTATCGATCTCTCCCTACTTCCTGATTTTGATGTAAACATCAACTGACGTCTCTTCCTCCGACAGGTGTTCAACAACCCGTACGCTGTGAGTGTGAATGACTTTGACACGTGCGGCAATAATTCCTTATCGCCCCTTTACCCCACAGAGCGACCCCACGCATTCTTTCCTTAGCAAAGATCACTTCGTACGTAAACTCCATTTCTCCTCGAGGAGCTGCGCAATATCATTTGACTCATCAAATGTAATGCTTCCAGAACTTGATCCTAAATGAACCTGCCGGTAATATCGCAAAAATCATTCTTGTGAGTTACTCTCTGACACATGAAACCGCTGCGCTCAGCACTGTCATAGAAACATACTGTGAATTTGGTTACGAAGGCCTGGGACGACAGTTCACTCGATGTGAACCAGGTCACAGATCAGGCTTTGCAGTGCCTGTATGTCTTTTTCCTTTCATATTCTCGGCACAGATTGATCATTATCCGCAGCTTCCATCCCGACTTTCACCAGTCTTCTTTCGTAGTCCAGCATGAAATGCTGGAATACATGAGATCGTGGGTGCAGAGTCTCGGGCGTAATCAGCACGCCATACTTGCACGTCTCACGAAGGAATCGGTGCGAGCGCAGAACAGCACTCGGTTAGCCGCCGATGGGAGTGCTCCCGTTTCTCATGCACAGAATGCGCAGATGCAGCAGGGCATCCAGGGGTTTGCGCAGGGGATTCCCGGTGCTACACAGATGCAGGGTCTGATGAACATGGTGGGTGGGTCTGCGGGGACGGGACGAGAGGGCGGTCAGTCCAGTGGGCAGCCCGGTTCCTACTACTCGAGGCCAGAGACAACCGTCTCGTATGGGACTGTACAAACTACCAGCTCGAGCTACGCGCCTCCTTCAGCCCCACTGCCACCGTCAGCGGCATATGCCCCTGGTTCGCATGCGCAGCACTCGCAGAGTGGGCCATTGTTCCATTCGCCTCCTGCCCAGAGCCAGTACGCACCGTCCTACGTGCAGCCGTCCCCTTCCATGTCATCATCATTCACCAGCGCGAGCAGCACGTACACACAGAACGTGCAGGGTGTGCCTGGTGGGTATCCGAGCGCCAGACCTTTCGGCGGATATCCACCTCCGTCGTCGAATGCTCCATTTATAGGCGGGTACCCGAGCGCTAGACCTACAAGCGGCTATCCGCCGCCAAACATTCCATCACCAACTTTTCCACCTGCAGGTGATTACTCTACATCACACCGTCCGCAAGTAAGCGGCCCACCTCCAGGTGAATTCCTTGACGAACATCGTGGCACCCACGGTCACGAGTTCCCCGAAGCGCCGGTGTATGGTAGCCGTTATGAGCAACATGCGTTCGATAACGATGATCGGGACCAACAACAGGCTTCCTTCCCGTCGCCAGGAGGCTACTCCCCGCGAAATGATCCGTATGATAATAGGAGATGGTGAAACACTCGAAGAGGCGAGCAAATGAATACATGTTTAATGATGTATGTTTTTTGTGTCATGTAGCACAGGAATTTGGTATCATGTCTGAAGCAGCGAACATTTTGAGTACATTGAATAAGTTAACGATATGTAAATGTCGCAGTGGCTTCTGAGAAAACATGATGAAAGAGGGTGGAGTAGAGATAAATGAGATGAATACAATACTAGACTGTTACGGTGATTGCTAGAGTACAATGCATGCGATTATGGTGATGCGGCTATAATAACGAGAATGACTGCAGGAGAAAGGATTGCAAAGACGATTACCATACGAGTTCCGGCGTTGCACTTTCATAGTGACACTTCTTCGCGGTCCACGATTGTCATGAGTCCTGATACATTCTGGACTCGGTCTAAGGCAACTGGTTTTTGAGGATCTGGGAGGGACGATCGCGAAGCCGAGGCGTTGTAGCGGACCTAGACAAATAAGATTTGGGATCTCAGAGACTCAAAGCAGACAAAGGACGAACCTGAACTTTGTAAGATCCGTGTCGTCTGTCCCTTGGTACACGTATTGAACACTCCCAGCTGATTCAAAGCATAGTAAGCAACAGAAGCGCAGCAGAACTCCACGAGCTCCACGAGCTCCACACACCTTTCGTTTACCAATACATTCGCACCTATGTTCTCTGCTCTCTCCAACAAGCTTGCTCTCGACCCCCTCAACAACTTTGGAACATCCACTGCATCCCTACAAAAGAACAGGTCGCTCTGCACCAGTGGGACCTTGCGTTTTGACGTAACACCCTCTCCTCGCAGTAAGGGGTGAGTCTGTGGCTCGCCCGAAGTAGAGTCGATGAATTCAGTCTTTGACGTGTTCCGTCGTAGTTTTACGAGTGCATTTGCGACGGTAGAAATGGTCAATGGAGCTCTGATGGGGGATGGTGGAGACGATAGCATGTCGGGTATAATATTTGGTATTATCAGCCAGTCGATAAATCAACAATAATATCACAAAGTTTATGTGCATATAAGTATACTACCGGCTCTGCCCAGCGTCGGAGTTTACATGTGACTCTATTTCCAGGCTATTTTCGCTTCACTTTTAGTTCTAAACTAGTCCCTACCGTGCAGATTTATTGTGTTTCACCCGGAACCGAACAAAGACGTGAAACTCTTCCTAACCATCGGGTGCTTCGAGACTCTTGCAACAACTAAGTACAGTGTCAAGGAATAGTCATGACTGGGGAGTTTTTTTTTCAATCGGCATCTTCCTCGGGCGGCAATCACTCCTCGTGTCTAGACTGCGACAAGCGTGGCATTTGCATCGTGGCATCAAACAAAAATATGACAGCCTAAGACCCATAGTCTCAAAATCACATCATTTAAACCTTGTAGGTTAACGTTCATCTCTGAACAGCCACCATGATCGAGCTCAGCCAAAAATGAAATCTAACATGTCTTTCGACTTTCGATTTATGGAAATGATGGGACGTAGTTTCTCATGCATAAGCGATGTCGCAGCTGCACTGCTAGGCTAGAAACTACTAGGAAGCTACCAAGTACCACTCAAGATGAGGAAAATACGCACTGTGTATAGTGCATCCTCGTGCATCAAAGCATGTCTTACGAACCGAAGCCGTTCCATTCCTCTGGTTCTTCATGTACTTTTTTGTGCATTTGCTTTCGCCTAGTGGCGGCAACTAAGTCGTCACCGGCCTCCGATTTCCTGAGGCCCAACATGGTTTCATGAACTATACAACGCGATAAGAATAAGGGGAAAGACTTTCATATCTAGGACTTACCATCTCCCGATATAATGTCGTCAGCGATCGGTCGGCTTCCAGAGGTGATGTACCTCGTCGAGACACCTCGGCTAAGCAGTGGCTGGGCCATGAGTTCTTTTAATTTGGCTTTCAAAACTGCCATCTTTGCGTCATTGTTCTTTTTTCTGGCCTTTGACGGGTTACTTTCATCTGCGGATTCGCTAGGTCAACCTGTCAGTATCATCATTTTTATTGCGGCAGGGTTATCGTTCACCTCAAAATATCAGAATCAAGCTCTATCTCCATCGCTTCCGCCGTTTCCTTCAGCCAGTTCCGTTCATGATGCTGCTTCTTTATTTTGTGTTGCTGAGAATCGATTTGTCGAGCGAGCAAGAGACGGTTCTTGAGCTTATCAACAAGGGTGAGTTCCACTGATATCTCAGGGATATCTGTATCTTCTAACCGTGCGTGCGTTGAATGTACAACGAGTGAGCAAAAACTGCTGTCACTTACTACGACCCAGGCTTGCTAACAGTGCCCTTAACACTCGACGCTCGTCGGGGGCACACATCAACAAACTAAAACCTTTTTGCATCGCACGAGCGGTACGCCCATTGCGGTGAACGAACACATCAGCAGAACGTGGTATCTGATAGTGAACAACATGGTCAACGGCAGGTATGTCAAGACCCCTGGCAGCAATATCCGTTGCCAGAAGGACAGCATTTGCGGTCGCCTTGAACCTGTGGCGTTTGTGTCAGCATGGGTGTACTCAATATCTACAGTGGACATGAAAAGTACCGATCAAGATTTTTGAGGCGCTGGCATTGTTCCATTTGAGAATGGAGAGGAAAGGCCTTGAGGTTCAGGAGTTCCATCAGTGGAGTGAGACGCCTTATGCCATCAATAGATGATAAGAACACGAGGGAACGGCCAGGGTACCGTAACAGGAAGTAGTACAGGTATGCATCCTGTGGGGTATGAGACGCCATCCGTGCACGTATGGTTGCGTACGCACCTTATCTGTGGAAAGGCACTCAATTTTGCTCTCCTTAAGTGTGGAGACAACGCCTCCCTCGGGGCTAATGTCGATTACAGCCGGATCCGGGTCGCGAAAGTCAAGGCGCAGAAGAAGGTCATCTGTTGGTCGCTTTGTTTAGCAACATTGAAGAGCGTTCGGAAATGAATATACCGAGTGTGCTAGCCAGTTTTGACAACTTTTTATAGCCCTTCTGGCGATAACTTCGTTTCAAGTTTTTCTGGAGATCCTTACTGAGAGTAGCGGAGAAGACAAAGGTTTGCAGTGTATCCACAGCCTCAGTGTTCTCTGCACCTTTATGATCCAGAGAATCGCCCGGCGCTTCAGGGGGTTCAATTTCATCTTCTCTGGGTGTGGAATATGTCAACGTCTCAATAACTACAAGAATATCAACGCATACTGTGATTTTCGAATTGTGAGCCGCAAGATGTTGTCCATTTCAGCAAAATGTCCTGCTTCGACCATGCGATCGGCTTCATCCAGCACTAAGAATCTCAGCTGGCTGATTTGTCTTGCTAGTTCCTCATCCTGGGTGAGAACATGTTTAACCGGACAAGGTAAAATTGGAACGGAATTTACAAACCTCCTCTAGAATGTCCCAAAGTCGACCTGGCGTTGCTACCAACACGTCAACACCCCGGTCGAGTATACGATGCTGTTTTTGCGCAGACATTCCACCTACTATGGCAGCGATGCTGATGAGTGGCGGAGCAATATTTTTGTGCTGCTTTTCCTTAGCCTCAGTGTTTCTGAGATCGACGTCTTGTTCGGCCTTCGTGTCAATGACTCGTGCGAACACATTGAGGTGATCAGAGACTTGTAGGGCAAGTTCACGGGTGGGAGCTAAGATAAGCGCCTGGAGTCTCCGCTTAGTTCTTTGCAGCCGGGGATGTGATAAGATACGGTGAAGAATGGGAAGCCCATATGCAAGTGTCTTTCCGGATCCCTGGAAAGTGTACCATGAGGGAAGCGAGGAAAATAATAAAAATTAAACGAACGGTTTCTGCTACTCCAACGACGTCCCGCCCGTCCAAGGCTATCGGCAGTGACTTAGCTTGTATTGGAGTGGGTGTAGCAAACCCTCGTGAATGAAGCACCTGCAAAAGATGGGAATGCATACAAAAAGCATGCCAATTGGGCAGCAAAGATTTGGCTGAAGGGAACTAAAGGGTCAGAAAATCAGGAAGGTCACTGGTATGATAGATAACGCACAGTCAAACGACACTGAAGGATTTAGTAATTCTGAGCTGGCAGAAGATGGCACGTCCTCCTCAGGCCCAGAGGATACAGGAGCCTTTGTTGTATTTTTCGATGGTTCAAGGACCTAGAATAGCGCTGATTAATGTCCATCTGATGCCATGCGTCCTGCCGCTCACATTGAACTTCATAACTCTCCCTCCTTCTGTATCCTCGTACACCACTTCAACATTTTCCACTTCTTCTAGTTCCAATATTCCATCGTCACCATCAAGGCCCGTCTCACTAGGTCGACGTACGGCTTTCCAAGGTAGTCCATCCAAAGACGTGGGCTGCATTTTGAGTCGTTTTCTGGATACTGAAGGGCCTGCATTGGCCTTCCGTTTTACAAAGGAAGGCTTTGATTTGTGGTCTCCAGACATCTGACTGCTTGCACGTATTACGCGTACGCGGCGTATGTTCTGCTCAAAAATTGCTTGAAAACATCGGATATTGGCAAACTATCGTACTGGTGGGATGGTTGTTTGGCAAAAGCTTTCGAAACAAACAACCGCTTTCAGTCAGCCAGTAACCTAATCAGTTTATTATTGTGGGTCCATTACCTCTTTACTACTAAAAGCTTTCGAAACACACTTCTGAGGTGCACGGTATGTATGACGACTATTATATTTTGCACATATCTCAAACGCATCTGCAGTTAGTCTAATCTACAAACGAGTCGACAGGACAGTCAGAGCTGATTATTGTTACTCGCTTCCTCGTATTGGGTGTGTGGCGTATGTGCAGCGTTTTCGTTTTCGTTTTCGTTGCCGAAGCCAACCGTTTACCTCTGATATAGCACATCTATTGGTGGGATGGTCACGCTGCGTGATTTGCCTGTAGAACTGTGGCGTCCGATACTAGCGTCGCTTGTCCGATCACCTGGGGTTCTCTCGTCCGACCGACAAGATCCATTCTCGGAAGTTCGCGACATCGTCATATTCTTGAACCGAGACGTGAAGACTCACTCGGCACTCCTTTTGGTCTGCAAAGTGTGGCATAACGTTGTCACCGAGCTTACCCATGAGCACCTCCACTTGACGTCGGCAGAGCAAGTAGCTATCATTGCCAATCGCTTCGAAGAAAGTCGCAGGAATTCAATAAAGCACCCTCTGGGGACATGCACTCGACGGGTCGACTTTCAACTGTCGAACCCGTCTGATCAGTGCTTGAACGCACTTGTGCGAATCCTGCGGTGTACGCCAAACATCGAAATTCTAGTCAATAGCAACTACTACATGGCGTTGAATCCAACTTTCCATATCACACCGCCTCAGGCTCAGACGCGAACAGAAATTATAAATGCCCTCATTGAAACATGCTCAAGCTCACTACGACGAATAGAGTGGACGTCCAACGAATATCCCTCTTGGAGTGACCTGATGCACGTGCTTCAAACGGCCACTGGCATAACAAGCCTGACGCTCGCGAATATATATGGCAACCTCACGGAAAGACCATCGCATTACCTTACTCTACCCAACTTGAAAACGCTTGTTCTCGGAGATAGTCCTTCGTTCTCGCACGCGTCGCTGGGCAACGTTCCCCTGAATGCCTTCCTTACGATGCTCGCCAAGTCCCCGGAGCAACTTCCATCCCTGCAAAGGCTGGAGGGGTTTTCCCCCTTCAGTCCAGACTTCCTGCGAACCCACGGGCCAAAAGTGCGCATTGTCCGCACCGTCGCATTCACGCCGTTGTTAAATGAAATTATCGCAACTTGTCCGAACTTGGACACTTTTGTCACTATCTTTCCTCATCACATTTTGGATCTACTATCGCATCCTTCGCTGAAGCGGATTGGCATTTTCCCCATCAGTGAGGATCCTGTTGGCGTCCCTCAAGCTATTTTTAGCGCGTATATCATGAAGCCGCTCGAGGATCTCTTGTGCCAGATTGACGAGTCCCAACTTCCGAAACTGACCCAGGTCCGGATTCGCAATATTGGAACATTAGCGAATATTACGGAACACCCCTTGTTTCTTCAGAGGTGGTGGAAGCGTTGGGATTCAAGGGGTGTACGTTTCGACGATAAGGATGGACGACCGTTCAATCTGGTGTCTTCAGGTAAAGAATTACACATCCAGTCATCGCGTCACGCTCAAAATACCTACAGAGAGCGATGGTGTACACGATAACGTGCGTCGGCCATGATGTGTATCCTGATCTGGAGCCTCGAAGTACTTTTGAACCTACTCTCCCGCATTGCTTGGTATATATCTTTCATTCACATGATACCACAATCTTGATATCTTGGTTTGGTATGCTTATAACTTGATGATCTTCATATAGAACATACAATTTTAGGGTATAAATAATATGTTGGTTTACTCTTGTTCGACACCAGGATACAGAGGAATGAGCGTGTGGCTAGTTGGCAGTAGTTGCGAAAAGCGTCCATCAATGTCCAAGAATATAAAGGAATGTGAGACGATAGGTGAGTCCAGAAACTCGAGTGCCAGACTACTACGAGTGTTTCCCGTCATGAAAAGAATGTGGGGGGCTGACCAGCTGCGACAGTGGATACTTTGAATGTCCAAAGAAAGAATCTAAAGGAATGTGAAGAGACAGCTCCCGAGTGTCCAATCTATGAATGTTTTCGGTCTTCCTTCAAGAGAGTGTGGGGAGCTGACCGGCTGCGACAGTGGATACTCAGTGATAAGTTAGTAATTAGCTATATGCGACGCTTACCAGCAGCGCTGAAACATTGCTTCGAGGATCATTTGCCTCGAGGAAAGAGATTGACGATTCTGGTCCGTTTAACTTCACGACCAGAGTTCTGAAAGTACCGGGTAGTGTCAAACGACCAATGCAAACTTCCGACAATCCAGTTTGCAAGACCGCCGACGTAGATTGCAACGTCCTTGTCGATCTTGGAACCCCAGGAAGGAATAAGCCCGCGATTTTCGTTGAAGCGGTCGATAGACTGCTTGCAGAGCTCGCCGACGAAGTCGACGGCACACTGGATGTCGAGGCACTCCTGGTGCATGACAACAGATATCATGTTGTGGGTATCTCCTTTCGATTGTTCTACGTTATAGGAGAAGATGTCCTAAACTGGGAGTTAGCCCGAGAAAAGCAATAGACTGAAGTGCGTGCATTTGACCAAGTGACTAAGTCGTTGGCGGCCTCGCCGAGACTCTGGATGATCGGATGCTCCATGACTTCGTCGGGTATATCAAGATTGTTAGCGTATTCGATAAGTGCCCAACAGGGCTTGCATCCACTGGTATCACGACGCAAGGAGATATAGGACTCGAGATCAGGAACGACGCCCTTAGCACGGTCGATGGCTTGCACGTGCACAGCTTGGAAGAAGAAATCCATTGTCTCTATAAAACGTCTGCTCGTTCCACGGGATGCGGTGGGAAGCATACGCTTGTAGAAGCTGCAATACACACAATTAGCCTGTTCGTGATTACGAAACAAATACATACTCCTTGGTCGTTCTATTCAATCGGGCAGGCGAGTAGTAGTCGTACGGGTGGTGAAGCGAGTTCAGCACGACATTTGCAATGTTTTTGGTTCCAGCTTTGTCCATGTCATCTGAGAGGTTGTCGAGGTGGAAGAGATAGTTCATGAAATCGCAGCAGACGCGAAGCTGAGGGAATCCTGCGTCTGGGTAGCACATAGATGTGAGCTGACCGGCCTTGAGCCCGTGAATCGCCTTGCGTGACTTCTGGGTGAGGTTGTCTCCACGGAAAAGCCACCGCTTTGATTCAGCAGTAGCCTGTTTGTGATGACGATTCATGCGTAGCTTGAAATCGCAGTGGGAGACGAGGTCAGGGAGGATGAACTTGGTGGGGAGAGCTGTGGTAATCGACATTTTGGGGAAATGAAGGAGAGGGTTCTAGGACAAACAAAAGCTAAAAGACCGACGAGAACGTTCTATAAGGGCAAGACCAAGAGGAACGGGAGTGAGTTGAGGTCCGTGGTAGGCTGTGCGTTTTGATGCTGAGCAGCGACCCAGTTGGATTTGAAACCAGACGCGCGGATTGAATGAAATAAGCTTTTGAATATGAGTTTTAAAATACCAGACTTGTCCAAGCACAGAACGAGCATCGTAGTGTTGTGTCCCGTACATAATCGCGGCGGTCACAGTTACATAGGGGGGAGAGAAATGACGCTGAGCGTGCCGTGCGACTGTGAATCGAGAACGTTGACAGAACTTCACGTCAGGTGCATTGCAACACTGATATCGGTGCCCTAGAGGGCTTAAAGTGCCCAAGTTGGCAGCCTCCGCTCCCAGTCAGATGACGCACTGTTGGAAACCCCAAGTTTATAATGAGCAAGAGGCTATGCCCGGTTCAGTAGAAGGAAATAAGGTAGACGAATGTCATATAGTCCATTATGGAACACAACTTATCTAGTTTATCATTTGCATTTCTCGTTTCAATGAATGCGGAGAGAAAACGTGGTGACTCACCAACTTGAACTTGAAGTCGCTCGAAGACTACGAAACCCGCGCCCGACATAGGACGTGGCATATACTCAATCCGCACGCGGTGGAGCAGGAAACAACTCGGATGTACTGGGATAGCTGTCAGATGGTACCGGGTATGAGTTGCACCGCGACTACTTCTTCGAAGATGATCTATATTGAGAGAGTAAAGGCAATGCACACGTACGGTCCGTGCAGACGAATGTCACCCGATTATGGATACACACAAGTCAACCGCAGACCAACAAGTCTTACAAAGTACATACCAGCATCGCTGCTCCCGATGAATGAAGAAACCGGGCCGTGACAAAAGTACATACTAGTAACAATAGCTGGAAGCATAATTTCAAACGCTGGGAAGAGTGGTTTTCGCCAGTCGATAGCACTCGCCGTCAGCTGGTTACGTTAATCAACTTTTGCAGATGACTCGAAGTAAACTGCAGTTCCTGGAACTTCGAAGAGCAGAATTTGCGAGCGGACACTGGGTGGCGCACACAGCAAAGTACCTTCCTTTTTTGGAGATTCATTACGTTCTATTGCGACTTGGACGAGTCTTGGACAGAGACACTCAAAGACATATATATTCATCATGACCACCCGGATTTCCTTCCAACCGCCAAACGTGGGCAGCTCACGATCTTTAAACGCGCCCCCAAGAAGGTTTTTTGGCATGCGGAATGACACTGAACAGGATGACGACCCTTCTGGGCCAGAGCGCAGCACAAGACCAGCGTCAGGCGGTCAGATCCATCGAAAGCAGAGTTTCGTCTCGCGTTGGAGGACAAACACAGACGTGGAGAGTGCTATCAAGTCTCCAATGCTTGAAAGACCTCCAATACCCAACGCTCTTCGCGGTAGCGAATCCGACTCGACTCCGTTACCTGCATTATCTATGATTGTGCTGTCCATCGTAAGTATCTGCATGCACCTTCGTGATATAACTGATCAAGCGCCAAGACAATGCTTGGAGAGTTTCTCTCTGCCAACGTCGCCATGCCGTTTCTCCTTTTCATGGTTAAAGGTGCGTCATAATTTATGACATCGTTGCCGTCCCACTAACGAACTCGAATTCAGGATTTGGAGAGTTCAACGACGAAGCACAGATCGCCTTTTGGACTGGCATACTTGGTATTCTTGCTAACCATCTGTAGTATTGGACTGTCTTTAACGCTACCCTAGTGTCCGCGTTCTTCTTAACGCAATTCCTGACCTCACTATTATGGGTATGTCCATTTCCTTCTTCCGCACTAACGTTTGATTCTAATTCGGAGTAATAGGCAACCGCAGCAGATAGACATGGTCGTAGATTGGTGCTGACATTGTCCTTGCTTGGAAGTGCAGTGACGGTGTTGCTTTTTGGGACTTGCACATCGCTGCGGCAAGCGATCGCGGTGAGACTGTTACAGGGAATCTTTGCTGGCGCTGTCGGAGTGGCACGCGGATGCGTTGCTACGGTGACGGACACGACGAACGAGGGGAGGGCATATGCTATCATGGGGCGAGTACCAATCATCTGGTTGAGATCCTGGTGCTGATATCATGACCAGCTTTTGTTGGGGACTTGGTGGTGTGGCGGGCGCCATCATTGGAGGATCATGTGAGTGTCTTCTGCAAAGGCATACTAGTCTCACTGACGATCGATTAGTTGAGAAGCCTGCAGACAAGTGGCCAAGTGTGTTTGGCCAAGTACCGCTACTGGTGGAGTACCCGTACCTACTCCCGTGCGCAGTGGCTGCCAGCATCACATTGACAGGTGCGTTTTCAGAAAGATAATATCACGCAATCACTCACTTATTCAACAGGGTCGTTACTGTCCCTGTTTTTGGGCCGTGACGGTGGACCGCGGGATGGCGCAATTCGGCTACCACTAGAAAAACCTGAAGATCGACACCCGACCATTCAAGAGGAGGAAGATATCGCCACACCCAGCACCCTTGACGATACCCCACAGTCTGGGTTGATGCGCTCTCTTACACGGAAAGTGTCCGGTCAACTGTCTGGTTATTTCGGATCTCGAGATTCAGTCACCGCACAAGAAACGCCGTCGCTGCCAGTGCCATTGACGACATCTATATCGCTGCCAATGGACAGCCCGCGCAACTTCTCGAGGATCATCCGTGCCAATGGATCCGCGTATGGTTATGGGGGAGGTAATAGGGCCACAAGCACGGTCAGTACGACCACGCTTGGTGTGAGGCGTGTGAGCACTGCCAGCACTATAAGAAGGAGGCACGGAAGTGCATTCGAGGGACCGACGTCATTCACGGATCCCGGCGACCTCAACTTTGCTCAGAGACTATTGATGGCAAACGAGAACGCGGTCACAAATATTGCTGATCTTTGGGTGGCAGCGGCAATGAATGTGGATAATGACGAAACGTTTGAACCTGAACAAGATTTAGATATGAACGTCGACTCGGAGTATTTTGGACATGAAGACATTCCAGGTTCTATTACATCATCTCCTATACATCGAGGGCGTTCTATTGGCCGCAACCCCGCAAGCGCGATTGGCAGTCCCGGCCAACGCTCATCTGTGATGACATTTGGGCAATCTTCACGCATGCACTCAGCAATGATGGGATCTCCCGCACCGGATGGGGTACCGTTCGCATTGCGTTCCCCGTCAATATTCTCGCACCCTGGAGTGCGTACGCCATCCATCGTCCTCGATGCCCAGGCCCGTGCCCAGGAGTCCGCTGGTGACAATCCACTACTACCAATCCTGGAACACATGCAATCTGTCACAGAGTCAGAGATTCCTCAAGAGAAGCCTCCATCCTTGACCTCGCAGCTGCCTCTGGTTGTCATATTCCAGTACGGTTTGCTAGCACTTCACAGCACGACACACGATCAGGTGTTCTTATCATATCTTGTTACGTACGTAGTCTGAGTAATGCTGCGCGCATCTTACTGACCTCTAATCAGCGACTACGAGTCGGGAGGTCTGAACCTCAATCCTGGGCATTTCTCCCAGCTTAGTATGGGTTGAGTTACTGGGTATAAGGGATTTACTGATAGTGTCCTGCAGTTGCTCTCATGTGCCTCGCACAGATTGTATATCAGTTTTATCTCTATCCGTATGGCTACTTTATCTTTTGATTATCGCTCTGCTGACTTGTTACTCTCAGAAACATTGGGCAAGTCCTTTCTGGCTCTTTGTACAACGACCCCTGATAGCACTTGCTCGTAGACCCCCTCGAGGGCGCTTCTCCCACCTTGCAATGTTTCGTCTCGGGTCCCTGCTATTTATACCTGCATACCTTACTGTCACTATGTATCGGGGTTTCGCAAGTTCTAATGACCAAGGAAGTTTCGTTCTTATGGCAGGTATGATGTGATTTCTTTATCCCTGCTGTTCCATAGCTAATTCATTTATGTCAGCGCTGGCTCTGAGCACGTGAGTGACATCTGGACAGTTCACCTGAGCATTGCTGACACACATGCAGAGCTATACGTTATTGCGGAAACACGTTTGGTTACACCGCCATATCCATCCTCCTTAATTATAGTGCGTTTATTGAGCTTGTGCGAGGATGAGGTTCGCATTGACGGTGTCTATAGTGACACCCCCACATGCCGTTGGTTTTGCCAACGGTGTCGCACAAAGTATAGTCAGTCTCGCACGTTGTTTTGGACCTGTTCTTGGTGGATACGTGAGTACCAGCTCTGCGCTCCAGTGGTACAATGTCATCCTTACACACGATATAGCTTTGGTCGGCTGGCATCAAAGACGATCCGTCAGGCTATCCTCTCGGATTCGTTGTATGTTCGGTCGTATGTGCGCTCGCCGTTGCACACAGCTTTTTCATTCGTTGATTAGCCGCCGCCGATCTTGCTGTCTTGAAATGCCCGCAAGATAGAGTACACATTATATTGTTTGTATGCATATGACCATCCACAGCAATCACATTAACGGAGATATGTGGGTTGTTGGTTTGTGTGGCTTGGTGAGCGTATTCATGAGTAAACGGTTGAACTATACAGTACGCCCGATCGACTTGCTTATTCCTGGCATCCCTTTCAAGGACTCAGTACCGGGAGCGGATTTCTCCACTGGAGGAGTTGTGGACGTTTTACGCGATGACGCTGAAGAAAAGTCTGAATCAGAATCAGATTCTGATGAACCTAAAAACTTGAAGGTGACAATGTTGGAGGTCACGAAATACTGCGGTACTTGTAACGTTTTGAAGCCAAGTTATAGAGGGAACCACAGCATGTACATGGCCTCTGGCCTGAGTACACCGTAATGACATAGTTTAAGTTAAGTAGCTTTGTATTGGTAACAATCTATTTATGTAATAGGGACGTTCAAAACCAATTCAAAACACTTGATAACAGTCATGATCATGATGCATGATGAGTCCCGCCAGGTCGAGGGACCTATGTAACAGCACAGATTTTAGAACTGACCGATCATCGATCATGAAGCAGACCAGTCTCGATTTGATTCAATATATCTGTCGAGTCTCCACATTACTCGAGTCCGTTTCCCCACAAATTCGGCTGTAGGAAGTTCTATCCCTTCGATCAGCTTCAGCATGGCTGTTGATCCTCTTCAGTTTCTTTCCCTTATTGCCTTCCTCTCTGCCCTTGAGGCTCGTGGAGTGTCTCTAGCCACTGGTCTGACCAATACGATCATCTATTTTCCGTTCAACAGACTATTAAACGGCTCTTCGTGCGGACCGTCGAACACCCGCGCGTTCGCTTCAAATATGGGCTTCTTTGATCATACTAGTGAAGGCTTCATACAAGATCCTTCCACCCGTGACTCTGGCTATCCTTTGGGTTTTTCGGACACGACATCTTCCACTGCATCCTCTGCTCTGCTCTACCAGTTTCTCCTCCTCTTCTCAGGTCAATTGGCTTCTATCTCACGAGACATCTTGTCGCTGCGTCGTTCTGTTGCCTCGCTCGAGTCATCATTGTCTGCAGTTGAGTTAAAAATTGCTTTACTTATCAACGCTCATGAATCGATTTTGGCATAGTTCAAAGACGAAGCATTGCAGACACATACCAAGGCATCATTTGATAGCGAGGAATTGGGTCGAAAATTACACCACCTGTCCAGCATCATGACCGTCCAGGAGGGTCAAGTGAGCGCGTTGCGTGACACGGTCGGTACACTGCAAGCGTGCACAATCCACGTCAGTCCAGACCGCCAAGCACTTGCTGAACGCGTGCGGAGTTACACAGAGTTTGACGCTCCCCAGAAATGTCTTCGTGTTCAATTCACTACTCAGATTCAGGAACACGTCGAGTGCAAGAAAGACTACGCTGCTTTGCGTCAGGACCTTCAAAAACTTTCGGACTTGGCTTCGATAAATGATACTAAGACCAATGTATCGTTGGATCACCTTCGTAGTCAGATCGTTGACCAGGTCAAAGACCAAAATCGTACCGAGAAAGAAGTTGCACTCTTGCGCGAACAGATGACAAGGAAATTTGGAGCGTTTCAGTCCAGAGTATCTTCTCTTACATTAGACGCCGTGAAGGTACATCATGGCGTTCGATTATCGGACCAGGCTGCCAAAGAAGCTCGTCGGGTAAAAGCGATGGCGGCGGTGGGCCGTCGTATCATGCAGCTTCAAGGTATGTGAGTCCCACTAATGACTTTACATTCTGACGCTCACATGCTCTTATAACATTTGGAAACCTACGGCATGTTCTTGACTAATGAAGACACCATCCCGCAGAATAACGAAAATGATGCGGTAGTTTCGTCCCCGTGTTCTTCACCAATTTCGGTTGGGCGGTTCCAGGTATTCAATGTCTCGACGTCACCGTTCTTTCATGATTGTTGACATGTGTTCGTCTCTTGACCAATAGGACTCTGACGTATTTAAGACTTCGTCACCCTGTGTCCAATGGGTTGGGACTACTACTCCTTCCGACACCAAGGTACCGCATTCATCACCCCTATCTCGGGAATACATAAATTGCAAGGGTAGGAGTCGATCGACTTCTCATTGACGAAGTTGACGCAACATCATAGAAAATGTGGATGGTATCCATTCTCCCTCCACTACTGTTACTTTCTGTCAAGTTGACGCTGAGGCTGGCATCCTAAGGAGGAAACAGAAAGGACCCACAATCACTGCCTTCCAACCCAAGGGTGCGTTTCCCTCCTGTTGGACCTTCAGGTTAAACAACAGTGCCTTGTTTCAATGAACCGTAGATGTCAACTGGATGCCGATGCCTTCCCCGTCATCACCAGTGCACGTTATGATTGCCACCACACCAGTTTTACGTCGTCCAGGCCTCTCAGCAATACAGCGTGGTCATGTCCCTGAGTCACGAATCTTCAAGCGTACGTACCTAAATCGTGTTGACCGTCAGAGCAGTGATCTGATGCGCACGCACCTGGTGACTCAGAGTACCGCAATAAGAGCCTCTATGCTTCTCCTCTGAACGGCTCCGGTGCCCGCATCCAAGAATGGATATAAGAGCCAATCTGCCATTTGTCCATCCTTCTTTAAAACTTGGTGATAAAAAGTGTTTTTCTTTGTTGCCCTACGTTGCAATGTTTATTGTCAATGATGCATAGGTAATTACTACCTACCAAGGACTCGTTTTTGTGCGCTGCTGGCACCATTGCCAATGTCTTTGTACAAAACCTTGATGGAACCTCGGCCTGCCACATTAGCATCAATTCTGCCATGCCACGTGGCAGAATGAAAGAGTTTTGCTTAAGACACTAGCCTGATCCTCAAAGCCCCAAAGTTCTAAATGTAAAGATCTGCTGGCGGGTGGCATAAGAAGCAAGCATGACTACAAGTGAGCAAGGTTGCTGCAACAAGTAAGGCGGGATCATATGACGAGCGCGAAGAAGTGCTGGAAGTACTGGTGAAACAGCGAAGGGAAATAGACCTATCACCTGTCGCATGTAATTCTTAGCCAACCTTCCGGACATATTGTACCAAAGAAGGGAGGCGAAATCAAGGAAAGCTTCGCTGACCCGAAGGCTCGGCGGATGCCTTGCCACTGTTGCATGATCCACTTTCCTCCAATTAATACCTTACCCTTGCAGATCAGCTTCGGTGTGTAGGTGTCCATCGAAGATCGGATATGCACAGTCAATCGTTTTATAACTCTGTGCGGGTCAATTCCACGCGGAGACACCTGTTAATAAAATACTTGAACGCCCATTTCTATAGTAGTACTGCCGCAAAGAAGCCATTCGACATCCTGTTCTTCGGTCGCGACGAATTCTCTTGTAACGTCTTCAAGCAATTGCATGACGCCCGAGGTATGTGTAGCTCATGACATGGGAAATCCAAGGTTATATTGACCGGTGATATAGATGTTTGGAAGTCCATCTCAATCGCTACTAACCCAGACGTGAAAACTGGTCGACGGGGTTCTCATTTGTCAATTTGTGCGTATGCATTTTTTTCGTAGTAGCAACATACCTACGGCCGCCTCAACAGCTCCACTTAAACAACTTGGGGAATCTCTCGAGGTTCCAGTTCACACTATACCACGACGAAAGGTTGACTTCAGGGATTGGGTGGTGCGTGTTACTTTTTTTCTTGCTGAACCGGTCTTATGTTCTATGCAGCCTCCTCCACCATTTACGAATACCAACGAACCTCACTTCTCTGACCCTGCCAGTGAAACTCGTCTTCTTGTCACTGCTTCCTTCGGACGTATTCTCCGCCCTTCGCTCCTGCGTATCTTCCTACCAGGTCAGCGACTTAATGTTCATCCAAGCTTACTGCCTGCATATCGAGGTCCGGCGCCCATCCAGAGAGCTTTAATGCGAGGAGAAAATGTGACAGGTGTGTGCGTTATTGATATGATGGAGAAGAAGGAAGGGATTGATGCGGGAAGCGTGTGGGCCTGCAAGAGCATGGCAAGTAATACGGCGAGCAAATAATCATGCATAATTATCTCACTGCAGGCTGTTCCAGAAAACGCGACATTCCCTTTGATGTCGGTAGAGCTGGCCCGAATAGGAGGAGATTTGCTTGTCACAGTACTTCGGGATATGTTACTAGGAAAGGTTAGTACACGGAAACCTGGTTGATTCTAAATGTTTATGCTTCCATCAGGCTAGCAGCATTCCGCAACCTCCAGTCTCATCCATCACCCCACATGCTTCTGCAATATCCGCTTCGGATGCACGAGTTGATTTTACGTCCCAAACTGCGTTGGGCATAGTCCGACTTTCCCGCGCCATTTCACATCAACGTCATATCACGACTACGATGCCCGATGGACGCACTCTTCAGTTGCACCATCTCAGTGTCTCCAAGAGCCATGATGACTTGGGTCCTGTCGAGCCAGGCTGGGCAGTGTATTCGCCGCACACACGCACAATACTTATAAATTGTGCTGACGGGAAGTGGCTGAGTGTTTTAAAGTTAAAGTCACAAGATCGTGCCCTTCTGACTGCGAAAGAATGGTGGAATGGGGTTAAGGGGCTAGGCGTGCTGCACGGGGGTATGCTGAAACTTCTCTAGAGGGTTCTTTCATGTCGGTATATCACTTACTCTCAAAGAAATACTTCTCGAGCGCTTGCTACGGGGGCCAGGCTCGATTCATATTCGGAGAAGCATACTGCGCAGTCCGGGAAAGGTCCGCCACAATCGCGGGTCTATGGATAATGATTGTCACTGAAGTGCCTCGTGTGGATGCATGTGGTTCAGGAGCAAATTAGGATTGTATCGGGTCTAATCCTGTGCCTGTATTACAACCCTCGAAGAAGTGTGTGTGGTAGGTTTGTCCAATGAGTGTTAGCTCGGTCCGATCAGCACGCGAACAATTACATGTAATGCCGCATCACCTGCAGTAAACCTGAAGGGGTTTGCGATAGAGCCATCGATAAGCTCCCTTTCTGTCATTTCTACAAACACCTGGCAACGATCTCGACACTGTCCCAGAGTGGTACTTATTGCGCACATAAAAATGGCCCAACGGCGGCAGATCGAGTTGAGGATGCGAACCGATTGATACCACTTGCAACTTGAACAAAATAGGCTGTGTCCCTGATCACGGTCAAAGGATACAACTCCAAACAATCTAATTACCTGAAGAAGACTTGAATCACTTGATAATGATCGATGAGCATGACGACGACGACATGTGTTTGGCCGTCTATGCCATGGATGGCTCAGATATGTTGAGTGTCGCGGTCATGAAATGCGACGTGCGTTGTCAAGTTTCGTTTGACGCGACGCGACTCTTTGTTCTTGTTTGTTCATAATGGTCCACTGGTTACAGTACTACTAGTCCAAAGAGTTGTCTGTTCCCAATACTCTGAACATCTGTTAGGACTTTCTGAGCCACTCAGCGCGCTCAACTACATACATTCGATCATGGGAATATCTGGGCTTTTACCCTTACTGAAATCAATCCAGCTTCACCGACACCTCTCAGACTTCGCTGGTCAAACACTTGCGGTGGATGCTTATGTCTGGCTTCACCGAGGTGTATACGCCTGTGCCACTGAGATAGCCACAGGAAAACCCTCTACGAAGTCAGTGTTTTCATGCTTGTCCTGGGGTGGTTCGCGGTTGTCAGTATGCTCACCTTCTCAACTAGGTATGTTGATTATGCTATGCAGCGTGTTCGCTTATTGCGCCATCACAAAATTCGTCCGTATATCGTGTTCGACGGTGGGCCACTCCCGGCAAAGCTGGGCACCGAGACTGAGCGCAAGCAGCGGAGGGATGAAAACCTTGCGAAGGCAAAGGCGCTGGCGTCCCAGGGAAGACACAAAGAAGCCCGGGAATACTTTGTTAAATGTATCGACGTGACTCCTCAGATGGCGTACCAACTCATAAAAGTCTGCTGTCGATTCTTGGATTAGACATTCGTCTGATACATTCTTCACTTTAGGCCCTACGCGCAGAGAATGTGCCATACGTAGTCGCACCGTACGAGGCCGACGCTCAAATGGCGTATTTGGAGCGTGTTGGTCTTGTGGATGGCATCATCACCGAAGACTCGGATTTGCTTGTCTTCGGGTGTCGAAATGTGCTCTTCAAGCTGGATTCTACTTCAAGCACTATTATCTCAATCTCGAGGGAGGACTTTGGATCAGTGACTGCTACTGAAGGGGGTATATCACTTCTTGGATGGTCGGATGCTCAGTTTAGGGCTATGGCTATCCTTAGCGGATGTGATTATCTGCCGAGCATTCCAGGAATCGGGCTGAAGACTGCGTGGTCCTTGCTACGGAAGTATAGGAGCGTAGAGCAGGTTGTGCAAGCTGTAAGGCTCGAAGGGAAGAAGTCTGTGCCCAAAGGGTATCTAGAAGCATATAATCTGGCGGAGAAGGTGTTTTTGTACCAGCGTGTTTATTGTCCCCTGGATGAGAGACTGGTCAACTTGACAGAGATCCCCATGGGAGTTAAGTGGGGCGATAAAGAGGAATCGTATATCGGAGGGTCAGTCTCTGAACAATCGCTTGATGGAGACTTGAGCACTGATTGATTTCTCTCAAAGTGACCTAGAACCTGCTTTGGCAAGAAAACTGGCCCAAGGGGATGTTGATCCAGTGACACTTCTACCGATGATTGATATCAATCCGAGTTTCGTACCTCGCACAGTAAAGCCCCTCCCATTTCAGGCCAACAATGTTAATCGGCCTAGCTCAGTCAAAGGAAAGGGCAAAGCAAAAGCCGAGCCTGAGAGTGGCGGATTGCTTACCTTCTTCGGTATTTCCGTCCTCAGTGGCAATGACACCCATATATTTGACCGTATTCCTACAGCTCCACAGCCAAAAGCTACCCTTACTCGTAGTAATTCTGCGCCAACAAGGCGAACGGCAGTGCCCGGTAAAGGTAGCGGAAAGAGGACACTTGTCGATATACTTGACCAAGACCTCGCTGCAAAACGCATAAAAATAAATCAGGCTTCGTCTTCCACAGACCATTCTGTCCTCACGCATTCAAGGTTCTTCCCCTTTCCATCGATGTCACAACAGCAGGTGGAACTACCCGAGGACGATCTGATGCCCAGTTCACGTATCCCATACCCCCTATCTGATAAAGAAAATCTCCCCGATCATGCCGACAACGTTATAGTAGTCGAGGAATTGGACGAAATTCTTGAAGAGCCCCGGGATCCTGTCACACAAGAAGATGGGTACCTGTCACCTTCCCCATCCTACTTCCGATCAGCCACACCTGATCTCTCTTCACCTGTACGGCCGTATAAGCCCGCACGGCATGATCATCGTGACGGAGACGACTTCGGCGCTGATATCGTCCCCAGCCCAACGGCAGTGAGAACAATCACGCGACATGCCTTGCATCAATGTTTACTGCCTAAGAAAGAGAAAGTTAGTATCCTCGTTCGGGAAACGCCGCCGCCGATGAATGGCATTGGTTCTGCCGATGAAATCGAAGGACCTGACTTGCGTGATGTTCTCGACATTGAACCGCCTTGGGATATCGATGCAATCGATGATGATATAATCACTTCGGCATCATCATCATCCACTACTGGTCCTATTACTCCGGAAGACAACGGTACGAATGACGAATTTGACATAGATGGATCGGCTGAAAAAGATACAGTGACCGAGGCGAATGCACGCGCAAAACGCACCGAGATAGTCGCCAACGGGTGGTGGAATAAGTGGGCCCTGAACAAGGACTTACGCACTTCGGTACGTATTAACATTTCGGTGACGATTGTCATCGTATCTGACATATCTAATCGCCCATAGAAGACTAGTCTAAGCGTGCTTAGAAGGCGCGAGACCACGATCACTCCAGATGGCCGGCAGCCTGGCTGCCGTACTCGGGTAGGATCTGCACCGCCCAAGGTCAGGTTTCCATTGTCTAGCGCAGTAGCATCTAGGGATGGAAGAACCCTGAAGGCTGTGGGAGGTACGGGGATTCGTAATAGTCCACAATTTGTGATCGGTAAGTCGCCTGGTCTCGGCCAAGAATAGACGATAGTAGGAAATGGTCTTGAACGATTTAGGTTTGTTCGGTGCTACTATCGTAAGGTTCATTAATTTACTTACGAAATCAGCCATTCGCGCGAGAGGCGCAAAGCGTTTTAAGGTTGAACCCACTGCATTCTGCATTCAAGCTCGTTATTTCCGATATCTACCTCACGTCCATCACTGTATATAATTTTATTTGGCGGAATGAGGAATGTTCGAGATACCAGAGTAAGAATACATGAGGTCGGCGGACATGCAGTTAAGTACTAATTTAATTTTTTGTAACATGATATCGTCGGTTCATGTTTAGCATGCTGTGTATGCGGGCATCTAGCTAGTTCAGTTTGTTGCTTAGTACTTTCAGATTAATCCGTTAATTAAAGCGGAATCTAATCGAGGCGCTATAGCGTAGCTTGATTGATTTGTAAGGACTTTTTTTTTTCATATCAGTAACCGTCGACAATCCGTCCGCGGGTACCAAGTCAGTATTACGCAATTCCGTTCGTGAACACCGTTTGGTGAATTTGTGTTTCAGAATCTCGGAGTGCTAATTAGCATCCTCACAGGTCGAAATGACAATGGTTTGAGGCCTACAGCGAACATCGTAGTACCTCTGCCACGCGGGGGTCGCGGAGTGTAAATTCCTAGTCAGAAAAACACTACGTCAAACGACAATGAGCCGCTGATGGCTGCATCGGGGGAAAGCCCGCATAGCCATCCCCCCGGATCCAGAACAATGGGGGTAATAATTACCCACCAATGAAACTGGTTCTGGAGGTATACGATTCTGATATTTTTTTTCAGCCGTTGGAAGATGTTATGCAATGTTAGGCTATTGCCTCGTTGAAATATTGCCAAACGGTGTCATTAATTGTCAAGTCACTTCTGCTTGGTATCCAGGGCAGTTTCCGGAACGATGGATATGATAAATCTTTACAAGATTCTTGACGAGATTTGCTGTTTGGGTTGGTTCAGGTTCAATTCATAACTAATAAAGGACATGGAGCGTCAAATAGGGTTAGTTCTCAAAACGAAGGGGGGGTGGTTGGTCTTTTTCTAATTCCGAGTATCCATACGGTGCAAGCCACGTCTCTCAATTCGTTCATATCACCCCGCAAGATCCAGGCGAGAGCCCTCATGTTCACTGATGGACACGCACGCAGAGCACACGCCTCTCGGCTTTTATCTGACTACAGGCGAAACAAAAAGCAGCGCTCTTCCTCACATAGATTCCTATCACTGCCCTGGACGCCCCGAGTTAGAACACCTCGTTTCTCTGAATTTATCCTTCGCGCTTCCCTCCCACGGTACAAAAAGGTAGTCAACTGCCCTTACTGTTCGTACATTCTTTTATCCTTGTTCCACTTCGAACAACGCTCATGTCATCAACTACTTAGCTCTATGGGAGGCCAAGGGCATGTGCCCCAGCTCCTTGGTCAAATATCAGGCATAGTCATGCCTTTTGATGGCACCGAAGAGCATTTGTTACCGGATACCCAGTCATCCATTCCTCGCACATCCAAGCAATATTCCTGCCTTGGTGACGGCGACATTTCTCCCAAAGGCCTCAGCGTACACTTCATGGCTTCTTGTACTACCAACGAGCCTGAAGTGAACGACCACCAACAGCAATTGTCACCCTCGTCATCACAGTCCGTTGGATATCCAGAGTCCTCTCAGAGGACAACCTCCGCATTCCAAACCTCCGCCCAGTACGACCTCCAAAACTTCGACTATTTCGCCTCTTCCACCTTCCTATCATCCCAGGTCTCTCGTACTAGCCTTCGTGCCTCCCACATTCTCCCCAGTTGCAGGGAATGGGTCGTTGACCAGGATGATGAGCAAATAAACCCGACATCTCGTCTCGACATTCAGTCGCTCGACTACCCAGGTAGTCAAAGTCCCACTGGACAGGAGCAAGTGTCACCAGACAGCGTATCCGCGGAATATACATATCCTGACGACTCCGACATGGAGACGGGTCTAGTCATGTCCCAGATGATGGCCCATTTCCAGATTCATACGCCTCCCCCGAATGCAGGCATGACGATGTCCGTCACCGACCTGGACCCTCCAATACCATCTGTCATGACCTTTCGGTTGGGTCGTCAGTCTCTTAGACCAGTCGCAGACCCGGACAACGCAAGGATTTTGGAAAGCTTTGACGACCCTGATGAAGACGCATCGGGGGAGTCGTGCGAATCTTCGTCGCCGCCTTCACCTCCTTATCTGTCTCCTAGGTCTTTTTATGATGGACCAGCAGCAGGAGGCTGCGGAAACGTCATAGAGAGGACCTCAGTAATTGGGGTGGCTTCTTCCAGGGAAGGGTGTTCGTCATACCTTCCCGATGAGATCCCTCATTTCGGGGGTCCCAACGGAAACATTGACTCCTTCGTTCCACTAAACACAGCCCCAAGAAGGAGAGGGTCGTCTAAAAGATCCAAAATGCATCAGTGTTCTATTTGCTTGAAAATATTCCCGCGCCCCAGCGGTTTGAACACACACATGAATTCTCATTCGGGAGCTAAACGTGCGTTGTAGTCCAATAAATCGTCCTTTATTTTTGACTTTGCAGTGTCCAACAGCTTACAAGTGTCCGGTACCATCGTGCGATAGACACTTTGCAGTGCGATCTAATGCCAAGCGCCATCTCAAGACACACGGCATTAACCCTTCTTTGATGGAGGGGCCATCTCAGGGCACAAACTTTATGGTTGGGTTTGAGGAGCCTCTCGTAAATCACCATGTTCACGATGCCGGCCGGCCACCAACAAGACTGAGGTGGATCCCGCACAGCCTCGTCACGAGGACGCAACCCGTTACGGAGTGGATCGGCTCCCAATCGTCGGGTGGAGACGATTCGAAAAGCACATGCCCTGTGGTCTCAATGGCGTTGCCGGGGGCGCCCTCATCGTCATTGAACCAGGCATCAGCTTATCGTTACGACAATAGCAATAATTATACTGATGCGGGTTCTCGTCACTTCCACCCCAGTCAGGTCCGTCTTCGCCCCGCTCGGGGGTTAAATCGCGCTGATTTCTAGTGGGGTAGAATGACTTCCGGTGCGACCCACCCAATCGTTCCACAAGATAGCCGTTCCCTTTGAATCGCACATGGCATGTACTTATCTACAAGAGGCTCGATGCCTGCCTAATACTAATGTGAAGACTGACCACACATTGATTAGTTTTGATCAAATATTAGACACTCGATGCACAGTTTACAATCCGATGATCATTAGCTAGCATTTGTATTCTAGGATTCGCCGCAATGTTAAATTATGGGGTTTCAGGGGATTCTTGGACTTTGTCAGCCTTGCTCGAACTTTCTCCTGACGGTCTCATTTCATTTCGCGAGCGGTGTGGTCCATACACCACACGATTGACCATTCCGATAGGAATATCGTAGAGCTCAGGAATAGCACCCGGATCCGCGTGTTTAAGATGCTGATTTGCGTCTAGCGCAGGAAGGTGTGCTTTGGTATCTACCTGCTGTTTTAGACTCCCGTGGGTATTATTTCGGAGATTGCTCACCAATGAACGTGTTGGGGTCAGAGAAGGATGGTGTACGTGCAATCGCGATAGCAAAATATACAAAGTACGTCAAAAGTACGAGGACAATGGAGTATGCCGGGAGAAGCAGAGTCCATTCCCTCGATATGATGCGCAATAAGGGCGGTTTTCTCATGAGAAGTCGCATGACTCACCTACTCGGGTACCATTCCACGCCCAGCCAGACGATATATTCATCTGGGAGCAGGGCCCACAGCACATACAGAACAAACAAGATAGATGTAGAAGTCCAAGCTACAAAACCGTAAAATTCTGGTGCGCGACTGTGGCGTTCATCAGGTGGTTCTAGAGGGAATGGAGATGTGGTATCCATGGGCGCTAAGCGCAAGTCCAGCGAAGTGCATCAACAGAGGCTGGGAATAATATTAATAAGAGTCGGAGCATAGACGCTCTAAGCCCGTCGCGTCTTTGTCCACGATCATCATCGACGACCGAGCATTACTCGCGGATCTGCAATTGCGCTTCTTACTAACCAAGCCGACTTGTTGGCCCTTGGACCCTCTTGGACCTGCTTACTCCACTAAACAATATTGATCTTCGCTGACGCTTTGGGCAGGCAGAACCCATGTCGATCCTTCAAAGCACTAATAAAAGAGCACTCCGTAAAGCGATCACCACGACCCTCCGGGAATTATCTCAGTCTGATATCCAGTCGCAAAGTGACTCTCAAATACTATGCTGGGTTACTGATATGACTAACATGCTGCGCGAAGCACAGGCCATTACCGAAAAAGTCCTTTCGCTGCCCGCATTCCAGCAATGCAAGACTGTCAGCTGTTATCTTAGTATGCCAGCAGCCGAGGTTCAGACTTCTTCTTTGATCCTGAACATTCTGGGAGATCTAGGTGCGTGACGGTCCTTACCCCTGATTGCATGTGTTTATGCACATTGTTAGGGAAGACGTTATTTGTTCCTAGCATCACATCCAGCGATGGTTACATGGACTTTGTACGAGTATATACCGAAGAGGACTATCGCAGCTTTCCTGCCGGTTTATGGGGCATTCCAGAACCGACGCCTGAATGGTCGAGTAAAAAACGTCAAAGTAGTGCGTCAAATTTGTGTGAAAAATTGTCATGCAAGCTGATTGTTGCTCAAGTTTTCGATGCAGACTGCAACAATTTGGATCTAATCCTCGTGCCTGGTGGGTAGTATGCATGCATCAACACGATTCGTGGAGATCATTTTCTTTGCTACAGGTGTTGCCTTCGACCAATCACTCTCGCGGCTTGGGCATGGAAAGGGCTACTACGATCGATTCATAACATCATATTCTTCCTCTACTGGGCGATCGAAACCATTATTAGGTTGGTACTACATCATGGGCGCCGCGGAACTACATTCTAACTAGTTATCTCAAGTCGCTTTAGCTTTGGAGCAGCAACTTTTGGAACATGGACAAGTACCGATGTTCGACCATGATTGGAAGATGGACATGATTATCACACCCGACAAAGTTATCACTGCACCTCGAGCTTAAGATGGATACCAAGATCCGTTAGGAACGGTGGAGAATGCTTCATGCTCCATGATGTGCTGGCGATACACATGTCATCAAATTATCGATGTGGCATGCACGGGCTGCGCTTACATAGATCATATTGGTGCCGGACCTGTCCTGAAGGGTGCGTAGGAGATGAAAGAAGCTGTACTGCTCTGTCACAGAAAGTTAGCACTAGATATCATCTCAGTGAACCTTGTCTTGCCCAGTTGTTCGAGATTCTGGCACAATTGCCAATCGATAGGATCGGCCAGCCGGTAGGTAGGTTGAACCTATGCATATGAGTGAGCAATGTGTGACACGTTGTTTTAGCGACCTTACCTAGCTGTGGTACCATCACAGCTTTTGCTCCTGTCTCAAAGTTTCCAGGAGAGCCGTCAGCATTGAGCAATTTCGTTGACATTTGGGAGGTTGTGATAATCTGTGATTGAAATAAGGTGACTGACTGGATCGCGGCGAGATGCTCTTTGCTCTCACTGTCAGATTATTCAGTGCACTTGCTTGCAAAAATACCTGATGGATCTTCTCCAACAGCGCTGTCCGTTTAGAGGACTGAATATCTGGATGAGATAGGAACGGAAATGAAATTGAATTGAGGACGAGAAGCCCCGTCTATCTGACTATTCATGTCTAGTTTCGACGTTATCGATTGGCTGCACACCTTTGCGTGAATTTCAGATAGTAGGTTGTGTATGAATAGCATTAGATCCGGGAGGGTATGAAGGTGTGTATAGCGAACGAGATCCTGGTAGTCAGCAGCCGCAGAGGAGTCTATTATTATTTCATTAATATTCCTGCTGTTCACCTCGGCGGAAATGTGTGACGTGTTGCGTACTGTGGAAGGTTTTCTTGATCGTGGCAAGGCTTGTCATATTCTGGGTATCTACACCTCATTTATCAGAAAGGTGGACTGACACGTCAGATGCAAGATACATTACCAATAAATATAACCTCCTCGTTTGCCTCGACGAAAATTCGAGTATAATCTAGTGCAAGGGTTTCTTTGAAACTGCCTGGGGGTCCAGATATTTCTAGTATGTGTCCCCTCGGAAGACCGCCACCGAGTGCCGTGTTTACAGCAGCGTAGCTGCACGCAAGACTCTGTGATCTAGATATCAAAGAAGCCAAAGATTGACTCAAAGCCGGTCCTGGAGGCCGCTGTGATGCGGTGATTATGGATTGCGAGTCGGAAATATCAATCCCCAGTTCTGCGGGGTCATATCTTCTTCCAACAAGGTCGGCGGAAATTAACATGCTACGTACCCTTAGAAAGAGCTTCCGCGGAAGCGTTGGATAGATCGTCGAGTGTTTCGTAACCTGCGCGTCTTAGCACTAGTTGGGTCGAGGACGGCAGGGTTGGGTGGAGGAGGATATTCCTGGACATGCTTGGAACCTGGATTCAACCTAATGGTATAGGTTTGATGGCCGTCCGCGGCAGATATACAGTTTGTCTTGTCGTTTGTTATTCAGATGACCGATGAATCGATGACCCCTCAGCGCTCGGCTGGTACTATTGCAGCAAGGACACGCCATGGCCCAATGGCTCTACAAAAGTCAAATTCACGTGAGTGGTCGCGTACATAAATACAACCAAATCACTCGGATTTTGCCGTTCTTTCTTGTTCTTTTTCCATCATCGCTGCAGGTTTCGTACGACAGCTTTAAACAGCTAGACATTGCATTCTTCCTTTTCATTTCTTGTCGAGCACAATCGTTTGTTTTTATCACAGTCTTAGTTTCATTCTCCATGACTCGCGATACATTTGCCATTAAGGTTGAGAATATTCCCGAAAATGGTTGGTCTAATCATGTGGAATAAAGCTGGTCTAACTGTATGCGCAGTCAAGTTGAAGGACGTTGAATCCCTTTTTAGTAGCGCCGTTGGTTCGTGTCCTGTCACCTTTCTGTTTGCACTCAGATTATATTATTTATCCCACATAGGTCCTGTTCAGCGTGCGGAGATTTATGGTGATGGAACGACCACGCCGTACTGCGTGCTAAATTTTCTCACACATGATGCCTTTAAGCAAGACTTGTACGCTTTCACCTTACTGTACCGACTGACCACATGACAGGAAAGCTCTGCGTCTGTCTGGTTACAACATCGGTGGATCCTCCATGTAAGTGCTTTTCAATATAGGGAAACTGAACAGTGCATATATGCGCCATTCAAAGCATCGTGACACCCGCCACCGATAACAAAACGTCGTCTCCAAGCACTGGCAAGAATTCAGATGCGCGTCGAAATCTCTACGTCCTCGGTCTACCCTTTGATCTCACCAAGTGTGCATATTCTTGGTTCCAACACCTTTCATGCTCACGATTCACTAGGCCTGAATTTTGCGCTTTGTTTTCGCGTTTCGGCACTGTCATGCACGCCGTGATTCTTGCTACTGTCGATAACGCATCTCGCCGTCGCGGGTTCGTGGTAATGGCATCCCATGAGGAAGCCAAACGTGCGATGAATGCGCTCTCACGAACACAAATGAAGTATTCGAGCATTCACTTCGAGATTCAAAGCTCAACCCACTGACACACCGCAGAGGACACACCCTTGATGTATCTTGGGCCGTCGTACAACGTTCTCAAGGTGCGGGCTCAATCCAGCCGCAAATACATCTTACTTATCCTTCGTGACAGGCTTCTTAGATGGCGCAGACAGAACGATGATGCTGGCATCCTCGAACCCTTCGTCACTCCCGGAAATGGAATTCGATCACCAATCCGCACCTTCGACCATCAGTTCACCTCAATACGCCAGCAAACAATGGAATATCTCATTGGCACCTTCCTCGAAGCTGCTGGTATCGAACTTGCCGACCCTTCTCTTTGCTCAGGCCAGTGACTTGCATCCTCTGTTTTATCCTTTCGGTCCCATTAAGGAGGTGAAGCTCATGGATTCTGCTACGCTCGGCAATGGAACTACGAGCGCTCTAGTCGAATACGTGAATATCTTCAATGCTCAGGAAGCCAAGGACGCACTTCAACGACAATTCTATGGGACTTCACGCCTGGATGTCCGATTCATCCAAGACAATATCCATCCGGTTGACTCTGCTTCTGCTGCGTATGCCCAGTCTCCCATGCTGCCGAAAACATCTGATGCCGGACTTAATCCCTGTGCTGCTCCTTTTGTCTTTGGATCTCGCCACTCATCACCCTTGGCCTCCGGTCTTAGCTGCATTGCGCACGATTCGTTTGTCAATGACTTCTGCTCCCCACTCGGTCTTTCCAGCGATACCTTTCAAGTTGCCTCGTTTGCGCCCCACCCTATAACATATCATCTCAGGACCCGTGCTGCCGAAACGATTTCCAGATCCAGCTCAGCAACGAGTTCGAGGTAGAACTGTCGTCTTTAAATAGATAAAGCTAATCCCTTCGACGCAGCTGGAGTAACGATATTCGCCCATACAGGCCTTCTCGTGCACCGTTCTCTTCTTTCACACGCGCGAACACACCCGCACAGTTCACACCATTCTTCTATGCTTGATCGATCCACTTCCCCTGTGGAATGGACTCTATATCGCTTATTCGTGCTCTTCGTAATTCTAATGCTTCGCTACCTTCAAAAATGGACTCGTTGGACCTCTAGGCAAATACATGGCATCCGTGCATTAGTCTTTATGCTATAGATTCTTGTTTTAAGTATGTCATTCATGTGTTTTGGCTATCTGTTTGCTAAACATTCTTTAGTCTTAGAATCCCGTTCGAACATTCCATCTTTGTGTCGATAATAATTAGTAGTAACATCTGTTTTCCGCCTCCCTGTAGTCGCTGTTTTGTTCGCCCTGTAGGGGCTGTAATCATGGGTTTTGTGTACTAGTGTGGAGGCCTATCTTCGAATTCAATTAGAATGCCGCCTACTTCGAAGTTCAGGTTAGTCTCTAAAGACTAACAGCCACATTACGAGAGTTCCACGCTGGAGCGTCCTGCCCACACAAGTTCCCAGGCAGCTTACCACTATAATTATAGAACTTCAAAGGTGAAAAACATTCTTCCGAATGTCAGGAAACCAGGGCTTGCATTCACGTCCGAGTCCTGGCTCGAGACTTTTACAGAGACGCCTACATTCTTCCGATTTACAGAAGGGATTTTTGGTAACTTCTCGATCATCATCAAGCAAGAGTCAGCAGCCCGTTTTATTACCCAACACTGTCACAGAAGACGTTGACAGCTTGCCGGAAGTTCATGCTCGTGTTCCATCCGGAACTTCGACCTTGCAACTCGCCAGTACCGAGAAGGGCAACGTCAGTGACCCATTTTTAGACCAATATGGCTTAGAATCAGAAACTTGGATGGGAGAACCCCCAGTTGAGTCTCCAAGGTCATACACAGTCGAGGACCAAAGGCCGACACAGTCAGTGGCAGGCGGCATTTCCAACCTTCCTTTGAAAAAGAAATTCTCCCCTGCGTTTTCCCATGCTTTCAAGGCATCAAGCTCCTCTTCCAATACTCAACCGCCTATCACTGAGCGATCTGACTCAGGGAACGCACCGACTCGAACACCCTCAAAGGTCCGCTGGGAAAAGCTACGGCAACATGTTTTGGCACCATCCCGTCCAGCTTCACCTCCTCTGTCTGCGCAGATATCTCAAAGCCCTTCCCGACCACAGACGCCCAAGCTACCTCGTTTTCCGCGGCTTGGCTTCCGACATGCTGTGGAGCATGCACGCGAGGCTGCAGTAAACGAGTCCCGTCGATTTGCAGAGGAGCTACTCCAAATTTGTTGGTCCTTCCGTGTTCCGGAGGTGTTACGACAGAGCAAAAATGAGCGAGATGGACCATTTGGTACAGTTGGCTCTTCGTTGCACCTCCCCTTCATGTCGAGTACGACTCTGAATTCTTTCGCGACTGGGAGTGCCATGGTGCAGGCTCAGACAACTCAGAAAGGACTTTATATTAAGAGACCTTCCTCCACAATTTCAGGAGGGCAGAACTCCTCTCTTGTCATGACACTGCATGAGACTATCCTTCGTTATGCGTCGAAGAACTCGAATCATCTTCCTCACGAAACTCTTGTTCTTTCCGCTCTGTTGACGCCGTTTTTATCGAGCGAGAGCAATCAGAATGTGGAAGACGAGCGGTGGACTGCAATCGAGGCTTTCGAGGCTGCTATCCAGACCTGGCAAGCGACATCGGATGATGTACGTGGTACGACTGTGCGTCTTGCCTGTTCAGGCTGCTTACGATTTTGTAGCTTACTATCGAGAGATGCATTTGGTGTTGCGACGCTGCATCCATACCCTCTTCCCTTCGGGCTCGCGTTCTCAGCGTTCTCACATCGCTCCTGTTTCCCCGCACTGGTCCAATCGAACTCCCGAGTGCCCATGCGTTCCTTTCTCTAGTTCAAGCGTTGGCCATAACGTTGCTCCAGATACAGGAAGACCGAGAAGCGGCTATTCTAAAGGACATCATCTCGAAACTTCGCGACGGGACGTGTGGGAGTATGGCAGGCTTTCTCGCTGCAGCAGAGATCGATGGCTCTCCGGTGATGTTGGTCGGTGTGCGCCAGTCGGAAGTCAGGGAAGCCTTGGTTATTGAAGCCCTGGTCCGCTGTCTTGATCATGGTCCCCTAACCACGAAGCGGAAGGTCTTGCATGAACTCCTCCAGGTATAACTTCCCTCTTCAGCGTGCTGGGTAATAGCTGAACAACCAATTATGCGTAGGAATTTTGGACACCTTTTTCTGTTTCAGGATCATTTCCCCCTATGATCTCAGCTATCCGTTCTCGAGTTGTCATAACATTCGCTCATGCTGCAGCTTTCCTTTGTGCGTCTGTAAAATCGGAGCATTTGGACACGCAGAGCGTCTTGCATGTCTTGAAATCGCGTGTCATTCCTGAGATGACGTATCTGTCCGGGAAACGAGCATCGGATGTCCGTGCCAGCGTGTCTAGGCTTTTGATCGAGTTGCTCTGCCTCGAGAGGGTCACTCACGAGATGATTAGCGTAATTTGCGGTCTCACCGTGCAGTTGCTGGAAACGTCAGAGTGGAAGACGTCGTTGGAAAAGATGATGCAACACTTTGTATGTGCTTCTTAGTATCACTTCAATGGAAGATGGCTCACAGTTCCTCCTTGAACAGATTGCTGAGGGTGAATGGCCCACAATGATCAGACTTTTGACCGCACTCTTTCACTTACCAGATGAGCTTCGCGGTCAGCTGTTCACGTGGTCCATACCATGTTTGCAAGAGGTGGGTGTTCCGACTCGCTAACGATAACAATGTGTACATTTGATAAAATATCAGAGAATAGTCGCAGATCCACCACCTCTGCACTATCCGGAACTCACGGGCGTCCTAGACAAGGCATCACGCACATATCCTCAAGTGTTCTTCAAACCGCTTTTCACCTGTGCAGCATCTTCCAAGGTGCTCACGATCAGCCATCAACTTGGAGTTATTACTGCTATCTCGGTATTCCTTCCCGACTTCTGGACGAGAGATACAGAGATGATATTGGTATCATTGATGAACGAACCCACTGTTATCTCACAATCTGGGTCCAAGAGGAAGTGGGCACAAGCAAGGCTTGGACAGATGATCATACTAGTTGAGTTAATTGCGCGTGTCAAGGCGGTACCACGAATCAGCAAAGACTTTTTGGTGAGTCGATCCTGAGCTGACATATTTTAGACAGTGTCGAACTTAATTTACAGCACCCTGAGACCTCGGCCTTTACTCCAACCCACTTTTTCAGTATGCTAGAAGCGCGTTTAGGTGTGTTATTAGAAGTGAAAGTAAGCAAGAACACTCTTGTTTCGATGGATGGCTCGCGGTCTAATTTACATCATACAGGAACGAACTGCTCTGCTACCACCCTCCATGCGCTTGCTCTATTTGATCTTGTTTACAGAAATCAGACTACTTACACGATCCGCTAAGCGGTACGTACCATCTTTTTCCCCCTGTTTTAATCGAGGATTGAAACTTAGGAAGTCCGACTTGGCTGCGATCGGCGATTGGTTGGCTGTTGCAGTCGTATATCGGAGCTGTAGTGGATGAAGATGAATCTTTGATTGTCGATGATGACGTCTTCAGTGACATCTCGCAAGCGCTGGGCAAAATCAAAGATATTTACGCTTCAACACAGGACAGCCTTCGAGTATCTCACAAGGTAGAGCTATCATTTCGCTTTGTTTGCCTTGATGCTGAAAAATACAGCGCCAAAGCACAATGCTCCTGTTGTCCAGCGTCAAAGATGTTTCTGGGGACTGTCCTGAACACAGGACTATGCTTATGGACGTGTTACATGAGAGAATACTGTTTCTGTCGTCCCTGCCGCAATCACTCACCCGCCAAGCCCTCAATTTATTGGTGGTGATTTCCGCCTGCCTTACATCAGAAGATTACTTGCTCATCGGACCTTTCTTGTGGGCACGGTGCTTTGATTGGGCGGAACCGCAGGCAGTGCTTTCGGTGCGTGTCCTACCTAGAATTACGAGCCATGGTTCTCACAGAAGTATTCTAGGCTTCTTTTCTGGTCATGCAGTGTGCAGAGAAGGCCCCACATAGCATACTTGAACTCATCAGGAACGACTTGCAGGAGTCAGTTAGAACTTTAATTGGTAGCGCATGGTCCTAACACTGACTTCACAGTGAAGACAGTGCTGTGAAGATCACTGCAATCCAACGCTTGGATATGCTGGTGAATATGCGCTTCCAGATTCTGTCTCAGCCTTTTTTATCCGACAAGGACCATCGGAGACCATTTAAGTTAGCTCGTGACCCATTGCCATTTGTTCCAACCGACATTGGTTCAAGCCTATTTGTCCCAGAGCAAGAGGATGATGGCAGCGAAGAGATGCCAAAAGAACTGCGTAAACACTTAGCCGAAGTGGGATGGTTGGATGAAAACCGACCAACGGACCAGAAACGCGAATGGGTGAGGACACCATTGTCACTATTGCCTAGTACTCTTCAGGATCGAAACGCTGGCTCCACGGAGCGCCTTCAATCTTCACCCCTGCCGTCCCCGGCATCCACGCCAACCAAACCTCGTTCCAACAGTGATGTTTCTGATGGCCACCTCAGTAGACGATCGTCAAATCCTACAAGCCGTGGCGTCAAACGCCGCGCGGTCTTTGTTCCTGTACTCGGGACTCTTTTCCCTCAACTGGTCTCTCTGACTCTCGATTCTTGTACTGACGTCTCATGCGCGGCTCGTGCCAGTGTCATGGATTTACTACGCCATGAGCCTGCTCTTCTTATTCGACCCATCCTCGATTTGCTTGCCAGCAATAATGAAGAAGCTGCCACGACAGCCGTCCGAGGGTTATTGCATCTAAATCAGCACCTCCCTCCCGCCATGGCTCATTATACATTCAACCATCTTGCTGGATACCTTAAATTCCTTGCTCGAGAAGTCACTTCACTCGATGCACTTCGCAACTTCGCTCTCACTGCTGCTCTGTTGTCGAACCTAGTCACGCAAGTCAGCGAAATGTCCATAAGGGAGATTCGGCGAGCGAAGATGGATTTGTTCCTCATTCCATCCGGGTCTTTGTGGTTCACGGCATCGTCTCCATCCGGCCCCATGTTTCCGAAAGCTCTGTCTCTCAATGAGAGTCCATCCGAGATTCCACCATCCTTGATATCAATCACAATGATCCGTGTGGCTCAGAGTCAGTTGTTTCTATCCATGTTAAAGCGAAATCCTCAGGATGT